TTGCATAGGTACACACATGGCAGTGTGGTTTGCTGCCTTCCTTCCCCTCGCCTGTATCTGTCATTTCTCCCCATGCTATCTCTTCCCACCTCCCCACCCCGCCATCCCTCCCCCATTTGTAGTGCTCCCCTCCATGTGTCCATGTGTTCTCATTGTTCAACACCCGCCTATGAGTGAGAACATGCGGTGTTTGATTTTCTGCTCTTGTGTCAGTTTGCTGAGAACGATGGTTTCCAGGTTCATCCATGTCCCAATGATTCTTATTAATTACAAAGGGAAAAATAGTAATTTTTCCTTGGGAAACCTCATAGATGGACTTGACCAAGTGATCAGAATTAACGTGATCCGTAATGGAACATGCCCATCGTATGCCTCCTGGTAGCATGCACCAGGGAGGGCGCAGTGTTGTCACTTCTGTGGTGGGCTTGCCAAATGCACAGTCTGGATTTAGTCAGGAGGAAGCATTAGGCAAACCCAGATTGAGGGACATTCTACAAAATAAATGGCCAGTCCTCTTCAAGTGCCGGGGTCATGAGAGACAAACTGCGCCAGGTTGGAGGAAACATGGACAAGTATCTGTGACACAAGGTCTTGGACCAAAAAAAGGACCTTAATGGGGGGAGTTGGCAAAATTTGGAGGAGGTTGGCTGTAGGTTATTTAATAAACTGTGTTGATGGTTAATTTCCTGGTTTTGGCCAATGTAGCTGTAGTGATCTAAGAAACATTTGGGGAACGTTAACATTTGGGGAAGCTTGGAGAAGACGGGTGTACAGGAATTTGTTGGTACTATTTTTGGAGCTTTTTCTGAGTCTGAAGGTATTTCAAAATGAAGTTAAGCAACAACAACAAAAATAATTCAACTCAGCTGAGAAATTACAGCTTTAGTGCTTGTACTTTGAGACATTTCTCTGGATTGGTCAGCAGCTGGTTTTGCTTCCTGAATCTCCACGATGATCTGGATAGTTGAGGTTTCTAATTAAGGGACCTCGGGATGAGTGAGACATGGCTGTACTGAATTTCAGCTGCACTCTGACAAGGTTTTGTTTAATTAATTTACTTATTTTTGTACAAGGCTGTAATTACATCTTTGGGTATCCCATGCCTGTGCAGGTTATTTGAGCTTTACTGTCATAGCCACCAGAATCCCTAGCTGCAAACTTAGCTCTGTAATTAATTAACTGGTTTGTTTCTGTTTTTATTATGATGATGTGAATTCAGGTTGGTTCCATGGGTTCTTCTGCTATGTGTCATATGTTAGTGAATTTCATACTTGTTTGTCTCTTAGGAAGAGTTGATACTTTTTGTATAAAAACGTTTTATTTAAACTTGAAATATCATAATATATATTTTCCCCTCACAAAAGATACTTTGGAGTTTCTATAAATACAGTGAAAAGTAAATGCACTCTGGCATAAGCACCAAGTGCTAACCTTTTATTAGATAATCATTAGAACGGGAGAAATTAATACATTGGGAAATGTTTCTGTTAGCAGGACAAGTGGTTAATATGTGACTCATAGATTAAGTTGAGAGTGTTTTGATCAGCATGGGTAAGAGCATAGACTTTAGGAGTCAGAAGACTTAGTTTTCGATCCCAGATCCATCCTGCTTATTACAGGTTGAGTGTCCCTTATCCAAAATGCTTGGAAAATGTTTTGGGTTTGGATTTTTTTTTTTGGATTTTGGAATATTTGCATTATACTTACACGATGAGCATTTCCTTTGAACATGACCATTTGAGCATCCTGTTGCTGCTCAAGATGTTTCCGATTTTGGAGCATTTCAGATTTTGGATTTTCACATCAGGGATGTTCAACCTGTAGTATGAGCTAAACGGGTTGACTTTTCTGATCCTTATTTTTTGCATCTGTAAAACTGGAGTCCTAATAGTATCTTGCAAAGTTATTGTGAGAAAGGAGTGACGTCACATGCAATGCACCTGGCCTGAAGTGGGGCCTTTCATCCATGTTGAATTCTCTTCTTACCTTCCTCAAGGTCAGGCGTCCCCAAACTTTTTACACAGGGGGCCAGTTCACTGTCCCTCAGACCGTTGGAGGGCCGCCACATACTGTGCTCCTCTCACTGACCACCAATGAAAGAGGTTCGCCTTCCTGAAGTGCGGCGGGGGGCCAGATAAATGGCCTCAGGGGGCCGCATGTGGCCCGCGGGCCGTAGTTTGGGGACGCCTGCTCTAGGTTTATAACAAAGTCATCTGCAATTGATGAGAATCTGCTTTGTTTATAAAGACCATGAAAAGATGATAGCATGTCAGTAACCTCTTCAGTATTTCAGAAATCTTTTTTTTTATTTTCAAAAACTTGTTTCTATGTTTTAAAACATTTTATTTATTTTTATTTTAATAGCTTTTGGGGTATAAGTGATTTTTGGTTACACGGATGAGTTATATAATGGGAACTTCTGAGATTTTAATGTATCCCTCACCTAAATAGTGTACATTGTACCCAATATGTAATCTTTTTATCCCTCCCCCCTCCCACTCCCCATCTTCTGAGTCTCCAAAGTCGATCATATCACTCTGTATGCCTCTGCATGCTCATAGCTTAACTCCCACATATTAGTAAGAACATGAAATATTTGGTTTTCCATTCCTGAGTTACTCCATTTAGAAGAGTGGCCTCTGGCTCCATCCAAGAGTGCTGCAAAAGACATGATTTCATTCCTTTTACAACTGAGTAGTATTCCATGGCATATATATACCACATTTTCTTTATCCACTTACTGGTCAGTGAGCGCTTAGATTGGTTCCACGTCTTTGCAGTTGGGAATTGTGTTACAATAAAGTGTACGTATGCATGTGTCTTTTTCACATAATAACTTCTTTTCCTTTGGGTACATACCAGTAGTGGGACTGCAGGATTGAATGGTTGATCTACTTTTAGTTTCTTATGAAATCTGTGGCTGGGCTCAGTGGCTCACGCCTGTAATCCCAGCATTGTGGGAGGCTGAGTCAGGCAGATCACTTAAGGTCTAGAGTTTGAGACCAGCCTGGCCAACATGATGAAACTCCTTCTCTACTAAAAATGCAAAAAATTAGCTGGGTGTGGTGTTGCATGCCTGTAATCCCAGCTACTTGGGAGGCAGAGGCTGGAGAATCGCTTGAACCCAGGAGGTTGCAGTGAGCTCAGATCCTGTCACTGCACTCCAGCTTGGGTGACAAGAGTGAAGTCTTTGTCTCACAAAAGAAATGTCTATACTATTTTCCAGAGAGGTTGTACTAATTTACATCTCTGCCAGCATTGTATATGTGTTTCAGACGTCTTTTTGTCAGGAAGTTCTTCCACATCTCTTACTTTCTTACTCCAGAGAAATTATTTTCTTTTATGTATTCACCACATTGGATATTACTCCAAAATCTCTTAGACGGGTGTCACTCATTTGCTAGACTTACTGTGGTGTTTTAATGTTCTTGTCTAACATCATTTGACACAAGTAAGTATGAAATTTCTTTCGGAAGAAAGTGTTAGGAGACAGAGACAGAGAGATGGTAGAAGACAATTGGAAGGAAACGTTTTCATGTATAGTTTTCTTTCAGGTTTCGGGCCCTGAAAATTAGAGTTTTGATCTTCTGACGAGGGTCAGTTATTATTGTTCCTATTTTATTCCGGTTTCAAAAGTACTTCCCTTTATTCTTAAATGATGTGATTTCAGTATTGCCTTGTTACTAAGTAAGTGAACATGATCATCGTTAAGAAGTTTAGAAAAGCTTGTCCAACGTGCCTTAGTTTGTTGTGCTGGTGTTCTGTTTTGTTTTAGGCTTTTAGCAGCCTGAAGCCATGGTTTTTAGTTTCTTTCTCTAGTGATAAGCAGAAAAGAGGGATGTGGAAGGGGCTTCACTGGTCCAGCCAGAAACAGAAACCACAAACCCATGTTTGTATTCTCTCTCTCGGACACCACAATTGTTAAAGAGGCATGTCTTCCAGTTACCCTCAAATGGTTCAGCAAAAAGAATATATATGTGTGTGTATTTATCCATGTAAATCCTGGGGCCTGGGGGAGAGGGAAGGAGAAAGAGAAAAGCAGTCATGGCAGTGTTAACAATTAGTGAATTGGGGGAAAGGTCTATGGGTATGCTTTGTAATTTTCACCACTTTTCTCTAAGTCTGAAACTATCTCAGGATTCCACTGGCTGATACCCTGAGTTATTTTCCTGTCCCCTGAGGGGGAGTGAATGGCAGTTTCAGTGGGAGGAAGGCAGGAGGCTAGAAGTGCTTGTGTGTGCAGAGAGGAATAAGTAGCGAGTAATTCAGAAAGTATAGGCTGAGCATCCCACATAGAAAATTCAAAATGCTCCAGATATTGGAACTTTTTGAGTACCCATGTGACACTCCAACAAAATGCTCATTGGAGCATTTTGGAATTTGGATTTTTGGATTTGGGATGCTCAAGCATTAAGCATAATGCAAGTATTCGCACATCCGGAAAAAATAGGAAGCCCGAAACACTTCAGGCATTTTGGATGAGGGATACTCAGCTGTATTAAGTCACTGGCAAGAAATTACTGGTTTCTTTAATTGAGACTTTTTTCCTCAGCCAGAATAGCTTTCATTGTTTTGTAGTAGAGCCTGTACAGATAAGAGAGTAAGCTGTTGCTTTTTCAAAGCAGAGAAAACTGCTTGGAACTGAAACCAGATGATAAAAAAGTAAAAGACTAAAAAATATATATTTATAAGACGTACACAAAGATAGAAGCAAAATATGTAAGGCAGAAATATTAGGTCTGTTCCAGTTATCCAGTGCTCAGTCCTCTTCCTAGTCTAGAGACACAAGTTAGTTGTCTGTGATTAGCAGACCATCTTACTAGCTAATAGACATTCATTTATCCTTTAAATTACTACATGGCTTCAAAGGTAGTATTTTATATTCTTACTGTGAATTTACATGCATATTATTTTACCCTTCAAAAAGAGTCTTCTAACTCTTTTTTTTTTTTTTTTTAACTTTTCTTTCACGTTAATGATGACATCTCTTGGGAACTCAGGGGCCAGCCAAAGGTAAGAGACTTGGTTTGTTATATGATTCCTGTGAAGATCTTATGTGCTTGTTTTTGAACTCTGAGAAGTTTTCCTCTCAACAAGGAAAATACTTTCTGTCATGTTATACAAGTAATGCAATCTGTCAGCCTACTCACAAATCTGAAGCCATTTCTGGGCCTGGAAAGGGCTGGAGGTTTATGGAAAAGCTGTATTTGCACTTTGACCAATTCTGGCCGGTCTAGTAGCTACAACACAGATTCCTTTTGTGCCACAGATTGGCTCAAGACTGGTAGTTCCAAACTGCGGTCAAAGCCGACTCATCTTCCTGGCTCCCAAGACAGCTAGTGATGCATTCCCAGCCAACAGAAACCTGGGCGGCTTCAAGCTGCCTCCATAGATTGGCTCAAGACTGGTAGTTCCAAACCGAGGTCAAAGCCGACTCATCCTGCCGGCTCTGAGACAGCTGGGGGTGCATTCCCAGCCAACAGAAACCTGCGCGGCCACGCCACCTCAAGGGAACATACTTTTGCACCTCTGTCGCTTGGGGAATGTGGAGCGCTGCCGAAGTGGGCACTTAGACTGTGTTTCTTAACTGACCATGAAGTCACTTGGAATGCCCAGGAAATGTAGATTTTTATCTCCGTTCTTGGGATTTTTTCTTTTAGAGTCCATGGCTGAATTGCAATTCAGTTCTCTATTATTATTACTAAAATGTTTATTACAGACATGGCTGTTTGGATCTCTGACTTTTTTTTTTTTTTTTTTTTTGAGACGGAGTTTCGCTTCTTACCCAGGCTGGAGTGCAATGGAGCTATCTCGGCTCACTGCAACCTCTGCCTCCTGGGTTCAAGCAATTCTCCTGCCTCAGCCTCCTGAGTAGCTGGGACTACAGGCGTGTGCCACCATGCCCAGCTAATTTTTTGTACTTTTAGTAGAGATGGGGTTTCACCATGTTGACCAGGATGATCTTGACCTGTTGACCTTGTGTTCCACCCACCTGGTCCTCCCAAAGTGCTGGGATTACAGACATGAGCCACTGTGCCCAGCCAGGTCTCTGACTTTTTAAAATCATTTATTAATTTGTTTTTCCTAACCCCTAGACCATAGGAACTGAATGACAAAAAATAAAAAAAGTCATTCTGTCAGTATAAAATGTTATTTTTAAAAAGTCGAATAGGGCACTGGTTTCTTTATATATGTAAACCTTCCCTCATCTTTTCTACTGAAAAGGTACTGGATTATTTTTGTTTCTCATTTTTATTTATTTATTTTTTGAGACAGAGTCTTACTCTGTTGCCCAGGCTGGAGTGCAGTGGCATGATCTCTGCTCACTGCAACCTCTGCTTCCCGAGTTCAAGCGATTCTTCTGCCTCAGCTTCCTGAGTACCTGGGATTACAGGCACCTGCCACCATGCCTGGCTAGTTTTTGTATTTTGGTAGAGACAGGGCTTCACCATGTTGGCCAGGCTGGTCTTTAACTCCTGATCTCAAATGATTCACCTGCCTCAGCCTCCCAAAGTGCTGGGATTCCAGGCCTGGGCTACCGCACCCGACTGTTTTTTTTATTTTTTTTTTGCTGCATAGGCTGGAGGTTGCAGTCCAGGTATGAAGGAACCATTGCCTGTTGATTTACAAATTGTTCATGTTTTCTTTGATTCATTTGCATGATTAGAGAAAATGTTGGCTAACTAAAACATATGGGAGATTAAACACCACAGTGTTACCTCTGGGGAGAGGTATACTTGTGGAACAGAGAGACCTTGATCTTTCCTTTATGCTTCTATGTTATTTGAATTCATTACAGTGTTTACTTGTCTGCTTTGTGAAATATTTGCCTGGAAGATACCTATAATATTTTATAAAATTGCTAAACCTTAAAGAGGACCATTTAGTGCTGTAGTAAAGAAGAAGTAAGTGTTGATTAGTCCCCAACTTGGTGCCAGGCTGTGGCACTTTCATAGTGGGGAATGGATCTAGGCTAGGCTAGCGGTGCAGAGGAGGGAGCTTAGGGCCAGATGTGGCTGGAATCCCAGCTCGCCCACTTGCCAGCTGCAAGGTGCTTACTTTCTTTGTTCCTTAGGTTCCTTTGAACAGTGTTGAGTACACAGGCTTACCTCGGTTATGTTTACTTTGGTGATAGCCTCTGAACTCACACTGGGAATAAGAAATGTCATTGTTAAAGAAATCCCTAAAAGAAAGACAAGTTAAAAAAAAAAAAACCAATAATAATGGACAGGAGAGTGCTATTTAGAGCCTATCTCTGATAAATATACAGACAGCCTTCTTTATCTGCGGGTTTCACATCTGTGGGTTCAACCAACCATGGATTGAAAATAGTTTTTGAAAAAACAATGAAAAATAATACAATAAAAAATAAAAATTTGGCCGGGCGCGGTGGCTCAAGCCTGTAATCCCAGCACTTTGGGAGGCCGAGGCGGGTGGATCACGAGGTCAAGAGATCGAGACCATCCTGTTCAACATGGTGAAACCCTGTCTCTACTAAAAATACAAAAAATTAGCTGGGCATGGTGGCGTGTGCCTGTAATCCCAGCTACTCGGGAGGCTGAGGCAGGAGAATTGCCTGAACCCAGGAGGCAGAGGTTGTAGTGAGCCAAGATCGTGCCATTGCACTCCAGCCTGGGTAACAAGAGCGAAACTCCGTCTCAAAAAAAATAAATAAATAAATAAAAATAAAAATAAATAAATAAATAAATAAATATTTAAAAAGCAGTACATGTAACAGCTATTGGCCTAGCATCTACATCGTCTTAGGCGTTTTAAGTAATCTAGAGATGGTTTGACGTATAGGGGAGGACACGTGCGGGTTACACGTTGAGTACTGCACCATTTTCTATAAGGGACTTGGATCTCCTCGAATTTCAGTATTCATGGGAGGTCCTGGAAGCAGTCCCCCTCAGGATACTGAGGGATGACTGTGCACACGTGTGGTGACAGGGCTTTTGAAGTGAGAACTAAGCTTACAAGAAAGAATCAGGATGGTTTCTACTTAGCCTTATTAAGAACAGCATTAAATATAATTGTGGAGGTGTACGTGGAAAGTTAGAGTAGGAGAAACTTGGTTTGACCTCCACATTTCATGTAATCCTACTCTGCTGTAATGGTTCTCACCAGGGGTGACACATGGAGTTTGCAAGGCAGCTCCCCCCAAACAGTGTGAGGCCTGGTCCTTTTGGGTTCATCTTCTGTCTTCCTCCTTTGGCTTCTCTCTGGTTGGAAACGGCTTAGTGAGCCACCACTGCTGAAGATGTACATTTAGCTTTGGAAAGACATGGAGGGTGTGCAGTGTGGGACACAGCACTGCAGCCAGATGACATCTTCTGGGCCCAAGGGCCCTCGGGGGCTGTCACTTCCTGGCCTCCCTGTCACTCCCTGATATCTGCTTTCACTCCCTGGCCTCGCTTCCTCCTCACTGCCCCATCCAGGAACAGGTGTCTCCCCTGCCTGCTGTTTGACACAGAGCCGTGGGTGTGCAGACACTCACCTGTCCAGAGGTGCTGACCAGTCATCCTCTTGGTTGCTGCCCGGGTTGTCTCCTTGTCCCTTTGGTTGTTGTCCTGGTACCTCCCAGAACTGTTCCCTGGCTTTGCAGCCTGTGTTATGCCTGTCAGCCCCACCGTTACCCCCGTCAGTTTCACGGGAACTATTTTTTTAGGAGTTTCTCAATTTTGACCCTGGCACAAGCAAGCACTCTTGCTTTGAAAAACTTGTTCTTCTCACTCCTCCACCCGCCGCCTGTCCCTTTTCCCCCATTTCCCCTACCCCCCATTATTTTGAGTTAATTTTAGCTGGGCAGTGGATATTAGTATTCATTCTTAATTTACCATCTTAACCTAATTTTCTTTCTTTAAAAAAATTAGTCTTTAGACTTCTGGTCCAGATAATCTTATGAGTTCACACAGACATTCTCCTACCAACACCAAAATGATAGCAGGGACTGATAGATATTATATTTATTATATATATTTTACATATATATATAATAATAATAATTATTTTTTGAGACAGTCTCACTCTGTCACCAGGTGCTAGGTTGGAGTGTAGTGGCGCGACCTCGGCTCATTGCAACCTCCGCCTCCCGGGTTCAAGCAGTTCTCCTGCCTCAGCCTCCCGAGTAGCTGGGACAGATAACATATTTTAACATGTTAAAATCATGTCATCATACTCAAAAGCAGCATATAATGGCCGGGCATGGTGGCTCACAGCTGTAATCTCAGTACTTGGGAGGCTAAGGCTGGAGGATTGCTTGAAGCCAGGAGTTTGAGAACCTCCTGGGCGAACATAGACTCCATCTCTACAAAAAATTAGAAAAACACAACAACAACACATATAACTTCAAGGACCAGCAGTAATCAAGAGCTGAAGTGACACTCCTGGACTTTGGAATCAGGCCAGGCACCTGGAGGTGATTGGAAGTTCAACTCTGGCCGACTGATGGGGGCCCTGGTGTATGGTTGGGGACTGGAGCCAAACTCACCATCTGAAAACTGATTTGGGTGAGGCTTCTCTGTAAATGAAGGCTTCAAGTCAGTATTTGGCCACTAACAGTGAGCTAATGTCTGTGTTAATAGGAAGGGATAGAGACATTGGGCCTTGAGAAGACCAAAATCTGGGCGGATAGAGACATTGGGCCTTGAGAAGACCAAAATCTGGGCTTCAGTGTTGGAAATGACAACATAAACTAGTCATGGAAAGGTGGCCATCAAGAGAGGATAAAAGAAGCAGTCGTGTAAACCATGAAATACACACTCCCTGCTCAGACGTTCCTGCACGCTGGCATACAAACCATCATCAGGAAGCATTAGCAGCACACTCCCAAAGTGGGAGAGAGTGGCAAAATAGCAACTGAAACACATTTTAAAACAATTGCACTTAAAATCTTTAAGGAGATAAAAATCACAAAACACAAATAAGTAGGTATGAAACTAGCAGAAATCCAAAAAGTGAAAGATGCAGTCATTGAAAAATTTCCCTTTGCTTAGTTGGTTTAAAGAAAAAGAAATAATTAGGGAAAAGAAGCTTTTAAAACCATGCAGAAGAACCGTGTGATATTCTAGAAAGTGGTGATAAGGCAAAAATGCAAAACAGATCATCTGTAAGATCCCACCGTGTGGGATTTTAATATATATTCTACCTGCTTTTTATGCAAATAGATTTTTTTTTTGTACGAATAGGGAATATACTCTAGACTTTTATAACTTTTTCATTGATGTAAACTTTTTTTCATCAGTAAGTCTTCTATGCCCTCAAATCTATACTTGCAAATGGGCGTATTATAATTTATTTAAACATTCTGCTAGTCCAAGCTATTTGGGACATGCTGTCGTGAGTGTCTTTAAATTTTATTGTTTAAAAAATATCTTTGACCACAAAAATAAAAATAGTGAGAAAATATAAAAGCATAAAGAAAACAAGAATCACTAATTTCACTGCAAAAAAATAAACTTTATAGCTGTAACTCTGTGTGTGTGACTGTAGGTGCAAGTGTGTGTGCAGTAGCCATTTTATGACACGTTTTGTTTTGTAACCTCTTTTGTCACTTAACATTGTGAATAGTTTTCCATGTAAAATACAGCGTAATATCAACTATAGGGTGTCTAGTTGTCATTGTAAGCCTATACATATGTAATTAATTCTCAGTATATGACAAGTTGTTTTATTTCACTATTATGAACAGTTCTATCCGGTATGATATTATAAATAATGTTAAGGTTTTCTTAATGCACACTTATGTTTACTTTCAACAGGCTTTTGCTTATGATCATTGTTTCTGGTCTATGGATGAATCTGTCAAAGAAAAGTATGCAGGTAATAGAATCCAGCATCCTGTCAACTACAGGGTGTTAAGTATTTTTTGTCCTGTACATGATTGCTTGGCAGACCCCCCAAACTGTGTTTTTCCTCTGCTCTCACACCACAGTAACAATCATTGGCGTAGAAGATGATTTAATGTGACCAAATAGGGGGGTTTTTCCCTGCACCCCAAGCAGCAGACACTGGCCGGGCATCCTCCAACTCAGTTCCAATGCTGTCTACCTGGGAACAGCGTCAGATCCACAGACTGAGGGCTCAGTCCCACAAGACTGCGCCCTCCTTCCCACCAGCGCAGGTCCAGGCCTCTAGAACTTCTTACTGACTGGCTTCCAATTGGGGTACCCACAACCCTCTCTTTGGGTTTGATTAATTTGCTATAGCAGCTCACAGAACTCAGGGAAACACTCATGTTTACTGGTTTATCATGAGGAATTATTTTTAAAGGACACAAACAGCCAGATGAAGAGATAGGGCGGGGTCTGGAAGAGTCCCAAGTACATGAGCTTCTGTCCCCGTGGAGGTGGCCCGTGCCCTCCTGGCGTGTGGATGTCTCACCTTCCTGTTGGCCTCTGTGTGTTCAGCAATCCAGAAGCTCTCTCAACCCTGCCTGCCGTTTTAGTTTTTATGGAGGCTTCCTTACATAGGTATGATTGTCAACCATTTAGAAATGTGGTTGGACAAAAAGTGCATGATCTGAACACAGCAAGTCCTGTCTCTTCAGACTTTTCTTGGCCATTCTGTGTAGCCTTCTTTCCTCCAAGACATGAGGTGCAAGACCTTGTGGAATGAGAAGCTCTTGACCTACAATCAGATGAGAGTCTTGCCTCAGGCAGGTAAAAGGAGGTCAGAAGATCAGATTGTTTCCTGAGGCCTAAAGTGCCCCAACAATGTAAAAACACTGCAATGTGTGGGTGGTAACCTATAGCTACATAATTACCATAGGGTATATATGATTACCGCAAGATTATCTTGCATAACTTTAGAAATGACAGACAGTACCCTCCTATGTTATTAGTTTTTTGTTGTTTTTTTTTTTAGATGGGGTTTTCACTCTTGTTGCCCAGGCTGGAGTGCAGTCCCGTTATCTCGGCTTACTGCAACGTCAGCCTCCCAGGTTGAAGTGATTCTCCTTCCTCACTCTCTCGAGTAGCTGGGACTACAGGCGCGTGCTGCCACTACACTCAGCTGATTTTTTGTATTTTTAGTAGAGATGGGGTTTCACCATGTTAGGGTGGTCCCAATCTCCTGACCTCGTGATCTGCCTGCCTCGGTCTCTCATAGTGCTAGGATTACAGGTGTGAGCCATCGCGCCCTGTCTGCTCTTAGAGTTTTTAATGGGAGATCACTGTGTGCTATTGTTGGTATAAGTTGATAATACTACATGACTAGTGCACACAGTGGTTATTCCACACTTACACGCCCCAGGCCTCACATGAGGCCGGAGCAAACAGTCGCCCCTTAGATTGTCCTGGAGGCCTGAGACTGGGCTGGAGAGGTTGGATGGCATAGTGATAGAAGAGGAGCACTGGCCAAGGAGAAGAGGAACCCGAGGCTCCTCACCGCCTCTGCGCCTTTCCGTAAATCACCTCACCTGCCAGAGCTTCCGTTCTCTCTCTGATGGAGAAGAATATACCATATTCTCTCTCAGTTTTCTTTTTGCTCTGGAAGTCTGTTACACTATTATTCTTCTAAATTATGACTGCCTCAAAGCCCATGTCATCACAACTTTAGGACTACAGTGACAGCCTTTGATTGCCTTTTTTCCCAGCTGCTTTTGTTACCTGTTTTTAAAACAATCTCTTTTAAACATTAAGCATCATATTGGTTTGGCTTCTGCTAGGAGAAAGATGAATAGTATGCCTGTTTTGAAGTTAAGATTCATTTGGTTTAGATGGCACAGTATCAGAAGTATGTACGGTAAGTTAACTGGTTAAAAAAAAAAGCCCCTAAAAAACTAGGAAGTGAGACATACTGGAATATGCTTGTCTTAACATAAAAGCATCCAGTTCTTCCATATGGTATTGAGACTAAGTGAGGTAGGGTGACTTGTCAGATTCACATTTGATTACTATTGCCATATTTCATTTGGCCTTTTGGGGAGAGCTTGACTCTATTCTTAATGTCCATGATTGAAAGCTGAGGGAAATTTCCAGGCTCCGACTCCCTGGCCTAACTGGCATGTATTGTAGATCCTGTAATTAGAAATTTTCTTTGAGGAAAAGGAGAGGGGATTGGTATATCTGATTATTTGACCTCTGGTACCCACTGAATAAAAGCATTGGCTGAGTGGTGCCTAGTTGAATTCAGGTACACCTGGGTCCCAAGTACAAATTTCAGATATTTATAATCATTGAATATAAAATGAGCAGCTTATTGGCTCTGCATTGCAGGGAATTCTTAGCAGTGTTTATTCAAGTACGTAGTACAGGGAGCTTTTTACTGATTTTTCCGTCATGTGCTAACTAGAAATAACCTGGGAGGCATAAGCCTTTGGGAGCATTCATCAAATTTAAAAATCTTGTTTGAAGATAAATAAGCCGATTATACATTTTGGAGATTTTTGTTTTTGTTTTGTGAATTGTTCATATGTAGTTTTGGCTAAAAATCGCGTCTCTTATTCTCTCTCTGTAAGGTCAAGATACTGTTTTCAAGTGCCTTGGGGAAAATATCCTGCAGAATGCTTTTGATGGCTACAATGCATGTATCTTTGCCTATGGACAGACTGGTAAATAACTTGAAATCCCGTAAACAACCATCAGTGAAAGAGAAAATAGAACCATGTTTATTTTACTGAGTAGCATCGATGATTCTTTGTTGTTTTTGTTTTCAGAAAGTACTGTAGATGTTGAAAGTAGTCAATAACATTGTTTTTAAATGGGTGTAATAAAATTTGGATTGGGATCTTTTTTCTTTTTTTTTTTTTGAGACGGAGTTTCGCTCTTGTTACCCAGGCTGGAGCGCAATGGCGCTATCTTGGCTCACCGCAACCTCCGCCTCCTGGGTTCAGGCAATTCTCCTGCCTCAGCCTCCTTAGAAGCTGGAATTACAGGCACACGCCACCATGCCCAGCTAATTTTTTGTATTTTTAGTAGAGACGGGGTTTCACCATGTTTACCAGGATGGTCTCGATCTCTTGACCTCGTGATCCACCCGCCTCAGCCTCCCAAAGTGCTGGGATTACAGGCTTGAGCCACCGCGCCCGGCCGGGATCTTTTTTCTTTACTCATTTTTCTCACAAGGCACTGGCTGGGTTGTTTTTCAAAAAAATACAGAGCTATGATTGTTGAACATATTATGAGCCATGCCCATATATCGTGCTTTTTTAAGGCTTTAAGAATCATAACAGAAAAAATACCAAAAAGAACGTACTTATTATCTCACAGTAATAACTAATAAACTTTTTGGCTTTTGCATCTCTGGTCAAGAAAAGAAAATCTATTTGAAGTAAACGGGTTACTTTTGTAAGAGTAAAGCATACATCTTGTCTAACTGGAAATGTTCTCACAGAAGAATGTGTTGAATGTTTCCAAGAAGGCTCGTGTGTCGTGCTGAAAGAGCAGAAAGCTGGGCCAGGCAATGACAGCTCCAGTCCTGCTCCTGCAGCTGGCCAGTGGAGAGACCTGGGCAGTTACTTCATGTCTCTGCCCTTCAGTCTTTTTACCTGCAAAGGCTGATGATCACAGACCTTCTCATAGGGTTGTCATAACGAGTTCACATTGCGCAAACTTTTTACAAAAGTCCTGGGACTCAGGGAATGTGGCACATTAGCTTTAGGTATTATGATGATAAAATGGTGTATGACAAAAAACAGCAACTTGTGGTTTAAAAGGATATTTGCAAAAACACTGCTACTAAAAACAAAAGGAATTATACTTAAGTATCAATAGTTATTTGTTTTAGGGTGGTGAGACTATGGTAATGTACGTTTTTTTTCTATTTTCCTGTGTTTTCTAAATTTTCTTTGTATTTTACAATGGAGAAAATAATTTTTTTTTTTTTTTTTTTTTTAAATAGTCTTGCTTTGTCTTCCAGGCTGGAGTGTAGTGGCACGATCTCGGCTCACTGCAGACTCTGCCTCCCAGGATCAAGGGATTATCCTGCCTCAGCCTCCTGAGTAGCTGGGATTACAGGCTTCTGCCCATGCCCAGCTAATTTTTTTTGTATTTCTAGTAGAGATAGGGTTTTGTATTTTTAGTAGAGATGGGGTAACATGTTGGCCAGGCTGGTCTTGAACTCCTGAACTCAGGTGATTGCTCCACCCACCTGGGCCTCCCAAAGTGTTGGGATTACAGGTGTGAGCTGGCATGAGCCACCATGCCCAGCTGAGAAATAATTTTATGTAAAAAAAAAGAAGAGTATTCTTTAGTTTCCACACTAGAGTGAAAGGGTAGTGAGCTAATTTGCTCTGGGGTCCAGAGGGAGAACCTGTATTGTTTGTGCAATAATCACTGGTTGGGAGCAGGCATGATAGTATTAATTACATAGTTCTTCCACTTTATTTCAGAAAACTTTTACACTTCACTATTTCTCAGTTGTGTTAGGTATTTTTTAAAAGTATGAAGATGTTAAAAAGTTTATGTTTCTTTCTAAAGGACAGTTGTTTTTCAATTTCACATGTGCAGTAAGAAAGCTTCTGTACTTGTTCTCATTGTATTTGGGTATGTTTCTTACTGCATTTTGGTATTTTGCTAAGTGTTTATAATTTATTAGGAGCAATAGAAAGAGGGTTATGTATTTCACTTCTCAAAGAGACTATAGTAACTGTGATTTCCATTTTCTTAGGATCTGGAAAATCTTATACCATGATGGGCACAGCTGACCAACCGGGATTAATCCCAAGACTTTGCAGTGGACTCTTTGAACGAACTCAGAAAGAGGAAAATGAAGAGCAGAGTTTTAAAGTAGAAGTGTCCTACATGGAAATTTATAATGAAAAAGTTCGAGACCTCCTTGATCCCAAAGGGTAAACAACTTTCAGACTTTAGTGTTTTAGCATTGTGAATTAAAACAGACTTAAGTAGGCATAAGTGCAAATCTTATTTATTTATTTTTAGAGACAGGGTCTCACTCTTTCACACAGGCTTCAGTGCACTGGCACGACCACAGCTTACTGCAGCCGTGAACTCCTGGACTTGAGTTTTTTTTTAACCCAAGACATTTCAGGTGGAATTCAGTTTTTTGTTTGCAGGCTGTGAGGTGAGGGAAAGGCATAATTAGAGAGATGAAACCTGGTCTTAAGGACAGTGAATTTTTAAAGATTCTCAGGAACAAAAAAAAGTAGGCGGGTGTTGAACAATGAGAACACATGGACACAGGGAGGGGAGCACTACACACTGGGGTCTGTTGGGGGGAAATGGGGGAGGGGCGGGGGGGTGAGGAGGTGGGAAGAGATAGCATGGGGGAAAAAAATAAATAAATAAAAAAAAATAAAAAAAAAAAAACTATCTAAATATACACTGTTACATAACTGGCTAAATAAGCTATAGAATACCATGCAGCAATTAAAAGAATAAAGTAGACCTTTATCAGGGAAAAAAAAAAAAAAAAAAAAAAAAGGGCCCTTGATTTCATGGCACAGACTTTGAAAGAGAATTGTGTCAGAAGTCTTAGGAGGCCTTCACAAACGCTGGTTTGACTCTGCAGCTGTAGCTCAATGAGGAAGTGTGAGGTATCTAGAAATCTGTTCATTCATCAAGACTTCTTAGAGTTCAGATTTTAAGGAAGTGCAACAGTGGAGAGAGATGGAGATAATGAGCCCAGCTTGTGGCTTGTCGATGTAAAAACAATATTAGGAAGGTCAAAGAGCCAAATAAGCCGAGGCCTACAGAAAGTCTGGAGGACGACAGGAGGACATTTGGTTTTGCTGGATGAGGAAGATGATCAAGGAAAGAGGATCTTTGAGGCAGTGAATCTTAGTGACTCTCAGTCAAGAGCAAACAGAACCCTCAGCTCCTCTCTGTTGTCAGTTTTCCTTGACCAAGATGATAATCTTCAGGGTTCTCACAGGGAGATTGCATTGATGCTCAGTGCTTCTATACAAACTTTACTTAACAAACATTTACTGAGGGATCATTATACTGCAGGCACTATGCGTGCACTCACAGTGTAGACAGAATGAGAGTTTTGTAAACAAATAATTAAAATACACCATAATCAGCTTTTAACTTGTGAAGGAGGCTTGTACAAATTAGAGAGCAAAGAGACCATGACTGATACTGCTCTGAGGAGAAGGGAAGATTCTACAGAGTGTATTTCCTTGATAACTTTCATACTGAGTGGGAAGTCTGTCCACAGGGAAGTTGGGTGAGAACTACCCAGGCATAGGGAACAACCTCTGGCACACCTTGAAGGTGTAAATTAATCACCTTTGGAGAATGATCCAGCAGTTGAGTATGGTCGGAGAGTAGGATGCACAGAAGTCAACATGGACCAAAAGGAGGCCAAGGCAGGAGGATGGCTTGAACCCAGGAGTTTGAGGCTTCAGTGAGCCGAGATTGTGCCACTGCACCCCAGCCTAGATGACAGGACAAGAGATCCTGTCTCAAAAGAAGTAAGAAATAAAAAATGTTCCAAAACAAAGAGGCCAGGGAGTACCTTACGGCCCAGGTTCCTGCATCCTACTTAATATTATACCCTTGCATGTTTTTTTTTTGTTCTGCCTGGAATACTTTTTTTTTTTTTTGGACTGTGACCTCTGCGAAGATCATCACTTTTCTGAGATCCAGCCCAGACCTACCTACTCTTTCCAGAAATTCTTAGCTGACTGACTTAATATCTGTTCATTCTTGTGCTTAATCCACAGTGCTTGTATGGCATCTTTTGAACTTATCTGCATGTGTGCAGTCTTTAGCAATTTCTTCTATGTTTGTCTTGTGTATAGATGAGTAATTAACAGCTTACTTGCAGTAATTAACAGCAAATTCCAAAGCGCTTGGAATTTGAATAGCTGTGCATCTAGGGCCTCTACTTGTTTCGTATTCAGCAGGTTTCTTAGGCTTTCCAGGCCTAACTTGTGAGCCTAGAGGGAACTTGGAGAGTGAAATGATAGGATACCGTTACCTCAGAGGGCTGTGGTGAAGATAGATGGGCATGATACACCTGAGTTCTGAGAACACTTGCTGGCATACAGTAAGTGGTCAGTAAGCTGCTGCTCTATCTCCCCAGTGAAAATTTCTGGGAAATATTTTTTTTTTTTCAGTTTCTGAAGATTCAGAGTAAATGGATTAAAAACTCTAAAGGTGATCTCATTTCAGTAAAAGACCATTTGAGAAAACTTCCTTTTTTCATTCTAGTACTGAAGATATTAATTCAACATCTAGTATATAGTAAATCAGGAGATAATAGAGGATACATTAAGAGGAAATATGAAAGGATAATAGAAAATATGCTAGGTGAGAAGTAAATCAGATATTCTGTGTCTGCTTTATCAAGAGTTATGTGGTAAGTGACATTTTTAGTGGTTGATCTTAGGTACTATAGATCTTAGATTTAACAGTCATTTTCTTATCCGCTAATTTTACTGGTGATAGGAAAAATTACAGGTGCCTGCCATCATGCCTGGCTGATTTTGTGTTTTTAGTAGAGATGGGGTTTTGCCATGTTGGCCAGGCTGGTTTCGAACTTCTGACCTCAAGTGATCTGCATGTCTGAAACTTTCGTCTACTTTCTTTATTATGGGTATTAGTGATTGAGTGCGGTTCAGTTTCTGTGCTAGTCATTCACTGTATATGTTCCACATTTCTTCCCTTCCTCTCCTGCCTTCTTAGTTACTGGTACTCTCTCCAATCACAGAAGCTACCACATTTGGAGTCCTCTTTGTCACTCACTCATCTGCACTTTGTTAGCAAACTTTGTTCATTTACCTAGTGTTACTTACGTGCCAGGACTTGTGCTAGGAACTTCAGGCTCCCAAAGTAATAAGACATTATTCTTGCTATTCTAGAGCCCGAAGTTTATTATAGTATAAATGGACAAAAGTAAATTAATTCCTGCCTAAGGTAAGGATTAGGAGACTCTGAGTAAGAGGTGGTCAAAAACAGGTTATAAAGGAGCCCGCATATCAAGCTGAGGAGTATGCACCTCTCTTCACAGGCATCAAAGAACCACCAAAAAAGTCTAGACATTGGCTGGGCGCAGTGGCTCACGCCTGTGATCCCAGCACTTTGAAAGGCCGAGGTGGGCCGGTCACTTGGGGTCAGGAATTCAAGACTAGCCCTGGCCAACATGGCAAAACCCCGCATCTACCAAAAATATAAAAATTAGCTGGGTGTGGTGGTGCATACCTGTAATCCAAGCTACTCGGGAGGCTGAGGCAGGAAAACAGCTTGGACCCAGGAGGCGGACGTTGCAGTGAGCTGAGATCATGGTACTGCAGTCCAGCCTGGGCAATAGAGTGAGACTCTGTTTCAGAAAAACAAAACTTTAAGCATTATAATGTATTACTTACTTAAAAAAACCAGATTTTGTGTAGTTCAAAAATGGACACACATTTGTGGTATAAAATAAGGATAAACAAAAATACAAAATGAAAATCACCACTAATCTTATTAACAAATATTCTTTTTTAGAATTTGATTTTTAATTGACAAATGAGAATTATACGTGTTTATAGACTACAGTGTGTTTTGATCATGTATATATTATGGAATGATTGTATCAAGCTAATTAACATATCCATCACCTCACACACTTAGTTTTTTTTGTGGTGCAGACATTTAAAATCTACTCAGCAGTTTTGAAATACACATTATATTACTGACTGTAGTCACCATGCTGTGCAATAGATCTCAACATATTCCTCCTAGTGCAAACTTTGTACCCTTTGACAGACACTTATAAACCAAAAATATTATGCATATTTGTTAAAGTATGCTATCTGTTCTCTACATTTTTCTCAGATGTTCTTTATTGAGTTTATTAATTCCTTGTTTGTTAAGAGGTTTTTTTTTTAAACTTAGGAATATTTAACTTTAATTTTAATTTTTTTTTTTTTTTGAGACAGAGTCTTACTCTGTCACCCAGGCTGGAGTGCAGTGGCGCAGTCTCGACTCATTGCAGCCTCTGCCTCCTGGGCTCATGCAGTTCTCCTGCCTCAGCCTCCCTAGTAGCTGAGATTACAGGCACGTGCCACTGCGTCCAGCTAATTTTTGTACTTTTAATAGAGATGGGGTTTCACCATATTGGCTATGCTGGTCTTGAACTGTTGACCTCAGGTGATCCACCTGCCTTGGCCTCCCAAAGTGCTGGTATTACAGGTGTGAGTCACCACCCTGGCCTTAATTTTATTGAATCTTTTTTCATGCATTTATTGAAATGATCACATTTTCCCACCCCCTCCCCCTCTTAGGCTGTGATGAAAGTGCATGAATCTTTTTTTTTTTTGAGTTGGAGTCTTGCTCTGTCCCCTAGGCCTGGAGTACTGTGGAGTGATCTTGGCTCACTGCAACCTCTGCCCCGTGGATTTAGCAATTCTTCTGCCTCAGGCTCCCTAGTGGCTGGGATTACAGGTGCCTGCCATCACGCTTGGCTGATTTTGTATTTTTAGTAGAGATGGGGTTTTGCCATGTTGACCAGGCTGGTTTCGAACTTCTGACCTCAAGTGATCTGCTTGTCTCGGCCTTGACCTCCCAAAGTACTGGGATTACAGACATGACTCACTTCGCCCAGCCAAGTGCATGGATCTTTTTTTCCAATGGTCAATAGCTAGAAGCCCTGAGAGAAGCCCAATTTTGTATTTTGAAATCATTAGATTCAGTTTGTTGTCTTTTGTCTCTCTTCATGACTGAGACTGGTCTGTAGTTTTCCTTTCCTGCACAGTTAACATTTACTGAGTTTCTGCTCTTTGTACCACATTCTGTGTGAGACAAATAGATTGTTCATATTTATTTGACTCTGCATTCTTTGCAGTAGTAAATAGACATCCCACAATGTACCCTTTTGAGTGATGTGATATTTAATCACATGGAGTTTTCCTTCGCAGTGAGGATTTTAAAGTTTGGTTTAAATTCTTTGGCGATCAGGTCCATTGGTTTTATTTATTTGGGGTCTTTCTTGAATTCATTGTATATTTTTACGGAGCACAGCTGAGTCCTTTTTAGAAACAGGCTATTGTTAAAAAAATCACTTCTTTGTTTTTCATGAACAGAAGCCGTCAGACGTTGAAAGTCAGAGAGCATAGTGTATTGGGACCTTATGTGGATGGACTTTCTAAACTGGCTGTCACAAGCTACAAGGTAATATCCTGCATGGGAATGACTTAAATTCAGTGTAGTTGGGTGGGACTGCTTTTTTTCTTGGCTTAATTTGTTATTATTTTAAAAAATTAAATGTATAATAGCATCACTTACTAAGTTACTTTTTACAGAAATCCTGAAAATGAGGTAGTTGGTCAGAGACCAGCGAGTAAATATAGACTAGGATTTTGCTTTTAAATGGAAAGTTATCAGACTTAATGGATCTACAGTGGGTTTGGAATAGATGTAGAAAATTGTGAGTTTTATCTTTGGCTGCTTTGCCCCATTCTGGGGCCCACTTTTACTTCTTTTTCCAATTAATGTTTTTACTTGGAGGCTTTTTATGTATCAAGTTGAATTTTTTCATAGACTTTTTTTTAATAGAAACCTGTGATTTTCAGTTTTTGGTAATGTGTGTCAGGATTGTGTTCAGCTGCATAAAACATTAAAAAATGTAACAGAGTTAAGTTCTTTGAAACATGGATTATTGTCTCTTTTGCCCATTGTATATCTGCAGTGTCTGAAAAGTACCTGGTCTAGGTAGGTGCTTTCATTATACATTTGAAAGTGTGAACAAATGCGTGGTGATTGAAACAAGACTTTTCATTGAAAAGAAATCTGGAGGTAGACTCTTCAGGGCTGGTATGGTGGTCCCAAATGTGTTATTAGGGACCTAGATTCCTTCCAGTGGTCAGCATAGAGAGGGGTGGTAATGCCCTTATTCCCTTAGTTCAAGATGGCTCTCAGAACCAACACGTGATAGCATGCCTACTCCCTTAAGGAAAATTCCCACATGGCCTATCTTAATTTTAAATCTTATCCACTAAAATGTCATGTGGCCAGACTGAGCTGCAGGGGCATCTGGGAGATGTAGTCTGTTAGCTTGGCCAGATGTGCTAAGTTGAAGATTTGGGCATCCTTACTGGAAGGAAGTGAACACTGGATAATGGGAAGCATCTAGTCAACTTACATATATACCATTTTTCTCACTCCTTATAAGATCCTTGTGAGGCAGATGGGTGTCATAGATCTGCATTGTTATTAATGCAGCTAAAATCCAGGTTAATTGTTTCAGAGCTTATAACATTAAAAAAAAAAAAAAAAAAAAGAAAAACTTCCATGGTCGTCTTCTTGTATTTTGCTGTCTCTGTTTCTTAGTAGTAGTAGCAGCAACCAAGGGGTAAATCAGTGCAGAAAATAAGTCTGTTGAGGTTCTAATTTTTACAAACAGGTCTGGTAAGATAGTGGTAGTCGGTGATAGGTCTGGATGAAGGGACAGATAACAGAAGTTAGTTGCGTGCTTCTTTGTGTAATCTAATTTTTTTAACAATAAATTTGTATTGCTTCTGTATTAAGTTTTTTCAAATTTCTGTATTAGATGGGGGCTGGCATGTCATAGTTGTTCATCTTGTGTGCAGATGAACAGCTGCAGCTTCTGGACTTTAAGCCGAAGCTGCCACTTCTATACCTGTAGCAAATGATGTACTTTTTTTTGAGTTTTCAGAGACAGTATTGGCTCTTGTACTCCCAGGGGCTCAACATTCATTGAGAAACAAAGTGTTTTTAACTCCAAATGTCGTTGACTAAGTAGCAAAATTTATAATGCATTTCGTGGTATAGCAGAGTTTTAGTGTGTATTACACAGGGAATGACACGTGGGCCTATGGCTTGTTTCCACTTAGGATATTGAGTCGTTGATGTCTGAGGGTAACAAATCTCGCACTGTCGCTGCAACCAACATGAACGAGGAGAGTAGCCGATCCCATGCAGTTTTCAAAATCACCCTCACACACACACTCTACGATGTGAAGTCTGGGGTAGGTGTTCCTATGTATGACCTGTTTCTACATTTCTAAAGTGGATGGTGGTTTATTTTTTTCCTCTTCAGGTGTTAGATGAATTAAAGTCATGGCTAGACTTGTGTATCCATGAGGACTCTGGACAAGAAACAAGCCACTCTAGCTCAGCAGAAAGGGATTTCATGTAGGGAAGCAGGTGATTTGGGATTGTTGGGACATCTGGGTTCTAGACTACCTCTTGAGGAATAACTGTCCGAACAGTACACATCTGGCTACTGGGGCAGTGCCACCTCTGAGGACACCTGTAGAACTCTGAGTTCCAGGCATACCCGTAGCTGTGATCCAGAAAGCAAGAAGAGAGACGTCGCTTCTGTCCATGCTGCTGTCTCGTAGCACCCTGGGAGCTGGAGCATGTGCTTGTGTTTCCCCGGTCCCTCTGCCAACAGAAAAAGCCAGAAAGGGGCAGCGGGCGGCCTCTGCTCTACTTCTGCTTTCCAGCCTCTAGCAGGTGTATCCTGAGCCCAGGCTGCCAGGGAGTCTGAGAAATGTGGCTTTAAGCTCCCCACCCGCTCCCACTAAAGGAAGGTGGAGCAGAAGTTAAGTGCACCGGTGGCCCAGTGTCTCTGTCCCAGCAGCTTTTGTGTTTTAAACTGTGATGGATAACTGCATGAGCCAGTGGTAGTGCTCTTCCTTGCCCAGGCACTGTGCCTCACACCTGCAATCCCAGCACTTTGGGAGGCCATAGCGGGAGGATTGCTTGAGCCCAGGCAGTCTGGTAACATAGTGAGACTCCATTTCTACAGAAAATCTAAAAATTAGCATGTGTGGTGTGGGTGGTTCATGCCCATAGACCTAGCGTAGGGAGGCTGAGGTGGGAGGGTCGGTTGAGCCCAGGAATTTGAGGCTGCAGTGAGTTGTGATTACCCCACTGTACTAGACAACGGAGCAAGACCCTGTATCAAAAAAAAAACAAAAACAAAAAAACAACAACAACAAAAAAACTAGCTGATTTAGCGGAGGTTCTTTTGCAGTGTTGCCTTCTGTGAAACACTATTGGAATAAGTGACACTCAGAAAATGGTACTATAAAATCACCCACTTCTGTAGAAGAACTTTTTGAGTGTTTGGCTTTGAATCTTAGGAAGATAAACCCAATCAGAGATATATATGCCTCTGCCACATTGCAGACCTCTCTGTTGCCTAGTATATTTGCGTTTTCCCTCTTTTTATGTGAATTTTACTTACTTTATTATGATGTCTACCCCCTAGTGTGTCCATTTCAAATACCAGAAGGTAAAATAATCACCCTGGCAGAGTGCTGTATTTTGGCAGGATTTTCATCTGCTGAAAGCATATTTTTCTCCTTTTACCATCACAGCAAGATTAGTGTAACAACAAAAAGTTCTTTGTTTCTTATTTCCTTTTCGCCATAAAACAAAAAACATACTGAATACTTTTTAAAAAAAAAACAAAGTATTTTTGACTTGGGACGCTGAATATCCTTTCGTTAACAGCATGTTTATTTATGGAAATAAACGTCTATTTTAAAGGAAAGTTTTAAAAATGATCCAATCTACAGATTTTGCTGTTGGTTTCCTGCATTTCTTTTATTGTTACTGAAGTATAAAGTATGTTACATTATGTGCTTGATAAGAAAACACTTTGATAAAGATATCTGTGTTATCTGTATGTATATAGTATCTTAACAAGAAAAAGATGTGAATCTCACCCCTGACATGAAGTAAAATAGAATTATATAAGAATAAGGAGTACATAATAGAAAATGTTCTGAGATTTTGAGGGATTCTTCTGTTATATAAAGGTCAGATTAAATTTTTATGTCAGAATTGCAAGCATTTTGTCTCAGGATTATTGATAAATATTCATGAAATTTTAAACACAGTTTCTAATAGTAAAATTTAAATCTTGGAAATACTTTTATATACTGCTCTGGAAATTTTGTTGGGCGCCCTTCAAAATGGCCCATTTTGGAGGCACTATGTTTCTGAGATAATTAGCTTTCATTTTATAAATTTTCTGTGTCTCCATCATTAGATTGTAAGAGTTTCTTACAGTGTGTTATAGCAGCACAAAATAATTTTAAAGCAACAGTAAATACTTTTTTTTTTTTGAGATGGAGTCTTACTCTGTCACCCAGGTTGGAGTACAGTGGCCTAATGTCAGCTCACCGCAACCTCTGCCTCCTTGGTTCAAGCGATTCTCCTGCCTCAGCCTCCCAAATAGCTGGGACTATAGGTGTGTGCCACCACGCCTGGGTACTTTTTTATATTTTTTAGTAGAGACGGAGTGTCACTGTGTTAGCCAGGATAGTCTTAATCTCCTGACCTCATGATTCGCCCGCCTCAGCATCCCAAAGTGCTGGGATTACAGGCATGAACCACTGTGCCCGACTGCAGTAGCAGTAAATACTTACAATAAAGGGTTTACATCATAAATTTATTTAGTTGTGACAGAACTGCTTTTTGTACTTTTTCTTTTTTGAGATGGAGTTTCACTCTTGTTGCCCAGGCTGGAATGTAATGGCGCAATCTCGGCTCACTGCAACCTCTGCCTCCTGGGTTCAAGCAATTCTCCTGCCTCAGCCTCCCAAGTAGCTGGGACTATAGGCGTGTGCCACCACGCCTGGGTAATTTTTTATATTTTTTAATAGAGATTGGGTTTCACTGTGTTAGCCAGGATAGTCTCAATCTCCTGACCTTATGGTTTGCCCACCTCAGCCTTCCAAAGTGCTGGGATTACAGGCATGAGCCACCGTGCCCAACTGAAGTAAGAGTAAATACTTTTAATAAAAGGGTTTACATCATAAATCCATTTAGTTGTGACAGAACTGCTTTTTGTGTGTGTGTGTGTGTGTTTTTTTTTTTTTTTTTGGTGGGGGAGTTGGAGTTTCACTCTTGTTTCCCAGGCTGGAGTGCTGTGGTGCAATCTTGGCTCACCGCAACCTCTGCCTCCCAGGTTCAAGTGATTCTCCTGCCTCAGCCTCCCAAGTAGCTGGGATTACAGATGCACCACCACGCCTGGCTAATTTTGTATTTTTGGTAAAGGCGGGGTTTCTCCATGTTGGTCAAGCTAGTCTTGATCTCCTGACCTCAGGTGATCTGCTTGCCTCTGCCTCCCAAAGTGCTGGGATTACAGGTGTGAGCCACCGCACCCGCCCTGTATTGTTCTTTAAGAGACAGAGTCTCTGTCGCTCAGGTTGGAATTCAGAGATGCAGTCATACAGCGATGGAGCTATATGACTGCACTATCAGTTTCACTATACTCTGGAACTTCTGGGCTCAAGTGACCTCCCACCTCAGCTTCCCAAGTAGCTGGGACTATAGGCACATACCACCATGGCCAGCTGTTTTTTTTAAATTTTTTGTGGAGAGAGGATCTTATTGTGTTGCCCAGGCTGTTCTTGAAATCCTGGGCTCAGGTGCTTCTTCTTTCTTGTCCTTCCCAAGTTCTGAGATAACAGGCGTGAGCCACCATGCCTGGCCCTGTGTTCCTGTTTCTTAGTGTTGATTGACTTCCTTGTAGACATCTGGAGAGAAAGTGAGCAAACTCAGCCTGGTGGATTTAGCTGGCAGTGAACGAGCAACGAAGACCGGTGCTGCAGGGGACAGGCTGAAGGAAGGGAGCAACATAAACAAGTAAGTGCTCGAAGCTTATTTTTATTGCTTTATTGATTTAATAGCCAATAGGGGAATATCTGTGGTTATTAAAATAACAAGGTGATTTGGAATTTTTTTCTGGTGTTTTCAGTGGGCCTGGGCTCATTTTAGATTTTGTTGAGATGCCTGATGGGGCCGAAGAGCACAGCTTCAGTCAGGTCAGGGTTTCTGAGTGGTGACCCTATTGCCCTTTTGGGTTGGGTAATTCTTTTCATGGGAGGGGTGATCTGTGCTTTGCAGTGTCTAGCTGCATCCCTGGCTTCTCCCCACTAGATGGCGGTAGTAGCCGCCACCTCTCCCCGCACCCCTAGTTAAGTCAAGCTGACCTCACTCTCAATGGCTGTTCCTTGTGGGGACACAGTCACCCTCCAGGTGATAACCACTGGTCTAAGCTATAGAGAAGATCAAAGGGTAGTTGATCTCTCGGAGTGGAGCTGCTGATCTTGACCTGTGTGATGCTCTTTGGAGAAACATGCACTAACCACATTGAGCTTTTCCTTTTATAAACACTGCCGGAGTTGTCCCAAGTCCAAGAAGCTAAGACTTTATGAAGTAATATTTAGTTTACCAGTTCCTTCATAGGGTTAAATTTTCTCTCTCAAGCTAAATTGTTAGCTCATTATGGGTAGGAAGCTTTTCTGTGTTTGTGGCTCCCAGAAGGACACATAGGAGTCATAAGCAAATGGAGATGACAGAGCACCGTCACACAGATGCTGTCCTGCTATTGAAGCTCATATGTACAATTTTCGTTTGTCCTGTGGTTTAATTATTGTGTTTCTGCCTTCCTTTCTTAAAGATACATGGTTTTTGTGTTACCTTGACTTGAAGATTTACAGCTCCCGTTTTTATGTACTAAAAAATACTGGGCTAAGCGTTTTTATTGCTTATAGCAGTATTGGGAGAAAAGAGCTATTTCAAGTTTTGTGCTTTTGAACTGAGTGGCAAAATGCTGACAGGGTCCTTTTCACATGCAGGTCCAGGGCATCTTGGTGTTCAATCTTTGTGCTAAACTGTGACATTTGATAGCTTCCATTTTTGTCATTATTTCGGTTTGCTGCACTGTGCAGGTCCCTCACCACCCTCGGCCTGGTTATCTCAGCCCTTGCAGATCAGAGTGCTGGCAAAAACAAGAATAAATTCGTTCCGTATCGTGACTCAGTTCTCACTTGGCTGCTCAAAGTAAGTTTTTCTTTTTTTCTTCCCGGCATACTTTTGGTGGTTGGCAAGAAGGAAGAAAAAAGAGTAGATTGCTAATCCCTTCCAGGTGTCGTGTCCTCCATCGGTGGGCAAATGTATAATTATTAGGCTCTTATGGTAATGACATTTTTGATGGAATAAACATAGGGTTTTTTTTCCTAGCAATTCACAACCAAGCTTACTGGAACTTGGATGCAGCGGGGTTGCTGGGTGCATGTGGAATCACATGATTGCTTCTGGAAATTTGGGGGAGTAGAGAAAGGGCCTCGTGTGAATCTGACTGCTGCCTGAGTCATGGAGGAGGAGCCTCCGCTGGCCCCATGCTCAACTGGGCCACCCTGGCCTTCCATAGACCCTTTTGTTGGGCTGATATTTTGGAGCTTGTTTTCTCTTTAACTTCAGGACATTCAGACCTTGCTTTCTGTTTAGCTTTATTCATGATGGCTTTATTGCTTTTGGCTTCTTTTTTTTTTTTTAAATATTTATTTATTGTACTTTAAGATCTGGGGTACAGGTGCAGAAAGTGCAGGTTTGTTACGTAGCTACAGACATGCCATGGTGGTTTGCTGCATCTATCACCCCATCATCTACATTAGGTAGTTCTGTTGTTAGAGGCTGCAGAGTAGGGCATACAGTCATTCATTGATGAATGGATTCAGCATGGAAGAGCAATGGAAGTGAGAAAGAAAAAAGCCAACGTCCAGTGGGAGGAGGAGAACACATGCTCCATTTTAAACACAGAAAGACAGAGCGCACTTCTTGCCTTCTGTAGCTCACAAGGGAGATAAGATGTGCACACACAACGTTAGAACATGAGTTTGTGATAGATCCATGGCAGAGACAGTGATAATGTGTAATAGGAGTTTGGTTAAAAAAGACACTTGGCAGCTTCCGCCAGCCTTCTAGGGTGCCTTTAGTCTTCATAAGTTGGTGTGGTGAGTTGGATATCAGACTGGGAATTAGCGGATGTAAGTTGCAATGACAGTTTAACCCTTTTATAGAGGTGTCACCTGACTAAATCCTTTAATACTTGTTTTCTATTTTTAAAATGGAGAAGTAATTTCATGCACGCTGTTCAGTTTTGTGATGCTTTATTTTCTTATTGATCAAGAATTTGTTGAGCACTTGGCATGCCTTGCATTAGGGGTTGAAAATATTAAGATGAGTTCAACATGGGCCACCCCAGTAGCTTGGTAGAGGACACAGTTACTGATTTAGTCCATAGTATGATTAGAAAATGGCCTTTGTGAAACAATGTAGGGGTTTCTCCTGGTTTCTACCTCCTCTCAAGGGTTACTAGTATTCAATTTTTTAAATTCAAAACTCCGGGCACTATTTGAATATGTTTTGTTAAAATAAAACATTATTTGCATAAATGTCAGTGTGTTCTTTCTTAAATAAAATGCTAAAATTCAATAAATTTGCCACAGTAGAAAACTGATTACTTCCTTTGACCAAAATGCAGTACTGTTAAAATTTAAATAAAAGTGTAAACAAATTGTGATAATTAAAACTCCTTGTAAAGGTTCTTCATGCAACCTCACGAACATCAGATAATAAGAGATAATTATTAGGAACAAGACTAAAAGAATTCGATTCATCATAAAGACAATTCTAACTTTCAGTCTTTTAAAGTAGAACATTTTTACTCAGATTTTGTTATTAGAATCACTGATGTCAGTCTACATAACTAAATAACTCAGTGTTTTTACCCTAACTAAAAAAAAATAAATTTACTTTTCCTTCTGTCTCAAACAGCATAAGCACTTCTACTTCTGCAAGACTAACAAAAATATTTTGTAGTTTTTTTCTGTAGAATAATTAGAAAAACAAGCAAACAAAATTCAAGACTTTGGAGGATGAATATAATCCTTTCTCACAAAAGCCATTAAAATGATAGAGTAAATAGATATCTTTAAAAATGAGTGAATAAACTTGCATTTATATAGGATAATAAGTCTAGAGATCTGATGGGCAGTGTAAGGACTGTAGTTAATAACACTGTATTGTATACAAAAAAATTTGCCAAGAGAATATATTTTAGGTGCTCTTATCGTAAAAGGTAACCATGGAGTGTAATGGCACGATCTCAGCTCACTGCAACCTCCACCTCCTGGTTCAAGTGATTCTTCTGCCTCAGCCTCCCGAGTAGCTGGGATTACATACAGGCTCATGCTGCCATCCTTGGCTAATTTTTAATAGAGATGGGGTTTCGCTGTGTTGACCAGGCTGGTCTTGAACTCCTGACCTCAAGTTTTCCACCCGCCTCAGCCTCCTGAAGTGCTGGGATTACAGGCATGCGCCATTATGACTGGCCAGAAATTTGTTTTTTTATAGAAGAAGTCTTTTTTCCTCCCCACCCACCCGCCCACCCCAGCTAGAATGTCTCAGTTGCCCAGACTGGAGTGCAGTGGTGCAGTCATAACTCATTACAATGTGGAGCTCCTGGACTCAGGTGATCCTTCCACATCAGCCTCCTTGAGTAGTTGGGACTAAAGGCATGCGCCACCATGCCTGGCTAATCGTTTTTTTTTTTTTTTTTTTTTTTTTTTTTTTTAACTTTTAGTAGTGATGAGGTCTTGCTATGTTGCCTAGGCTGGTTTTGAACTCCTGGGCTTAAGCATTCTTCTGCCTCAGCCTTCGAAAGTGCCGGGATTACAGTTAAGAGTCACCATGGCTGGTCTCTAGAAGACATCTTAATAAGATACTTCTTCCTCAGACTTTCCACAGAAACATTTCCTGATCCTTGTTTCAGTATTGCTGCGTGAGTCCATTTAAAACAACCACAAGAAGTATCTTTTGTTAATCGACATAGTGAAAATGGCATGGGTGGTCGTGGAGTGGCCTCATTGGGCTGGAGGCCGGGAGCACCTGCTGCAGGAGTATCTGGTGCTGTGCCAAGGGCTTCATGGACATTGTCTCATTTCCTTCTCAGAAGGGCAAGGGTGGTGTTCCCAGTGGTCAGATGAGACAGAGGGTACAGAACTAATGAATGTCAGGATCGGGATTGGAATCAGCACTGACTTTAACTGTGCAGCTGTTTTTTTGCCAAGGCTGTGCTCTTCTTATCAAAGGTTGTTTTTCATTAGAAGGATACTGACTTGATGTTTACCAGCCTTTGATAGAAAATAATGAAAAAAATTGTTCATAGTACTTAAAGAATGAAACCAAAAGCATTTTTTAAAAGCTCGCTTAATTTGCTGTTTAGTTAATTTAGGTTATAATTGCAACTTTTATGTGTTAAAAATAAGTCAAGTGTTTGCTGGATATTTGTCATGATTTTTTCGTTAAAAATATATGTGATTTGGGCCGGTCGCGGTGGCTCACGCCTGTATTCCCAGCACTTTGGGAGGCCGAGGTGGGTGGATCAAGAGGTCAAGAGATCAAGATCATCCTGGTCAACGTGGTGAAACCCCGTCTTTACTAAATATACAAAAAATCAGCTAGGCATGGTGGCACGTGCCTGTAATCCCAGCTACTCAGGAAGCTGAGGCAAGAGAATTGCCTGAACCCAGGAGGCGGACGTTGTGGTGAGCCAAGATCGCACCATTGCACTCCTGCCTGGGTAACAAGAGCGAAACTCTGTCTCAAAAAAAAAAAAAATGTGTGTGTGTGTGTGTGTGTGTGTGTGTGTGTGTGTGTGTGTGTGTGATTTAGCTGGGCATGATGGCTGGCTCATGCCTATAATCCCAGCACTTTGGGAGGCTGAGGCAGACAGATCACCTGAGGACAGGAGTTTGAGACCAGCCTGGCCAACATGGCGAAACCCCATCTCTACTAAAAATACAAGAATTAGCTGGGAGTGGTGGCACGTACCTGTAATCCCAGCTACTTGGGAGGCTGAGGCAGGAGAATTGCTTGAACCCAGGAGGTAGAGGTTGTGGTGAGCTGACACCATGCCACTATTCTCCAGCCTGGGTGACAGAACAAGACTCTGTCTCAAAAAAAAAAAAAGAAAAGAAAAGAAAAAATGTGTATGTTCTTTTTTTTTTTTGCATCATTTGACCTTCACAGAAGATCGTGAATAGGGGCATTTTTTGCAAAACATGTTCCAGAGCTTAAGCGGTTTTCCCAGAACCTTCTCCAAACTGCTTGAAGTGCAGATCCTTTTCCTTTAAAGTGGGTTGAGGCCCCTGTTGCTTTTTCCTTCTTAAATTCCTAGTCTGAGTCACCTGGATCCTCGTTTGGCATACGCATACTTCCTGTATTCTCCAACATAATTTCCACTGAACTTGTAAAATTGCTCATCTTCTATAATATTTTCAGTTTCACAGGGCTTTTTTTTTTTTTTTCCTTGTGTTTGCATTGTAATTGTGTTGTGCTCTTAATGCATGTGACATCTGAGAATGAGAGAAGCTGCAGCTCTTCTTGGCGATTTGGTCCAGGATGGATGTGAGTGCTCTTCTCCCAGGGAGGATAGAACAACCATTAAATGAGGGCTATGCGTTCGCTAAGTGGTCAGTGGAGAACTGTTTCACATTAAGATGAATTTTGGTCCTCTGAATAACCGTCTAAATGTGGGCCTCTTAACACGAAGTAACGTCTGGTAATGAGTGCTCAGCTAATGAGTACCTTTCTAACTCATCCCCCTCTTTTCATTCCTACCACCACCTCGCTAATGATGGCCATTTTCATCTGTTGGCTGTATGACAGTCATTTCCCTTGAGATTTCTTAGTCCAGTCCTTTCTCCCTGGTTAGGTTGGAACATCTTTCTAAATTAATGTTCTTAACCCTCAGTCTCTTAAGTAATTGTCCATAGGCCCTTATGATAAAGTCCAAATTCTTTTTTCCTTTTCTGTATAAATGGGATCTCACTATGTTGGCCAGGCTGGTCTTGAACTTTTGGACTCAAGGGATCCTCCAGCCTCAGCCTCACAAAGTGCTGGGATTACAGGTGCGAGTCGCCACACCCAGCCATGGAGTCCAAATTCTTAAATGGTGTGTGACTTACAAGGTCCTCCGTGAGCTGACCCCCTTGACTTTTTATTGTTCATCCTGTGCCTCTTGGTATTACGAATTCTAGCTAAGTGATGAGTGTTGTCTTACCTCTAGGACTTTAGTCCTATTTAACTTGGAACATGCTTTCCCCTCCCATCTCTTCAGTCTCTCCTCCCTTCTCTCCCCTCTGCCTTTACCTGGGTAATGCTTCTCTATCTTTGGGTCTCCAGTGTCAATTTCTGTGAGTCTTCCTTAACCTTTCAAGAGTTGGCTCTCTGCTGTTTGTTTCTGACCATATTGTATTTGTTTCTATCATCTAGTTCCCATTATATAGTGTTTGCTTACCTGCATCCACCCTGGACGGTGAGCTCCAGGAAGAGTCGAAGGAATAAGTAATTTCAGCCTTGTTCTGAACCAGCTCCGTGACCTCTGAAATGTCTGTTATTTTCCTGGCTCTCACTTTCTCATCTGTAAAATGAAATAACTTTATTGTATGTCTTCACAGAGTTCTTTCAGCTTTTAAAAATTCTGACTTCCAAAAGTAAATTCTTTCCTGTGTCTTTTTAATTTGCAGTTGCCACCTTTGAGACAAACCTAGTCTGATTTGCCTAATTAAACAATTACCGAGTAAACAAGACACGTTCTACTTTCTCCTTGAATGAGTGCCAGTTCTTTTGTTGCGATTTCCTTTTTGCTGATGGCATGAGGTCATTTTTAACATAAGGGTATTGTTGTTCCATGAACAAGGGCTTTTAAAATATCAAGCATTTGTTATTTGCCAGGTTTCCTTTTCTCAGCATAAATTGAAGCACAATATACATGCTTTTCTCCTTTGGTAATTATTGTGACAAATCCCCTTTCAACTGATAGCATTTGCTGTTGACGTGGGCTGGCCATGTGTGGTGGTTCTCAGAGGGCAGTGTGATGCTGCTAGCGAACCAACCAAACTGCAATGAGATTGAACTCCTGCACTCTTGTTGTGTCACATTTGAATTTCATTCATGTGCAGGGGACTCTTCGTGAAATTTTTCTCAAAGTTGCCAAATCTGGGGCACCAGCTATGTGAGATGAATGTCTAGAAGGGAAGAGTGAAGCAAACAGTCATGGCTTTGACTTCCTAAAGTCCAAAGTAGTTGTATGTAGTTCCTTCTGTGTCATGCACTAGATTATATTTTCTCCATCAGTATAATTATGTGTTCTGTGGAAAACCGAACTTCCGCTGGTATATGAATAAGGGATATATTGTCTGTAATAATGCTGAACTTTTAGCAAAACCTTAGGAATCACTTTGTTTCTGAAACTAGGGCAAGGTAATTTGGAAAGATGTCAGGTCATCTTACTGAATCCCAGGTCTGAACTTTCTCTGTGTTATCAAATATGTACTGTGGGCAGCCGTGGGGGAGTGGAAATCATGTTGGGCTTGAAGGCAGAATCCAGCTGGGCTAGGATACTGTTCAACTTACCAGTTCTGGATTTTTAGGCAGAGTGCCACATTAACCTCCATTGTCGAACAAACCTGTTTTTTTTTGTCGATAAAACCAGACTGTGTGATAAATTGATCTCACAAAAGGTGGAGACCTAAGTAAATGAAGTGTGTGCACAAATACTGGGGAAATCACAGATGGTTCCAACACATTTTATATGTAATAAGAATGGAAAGGCTTTGTATCTTCCAAAGTAGGAGTTGCCCATAGGTTAATGTCGCCCCAAAGGAGTTTTGTTTTCTCATGCCCTGGTGAATTCCCCGTTACTGGTCTGTTGGAGTGTTCCCTCTAATCTTGAGAGTCTGTCATTCAGTGACTTTCTGTTACTGCAGAGTATTCACTCTTTCTGTTTGTTTGCTTTGATGATTCATCTCAGCCTGGGTTGGTGTATGAGTACTTATCTGTTGCTTGTAACAGATCACCCCCAGAATGGAACAGCGCGAAACAAGTCATTTATTGTCTCAGGGTTTCCATAGGTCAGGACTCTGGGTGCGTGCGGCTTAACGAAGTGGCTCTAGCTGGGATGTCTGGCCTGGGTTGTAATTAAAGTGTCGGGGATGGGGGCGGGGTGCTGCTGTTATCATCATCTCAAGGCATGACTGGTGCGGGGGGGTGTCTGCTCACTTACGTGGTTGGTGCTTGGCAGGGTCCAGAAGATCTGCTTCCAAACTGACTGCTGTGGGCCTTGCTTCCTAGGGCGGTCTCACTCACGGAAGCACGTTTCCCCCAGAGTGAAGGAAAGCACCCAAGTCAGAAGCCACCATCTTCTTTAAATCTACCCTTACAAGTGACATGCCATCACTTTTGTTCCTTAGAGACCAATACATAAGTCCTGGCCACACTCAGCAGAAGGGGAGGGTACCAGGTGTGGGCACCAGGAGGGTAGCCGGTACGCAGCCTTGTCTGTGGTGCAGCAGAGCGCCGTGGGCTTAATGTCCCAAGTCTAGCTTTGTACTTGAGTTGCATCTCACCATTTTTAATGTTCTCTAGAGAGGGTTGTTTTTTCAATCGGTTGGAAGCTAGTCAATCCTAAAGCCATTTGACTGTACTTAGCAGTTTGAGTGTCTTGAAGAGAGGCTGTCTTCTTAGGACCACTGTCTGAATGGTGGACGTGCTTATTTAGAACTTAAAACCTTAGTAGCTTCTGATGTACTATCAGTGTGAAGAAAATGAAGTTTAACATGTTTTTCTAAGACCGTAATTGTACCTTATGTTTTAAAAACTTTACAAGGTGCTTCGTGGCTTGTAACAGCAACTTTCTGAGCCTTCATTAGGCTTCACAGAGACTCCCAGTACAGAGGGTGGTGGAGGGGTTGTCAAGTAAGTATCATCCTTGTTACTCTTCCAAAGGTTTGGAGGCATGTAAGGAGTCCTTTTTTATTCTGAGTAGTCTGTTTACTTGTGGTATCATCTTACCTATAAAATAAGACACATTAATTTAGGATTAATTTTTGTGAAACTGAAATAAAGGTATTTTTCATGACATTTCCCTGGCCTTTGTCAAAGGCTGAAACTCCCTCGTTTTAGTAGCATAGCTTGGCAGAGAAAAACAGCACAGTACTGGAGTCAGTACACCTGCCTTTCGGCCCTCGCTCTGTCGCTGAACATGTTTGAGCTGGCGAAATTTGTTCACTGTTTCTGATTTCACATTTCTCATATGATGTGTTCTTCCGACTTTAAAATGCTACTCAACTTTCTTTCTTCTCCTTAGGACAGCCTTGGAGGTAACAGCAAGACGGCCATGGTGGCTACTGTGAGTCCTGCAGCAGATAACTATGATGAAACGCTCTCAACGCTGAGGTATGCAGATCGAGCCAAGCACATCGTTAACCACGCTGTGGTGAATGAGGACCCTAATGCCCGAATTATCCGGGATCTCCGGGAAGAAGTTGAGAAACTCCGAGAGCAGCTGACCAAAGCAGAGGTACGATGCAAAACTGCGCGTCCCTGTGAGTCCAGAAGGGGGAGCCAGGCGAGAGCTTGAGTTTTCTTCCCCTGGGCTGTGAGTGGAGAGGACTCTACTTAAAATTTGTGAATTTCTTACAGCAAGAGAACTTTGAGATGAGTAATAAATAAAGGAATCCAAAGAGTTCTTACAGGTGTTAAAAAGATTGAATAGGAGCAGATAAAGAGAATTGGGAAAATGTTTGCATTTCCATTCAGGTGGCAGACAAAAGAGAGAGGTATAATATAATAAGGGAGAGGAAGAGAGAGATGCTGGAGACCATGCGTATGTAATTTAATTTTTGTGCAGAAAATGATGGCAAGCAGGATGTTTTTGAATCTCATTTGTTACCTGGTAGAAGCCAGAATGAAAATCTTGAGTCTTCCACACCTTCATAATCTAGCTTTTCCATGTTGTGGGTTAATTATGTTTGTAGAAAATATTTTGTGGTAGAAGTACGTACCCATGTATTTAGTGGTACTCTATTACAGCTGTCTTCTGTGTATTCTATAATGCATAATGTTGCGTTAATAGGTTTGAAAACCCATACAACTCTGACCTGCAACCCAAATGCTCATCCTCCTGGGAAAGTGGAATGAAATATCAGATTCAGGATTCCTGCTTTCATTATCATTTCTCTTCCCACAGTTACTCCACACTGTGGGGCTATTTCTGGAGTTTGCCTTCTTTTTCATACCTGTTTTCTAGGAATAAATCAGTAAGAGACATGGTCAAGATTATTATCTTGATCGTTTTTTTACCTGTGGAATTTCATCCTGTTTTTATAGGCATAACTTTACAGTCCATGAAGAAACTTTGTTGTCTCCTTGATGTTAATAACACTATCCAGTTTGCAGCACGTTCACATTTAGTCTGTATATCTGTGAATCAATTCCTGAAGTCATCAGTAACGGCTAGAATGAATTACGTGTCTGAGTCAAGATGTATAACCTATTGGCATTTAAAAAATAAATCCTTACTAGCTTTATATTTTTGCATCCTTAAATGTAATTGTATCTTCGCAATAAAGTGGCAGAAAAGAAAAAGTCTTCCTTTTGGGTGTGTTTTGGATAATTGGATGAGGCTGTGGTCCTCAGAACATTTGTGGTGCTGGGCCCAGCAAGGTCAGTCATTATGGTTCAGGTAGATATCAGACCTCAGCATGACATTCAGCCCAGAGGAGGCAGGTTGTTACTTTGGTCCTTTTAGATTTTGGCCACTCCTTTTTCCAGGGCGTCGTCCAGACATTTCATGAAGTAAACGTTTTGCTTGTAGGCAATGAAATCTCCAGAGCTAAAGGACCGGCTGGAAGAATCTGAGAAGCTAATCCAGGAAATGACTGTGACCTGGGAGGAGAAATTAAGGAAAACGGAGGAGATTGCACAGGTTTGTGTTTCCTGACTGTTGAAGCACATGAAACCTCACGGTAGTTTTCACGGTGGGACACATGGTATTTCTGCCTCCTTTCTGATCTTCAGCTTGGCTGATGGCAAATCTCGCACTATCATTAGGAATCTGGAGCTAAGAGAATCTGTACTTTGCAAAATTAATTTGAAGGATAAACAGGATATAATTGCACTTGATTGTTTATGTAAGAAATAATTTTTTAGTGTCAGTAATCTTTTTAAAAAATTATGAAATAACTCCTTTGTAGCCTCTGGCTCTTAACACCCCATTCTGTTAAGTTCTTTGGCGACCTAAGGAACTTCCTGAAATTACAGAATTACTCAATCTAGTGCGTGTGGCCAAGAAAAAAATACTGGTAATAGATATTACTCCATGAACTTCTTGGTTTCATATGAAAACTCAGTGAAAAGAACATGAAATTCCTAAATCTGAGGTGACCGTCTCTCACCATTTTCTAGTAACAGAGATAGTGACAAAATCTTAGAGTAGTGGCCAAGCATGGTGGCTCACACCTGTAATCCCAGCACTTTGGAAGGCCAAGACAGGTGGATCACCTGAGGTCAGGAGTTACAGACCAGCCTGGCCAACATGGAGAAACACGGTCTCTACTTAAAAAAAAGCTGGGTATGGTGGTACAAACCTGTAGTCCTAGCTACTTGGGAGGCTGAGGCAGGAGAATCACTTGAACCTAGGAGGCAGAGGTTGCAGTGAGCTGAGATGGCACCACTGTACTCCACCCTGGGCAACAGAGCAAGACTTCATTCAAAATTAAAAAAAAAAAAAAAGAAATCTTAAGATGGGCACATTAGTGTCAGTCTAGGAAGATCTAGTTTAGCATTGGGAGAAAAAGTCTTGTCTACCTAATACTAGATTTACACTGTGGCTTTCCTATTTCATGATTATACAGCTTCTATTTTAGAAATATATATGGTAATGTGAAGCTCAGGACTCCATCTAACAGTCTCTTGGTGAACAATCGTAGCGATTGAATCTGTCTTTTTTTCTTTGATTTCTACTCACTAGTTTGTTCTTCTGTAGCGAAGAGAGTAAGTGTCCTACCCATATACAGTAACTGATGATGACAGTAATGCCATCGTTTATTGGCTACACTTATGTCTTGAGCCCTATGCTAAGCACTTTCAACTTCAGTACTTTATGTAATCCTCTCAGTAGTCTTACAAGATAGGGACTGTTATTACCCAAGTTATTCATCTGTTTAAAGTCATCTCTGCCTCTTCCGCTTCCTTTTCTAAGTTAAAATTCCCTGATGTTTTTAACTGTTCCTTGCATCAGAGAATATACAGAACTTGTTCCATCTGTTTTCACTCAGTAGACTCCATCTTTAAATGTGCTGTCCCAAAATCAACGTATGTGTCAGTTATAGGATAGTACTGTTGTTACTTAGCATAAAGTAGATGTCACATTAACGCAGACTGGGATTAAAATAGATTTTAAAAACATTTTTGTTGCAGACATTTTCAAAGTAGATAAAAATTAGAGAAAAGTATACGAGATCTACAGGTACTCATTACCTGGCTTCTCTAAAGATTATGATGTGCCCAGCGTAGTTTATCCGTGTCCCTGCATTGGCTTATCTTAAAACATATCTCTCAAATTACAGAGAAGGGATCCATATATGAACTGTTTCTCATTACATATATCTGTGTGTTTTTTTTATAAATTATAAGTCATTCCAATACTTGTTTAATTTGGGAGCGACTTTGAGCCCTTCTGAGCAGCTCCAACAGTAAACATTGGTTGTGACGAGTCGTTGTGCTGATAGAAAACAGGGCAGGTCTAAGTGAGCCGGCATTTCAGGGAGCTTCGTCTGGGCGTCTTCCCTTTTCCGCTCTCCTGCCTGATTTTATTCAACAGCTCCTTCAGTGCCTTACCTTCCAGAGCCCCCAGGCTTTAGTGCTGTTGAATGTTTTTCTTCTCTCACTGAAAATACCTGGTCATGGCCGGACGCAGTGGTTCATGCCTGTAATCCTAACACTTTGGGAGGCTGAGGTGGGTGGACCACCTGAGGTCAAGAGTTTGAGAGCAGCCTGACCAACATGGTGAAACCTGTCTATACTAAAAATATAAAAATTAGCCGGGTGTGGTGGTGCATGCCTGTAATCCCAGCTACTCAGGAGGCTAAGGCAGGAGAATCACTTGAATCCGGGAGGTGGAGGTTGCAAGTAAGCCGAGATTGCGCCACTGCACTCCAGCCTGGGCAACGGAGCGAGATTCCATCTCAAAAAAAAAAAAAAAAAAGGAAAAGAAAAGAAAAAACCTGGTCTCTTGATCACTTACCTCTTCCTGGTCCAAACTGATATCTTCCAAAATCTATTTCTGATAGTAGAGCCACAAAGCATTAATAAGTCTTCTGGAAGGTGACTGGAGACACGTCAGCTGACGTGATCCATGGGCAGATAAATTTGGGAAATTCCGGGCAAACTGAATTCAATTAATTTCTTTTTGAAAGACTTCTCGCATCATTTTGGGGGTGGTTGAAAGTCATCCAGACTCACTATGGGTCCTCCAGGCTCTGTGACATCTTGCTGTGGGGTGCCGGCCCTCGGACGCCCCTGCCACAGAATTCTCTGCAGCCTGTCCGCCCCCTTTGACCCACACATCCTGCAGTCCGTCACCATCCTTTAATCGTTATGTGTAGTTTTCGTGGCCAATGTGTTTGTAAGGCTCTCAAGAAAAAAGATTGTCTTTTAGTGTTGTATGCTCAGTCATATTTTTGCATAAACAGAACTCAAGATGAGTATCGTCTAATTCCAGTGCTATATCTACTATATCACATTGTCTCTTATTGTAAAGCTTGATTTTAATTACGCTGCAAACTTACTGTGCAGCCCTAGCTAAATGACCTGTTTTGTCTTGTCTTCCCCCAGAATCAGAGGTCTTGGGTAATTGACTTACTGCTACTTGCTCTTTACCCATAGTTGAAGATGCCCTCTCTACTCCTGACTACCCTCATACAGAGCATCTGGTTGTGAGATCCACACCTATCCCCTTATCATGTACAGATGTTTGTATATTGTACGGGTTCAGAGACAGGCACAAAAAAAGGAAAGGCCCATATTATGAAACCAGTGCTTGAGTGCATATGCAAGTTTGCTGGTTTTGGGATGAATTCGCCACACTGATGTTTCGCGTGCTTGCTGTGTATCCTTCCCTGTGCTAAGTGCTGGGAGCACAACAGTACATAAGATAGGATCCATGCCCATACAGCCCTCAGTCCCGTGTGAGACAAATGACCCAGTAAACAGTTACCAAGTAGGACACGTCTACTCCAGGTAGAAGAAAGAGGTATAAAATCACTGCAGCTAAAGAGAGCACAGAGAACGTTTTTTGAGACAGAGTCTCACTCTGTCGCCCAAGCTAGAGTGCAGTGGCATGGTCTCAGCTCACTGCATCCTCCAACTCCCGGGTTCAAGTGATTCTCCTGCCTCACCTTCCCAAGTAACTGGGATTACAAGTGCCCGTCACCATACCTGGCTAATTTTTATATGTTAAGTAGAGATGGGGTTTCACCACATTGGCCAGGCTGGTTTGAACTCCCGACCTCAAGTGATCTGCCCGTCTTGGCCTCCCACAGTGTTGGGATTATAGACGTGAGCCACCGCTCCCAGCCCAGAGAACATTCTTAGCACTTTGAAGGACCTGGAGCTTGTTTCATGCAGTGCCGGGTTTGACAGGAGTGAAAAGACATGAAGCCAGAGAGGAAACAAGATTGAAGAGCCTTGTGAACTTTATTGAGGGAGTTTGGCCTTTATCCTGGGCAGGAGGTCGCTGAAGATGTCAAGCAGGAGAGTATACTGATCCTTCTTGGCGTTAAAGAATGATCCCAGCTGAAGAAAGTGCACATACCTTTGCTCATATATACAGAGTTAAATGAGATGAATTCAAGATGTTAGGTATTTTCAAGAGTGAAAACAGACTTCACCAGTACAGTTAGTTACTATGTGTAATGGACTTTACTTTTCAAAATAGAATTAACAGAATAAAAATTAGATAGTTTGGAAAGAAGGGAAAATGCGATAAACCTATAATGCCATAGCCTAAGAGAATGTATATGAATTACAACGCTATTGAATTATTGTAACATTGTAATGTAAGTGCTTGGATATCTCACTGCCTCAATAGCTATGGAATTAATACTTCTCTGATACGTTTACAGGAACGACAGAAGCAGCTTGAGAGTCTCGGAATATCTCTTCAGTCTTCGGGCATCAAAGTTGGGGATGATAAATGCTTCCTTGTTAATCTGAATGCTGACCCAGCTCTGAACGAGCTTCTGGTGTACTATTTAAAGGTGAAGTAATGTGCTTTGCTCCTAGTTTCTTGTGATGAAATAGGATAATAGTTCACAGTACTTGAGTAAACTTGGGGAACCATGTATACTCAAAAAAACAGAGTTAGCAAATTGTTTTTATTTGAATAAGCTGGAGTTAGGGAACCATCTTGGGTTTCTGGGCTCAGTTTCCTTTTTTAGTCTTTCATGTTGTTCAACTTGACAATATAAAAAAAAGATCCTCTGATAGGATTTCCAACAAGTTAAATAGCTTTCCTACCATTATTTAATAAGATTTGTTTCAGGGAATTAAGTAGATAACTTTTAAAAATGGATGACTTGAAAGACTAGATAGTAAGTATACTAAAGCTTTTGTGGTTATATGAAGCACTTTCTTTTGTGAGCAGTTTGTTAGCTCACAAGAAATGTATAAAGTTCTTAGGACCAGTTGGTATGAAATTTATGTTTCCAGTAACTCTTAGGAAAATTTGAAAATTTAGGTTATCAATCCATTTTTAAAAAGTATAGGTTACTTAGAGACTGAGCGAGTCAGAGCATGGAACAGAAAAAAGGAGAAATATTGGTATCCACTGAAATCTGTAAATCATGGGACATATTAGGAAGATAAGAGACAACTTCAGAATAAGCCTGAAGCCTGAGACAGTCCACAGATTTGAGGAGTGTCCAGAATGGGTTGTGTCAAGCCCAGAGCACAAATTATTAGTTATATGTGATGGACTGCACCACTCTGACACAGGGTTGATAATGGTTAGGACTCAATTTCTTTCCCCTCACATGTGTGGGTTCAGTGAATGTGACCAGAAAAGTAAAGCTAACAAGCTGACCACGTGGGAAACAGCTCTAAGAGAATTGTGTGGTTTCATTTCAGAAAAGCCTGGAGAGGTCCTGGGATATTGGCTTTGTGTCATTTTGAAAAGGCCCCTTGTTAATAAGTATCTTATACAGTGTGTTGATGTGCTGTGAGTGAGGCTGTGTCTTTGATGCATACCTTCCTGTGTGCATGTCTCAGGTGCTGTGGTTGAGTGGCAGCAAAGCTGGGGTGGGAGGGAGTGACCTGTCTCTCTAGTCTGTGGCTAAGCCCCTTGCTCCCTCTAATCTAGTTCCTTTGTAAATGGAGGCAAGTGTCTCAGGTGGTTTGCCAGGTTTCTGTGAGGGTTGGAGATACAGAAGTACTTCATAAACAGAAGCACTATACCAAAAAAAAAAAAAAAAAAAAGTTTACGTTCCACTTTCTTGTTTGATACTCTGTATGGTTTATTATACACATACTGTCTTTGCCTGTTAAAAAATTGTGTATTATCAGCTGGGCACGGTGGCTCATACCCAGCACTTTGGGAGGCTGAGGTGGGTAGATCACTTGAGATCAGGAGTTTGAGACCAGCCTGGGCGACATGATGAAACTCTCTCTCTACCTAAAAACATAAAAATTAGCCAGGGGTGGTGGTACACACCTCTAGTCCCAGCTACTTGGGAGCCTGAGGCAGGCGAATGACTTGAACTCAAGAGGTGGAGGTTGCAGTGAGCTTGAGATCATGCCACTGCACTCCAGCCTGGGTGATAAAGCCAGACTCCGCCTCAAAGAAAAAAAAAAAAAGGATTGTATTGTCACATTACTTACTTTGCTTCTGAAGAGTGCTGGCAGCATTTTGAGTCAGGATATTCATGTGAGCGTGACCAGGACAGTTAAGCTAATGAGCTGACTACGTGGGAGGAACATGCGATGTTAGAATAGGACCTGAGTATTCTATACTTTTCATTTCTCAGAACTAGAAATTCTTTTTCTTTCCATTGTAACGTAGTTTAAATTGGGACACACAAACACACGCATCAAGAAAAAAACTCTGATTCATATCTGCTCCTTGACTAAAAACTTAAACAAAGAAGCTGTTTAAAGATGTTTGGAGAGTCATCAGATGTTTCTGGTCATCTTGTATGGAGGTGTTTCGGTTCTGTTTCTGGCTGTGTGGCCAGCCCTGTTTGGCAGAGTCTGAGGCACTGTTGATTTCTTGACTGCCCAGGCTAACCCCAAACCAAGCATATCTATCAAGACAAAGTACATTTAAAAGGATGATCTCAGCCCAAAGACAGCTTTTGCTTCAGTAAAGTGATACCATGATGTGGGATGGTAGAATTTGGAGGCTGAGCATTTTTATTTCTTTGCCTTAAAATTCAAAAGTCAATTTAGATGCTGGGCAGATAACTTCACATCTCTGGATAACTTTAGCCACTCCATGTGTAAGTGAAGGCATTGGAGGAAAACATCTCTGAAGTTCTCTGTAGTTCCAGTTGTATAGTTCTCCTACTCTTCTAGAATATACACCCCCTTTCTGGAATACTTTATAGTAACATGCTTTAGAACCATTATACCCATCTATCAATAAAGAGACTGAGATGCTGTCCCTGATTATCTTTTTTTTGATTACCTGGGCACACAAAGGGAAATGATTGTGCATTTACTTTTATTTTATATTTATTTAATGCCTACATATGCCGGTCATTGGTTAAGTGTTTGGAATACAAGATGGACAGTCAACCCGCAGTCAGTCAGTGTCTTGGAAGGAGTTAAAGGAGGGCAGGATGACAGTGGCTTTTTCTAATTGTGAACTCAGGAAACAGCTCCCTGAGGATGTGACATTAAAAGCTGAGAGAGAAATGATAAGAAATGACCCATATCAGAATCAGGGGAAGAACGTTTCAGACAGAGGAAACAGCTAGTAAAAGGCATTAGGATGGAAATAGGCTCATTGTGCTCCAAGAACAGACGGAAGGCCCATGTGGCTGGTGCGTGCTCTGTGAGGGGGAGATGGTGGGAGTGAGGGTCAGGCAGAGGTAGGCAGGAGCACACTGTAGAATGCTTCGTAAGCCTGGGTGAGAATTTGGGCTTTATTGGAGAAGAAAGAGAAGCCACTAGAAGGTTTTAGTCTTACTTATTTTTATTTTATTTTTTTGAGGCTCAGTCTCTCTCTCTCACCCAGGTGACAGTGCACTGGCACGATCATGGTTTATTGCAGCCTCAGTCTCCTGGATTCAAGTGATCTTTCTGCCTCTTTAACAAAAAAAATTTTTTTTTTTGAGATGGGATCTCGCTCTGTCGCCCAGGCTGGAGTGCCAGTGACGTGATCTCAGCTCACTGTAATCTCTGCCTCCCAGGTTCAAGCACTTCTCCTACCTCAGCCTCCCAAGTAGCTGGGATTACAGGTGTGCACCACCATGCCTGGCTAATTTTTTGTGTGTTTTTAGTAGATACAAGGTTTCACCAGTGTTGGCCGGGCTGGTCTCAAACTCCCGACCTCAAGTGATTTGCCCACCTCAGCCTTCCAGAGTGCTGGGATTACAGATGTGAGCCACTGTGCCTGGCCTCAATTTTTTTTTTTTTTTTTTTCCCCAGTAGAGACAAGGACAAGCCCAGGCTGGTCTTGATCTCCTGTGCTCAAGCAGTTCTCCTGCCTTAGCTTCCCAAAGTGCCGGGATTACAGGTGTGAGCTACCAGGCCCAATCTTAGAAGGTTTTAAATAGGAGATGACATGACCAGCTGCTGTGGTGGGAGCAGAAGGGGGTGTCATGCAATGGAGACACAGTAGGAAGCTCTGTATCCACAGGCAAGAGATCCCGGAGGCTGAATCAAGGATGTGGTCATGGAGGTGGGGAAAACAAGCTGATTCTTGATAGACTTTGGAGGAAAAAAATCTGTAAGATTTTCCCTGATTGACATGGGGTGGGTATGGGCTTGTAAGGGAAAGAAAGACGACTCAAGGATCATATCTAAGCTGTTCATTTGACTGACTGGGGGTGGTACCATTATTATTGGAGAAGGAAATTGACTTCTGTTGGGTTGGGGGAGATGGGAACAAGACTTTCGCTTTGGCCTTTGTTCCCTTTGGCATATCTCAGACATCCAGGTTGTGTCAAGTAGGCTGAGTAGGCAGAAAATAGTGGTGGCTAAGGCTGGGCACAGTGGCTCACACATGTAACCTCAGTACTTTGGGAGGCTGAGGTGGAAGGATTGCTTGAGCTCAGGAGTTTGAGATCAATCTGAGCAACATAGTGAGACCCTGTCTTTCCAAAAAATAAAAAAGATCAGTTGGTCCAGATGGTGCCTGCCTGTGATCTCAGCTACTCGGAAGGCTGAGACAGGAAGATTGCTTGAGCCCAGAAGGGTGAGGTTGTAGTGAGCATGGATTGTGTGTCTGCACTCCAGCCTGGTGACCGAACAAGACCCCATCTGAAAGGAAAAAAAAAAAATAGGGTCTAAGACTGGGATAGTGGTCATGAAGGTGGGGAAAAAATGCAACTAAAGTATGTAACTCCTGACTGGTGATGGAGATGTGGTTTATTTGAAGATGGCATTTAAAGCCATGGGAGAGGGCGAGTTGGTCTAGGTTAGGGTCAGCCATCTACTCTTCACAGACCAAATCTAGCTCTCTTCCTGCTTTTGTTTGAATCATGCCTGGCTCCATTTGCTTTTAAAAAATCTTTTTAGGCGAGGTGTGGTGGCTCACGCCTGTAATCCCAGCACCTTGGGAGGCTGAGGTGGGTGGATCACTTGAGGTCAGGAGTTCGAGACCAGTGTGGCCAACATGATAAAACCCTGTCTCTACCAAAACTACAAAAAAATCAGCTGGGTGTGGTGGTGCATGTCTATAAATTTCAGCTACTTGGGGGTCTGAGGCAGGAGAATAGCTTGAACCCAGGAAGCGGAGGTTGCAGTGAGCCAAGATTGCACCGCTGCTCTCCAGCCTGGGGGATAGAGTGAGGTCCCATCTCAAAAATAAAATAAGAATAAACATAAAAAATATTTTAGCTAAAGTAGTAAGACAACATAAGAGGGCTCAGTGTAAACTATTTCAGTTGTGTGCATCTAAGAATACAGTATTAATCATGAATTTGATTCTTTCTTAGGAACATACATTGATAGGGTCAGCAAATTCCCAAGATATCCAGCTGTGCGGCATGGGAATTCTTCCTGAACACTGCATCATAGACATCACGTCAGAAGGCCAGGTTATGCTGACTCCTCAGAAGAACACCAGGTAACATACTTGAATTAGTGTTCATATCATGAGAATTTTCAGAGGGAGAAAGTACTCTAGAGGCGACAGTGGCCTTTGTTGCTTTTAAGTTGATGTCATTAAGCTCTCCAGTTGGTGAGGCGGCCCCGTACATTTAGCTTTAATGCTTCCCACATGCACTCCTTCCTTGTGATAGACACTGCCGTGGCTTTATGTATTTAGGCCCTCATCAAGTCTTGATGAGAGCCCCTGCCAACACCCCAAGCTGCCTCCTGGTTCACTCATCACAGCCCTAGAAGGCTTTCCTCTGTCTGTGATGGAAAATCCCTTACAGCCCCCGGTTTATCTCCTCCTCCTCTATACCTGCCAGTTCTTGGGCCTGCTGACTCCTGTGGGACCTGCAGGGTTAAGTGCTGCCATGATCTTCTGCGGGGAGGTCCCTGTTTGGTCTGTATGCAGTGTCCTTAGGAGGTACAGACCATCCCCTCTTACGGCAGTGCTTCTCAGTGGCTGCCTGTGGGTTGTGAACCCTTATTACGCCACTGGACCGTGAGCTGCTTGAGGACAAGGGCCTTTCTTTTTTTGATCCTCCATTCCTGGCGTGTAATATGAGATTAGTACACAGGTAGTTACTACACCGTGGAGGAATGAAGGGACTCCACATTTTATGAATTACACACTTTTTCCTTCAGCTGTAAAGCTGTTACCCCTTGTTAACAAAGGATATTGTTAAGAGTTGGGAGTGTAACAGCCTCTAACTGTTAGACAGTGGTTAACTGAATTATGTTGATCTTTCAGATGTTGATTTGTTTCATTTTATGATATCAAAAAATCATTAATATCACTCATTTTATTCATAAAGTCTTCAAGTATTGAGAAGCTCTCAAGCTCTGGGGAAGGATCACGTGAGAATACAGGAGCAGAAGCTGGTGTGGCCCTCACAGCTGTGCTGTGCTTTTATTAGGCCGTAAATAATCACACAGAACCCCAGCCTCAGGCAAGGGTCCTCCAAGACCAGGATGCAGTAAGATAGAGCAGGCCATGCCATTATTTTGTTGAAGCACAGGCAAAAACATGGTCACTGTGGCACCCTAAGAATACCCTCCTCTGAACCAATATGAGTGGCTGCTACTTCTCCACCAATTACAGCGTTATTCTGTTCTAGCTCCCTGCACCAATGGATACAGTTTTGTGAAATACCCATTCATAGGATTACTCCCACTTTCTGACAGTACCCAGCATATGTGGAACCCCCTGCCTCCTTAAATTGTCTCTGAAGTCATCCACCCAGAGCCCAAATCTTACAACAGCTTCTGTCTTACACTGGCTCCCTGCCTCCCCTCCCCGCTTCGCCTCCACCCTCTTCTCCACACTCCTCTCTGCCCCACTTCCTCCCCTCCCCTTCTTTTCTCCCCTTCCCTTCCCTCCTTTTTTTTTCCATCCTTACCTTCACCCTTCTTGACAGGGCCTTATTCTGTCACCCAGGCTTGAGTGCAGTGGTGCAGTTACAGCTCACTGCAGCCTCCAACTCCTGTGCTCAAGCGATCCTCCCGTCTCATCCTCCTGAGTAGCTGGGACTACAGGTGCTTGACACCATGCCCAGCTAATCTTTTAAAAACTTTATTTTGTAGATACAGGGTCTTGATACGTTGCCCAGGTTGGTCGTCAACTTCTGGGCTCAAGTGATTCTCCTTGACCTCAAAAGTGCTGGATTACAGGCGTAAACCACTGCACTGTGCCTGGCCAAGATCAGTTACTTTTAGTGTTTAAAAACCTGTATCACGAATGAAATCTAGATAGGAAACAAGATTTTGCATGTATGCATACACATAAATCTTGAATACTGTATCGCCAGGTAAATGCTCCATAGCTTTACAGAGTTTAAAGAAACTAAGATACTCTAAGTTTAAAGAAACTGAGATAGCTGGGGTGATTGGCATCTCTTAACAGAGGAAGTAAAAACCCAGCTGAGCTTGGATTACCGAGTAAGATTAGGAGGGTGAGAGGAATGGGAACCTTACTCCAGGTTGTAGGACCGATAGGAGCCTGGATGTGGAGGAAGAGTTGATCATGTGTAGTATATAGGAAATAAGCCGTTTTTGTTTTGGCAGGAGTTAGGAGGCTTTCCTTGTGGGAGGAAGAGCCCTTAAAAGAATTTGGGCCAGGCACAGTGGCTCATGCCTGTAATCTCAGCACTTTGGGAGGTTGAGGCGGGCGGATTACCTGAGGTCAGGAGTTCGAGACCAGCCTGACCAACATGGAGAAACCCCATCTCAACTAAAAATACAATTAGCCAGGCTGTGCATGGCGGTGCACGCCTGCGGTGCCAGCTATTTGGGAGGCTGAGGAATCGCTTGAACCTGGGAGATAGAGGTTGCGGTGAGCCGAGATCACGCCATTGCACTCCAGCCTGGGCAACAAGAGCAAAACTCCGTCTCAGAAAAAACAAAAAACAAGAAACAGAATTTGTACTGGATAGCCTATATCTTAGTAAACTAGTCCTTCAGCGGGAGAGGGGCACGATGACGCTGGTGTCCCAGGAATATCAGTGTTACCATGCTATGCATACTCTTCTATTTCTTTCCTGCCCTTCCAAATTCTTCCTTTCATGGTATTCCACCCACCGCTTCTGTTGAATGCCATAATCAAGATAAGCAGCACAGTGGAACTGATAAATCTTTCTTATGTTGATAGGACGTGATCATTTTTCCTTGCTATGGAGCTTTTTAATACAGGTCTCATTTCTCATTACTGGTATCAGTAGACCTTTCTAGTGTCTGGTTGATTGTTTCTTTTCATTCATATAGATTGGACATACTTGTTTTTGTTGTATATTGCTACCGTCTTTTCATTATTGGCTGTAATGGTTCTCTTTTTACTCCTTAATATACTATGTAACAAATTTAGAACTTTTAAAAATGGAGGCTATTTATTGATCTCGAATACTTCATACCATAAACATCTTAAGTAACTATATAGCACTTGGAACTTTGAAAAATGGGGATAATAATCTAATATACAGGCATATGTTGGAGACCTTGCAGGTTCAGTTCCAGACTTCCACACTACAGTAAATAACACAGTAAATCAAGTCACACAAATTTTTGGTTTCCCAGTGCATGTAAAAGTGAGGTTTACACTGTAGTCTACTAATTGTGCCATAGCATTATATCTTAAACAATATACATCCCTTAATTAAAAAATGCTTTGCAACCAGGTACGGTGGCTCATGCCTGTAATCCTAGCACTTTGAGAGGCTGAGATGGGCAGATCACTTGAGTCAGGAGTTTGTGACTGGCGTGGCCAACATGGCAAGACCCTGTCTCTATGAGCCGTTAGAGACACGTATGGAGGCACGTGCCTGTAATCCCAGCTACTCAGGAGGTTGAGGCAGGGGAATCGCCTGAACCTGGGAGGTGGAGGTTTCAGTGAACTGAGATTGCGCCACCGCACTCCAGCCTGAGCTGCAGAGCAAGGCTCTGTCTTTTTATAAGTTAAAAAAAAGACTTTGTTGCTAAAATATGATCGGAGCCCAGGTGGTAGCTTTTTTGCTGCAGGAAGGTCTTGCTTCCATGTTGGTGGCTGCGCACTGATCAAGGTGGTGGTTGCTGAAGGTTAGGGTGGCCGTGGCAATTTCTTAAAATAAGGCAGCAGTGAACTTTGCCACCTTGATGGACTTTTTCTTTGAAGAAAGATTTCTCTGTAGCATGCGTTGCTGATTGGTAGCATTTTACCCATGGTAGAACTTCTTTTCAGAATTGAGGTCAGTCTTCTTGAACCCTGGCACTGCTTTAATCAACTAAGTTTCTGGAAAATTCTAAACCCTCCATTATCATTTCAGCAATGTTCACCGATTCTTCACCAGGAGTAGATTCCATCTCAAGAAATCACTTTGTTTGCTAATTCATGTGAATCAACTTACCCACTAATGTTTCATCTTGAGATCACAGCAGTTCAACCACATCTTCAAGCTCCACTTCTTTCTTTAGTTCTCTTGCTGTTTCCACCACACCTGCAGTTCCTTCCTCCCCTGAAGTCTGGAACCCTTCAAAGGCATCCATGAGGGTTGGACTCCTTCCACATTCCTGTTAATGTAGATACTGTTCCTTCCTCCTGTGAATCACAAATATTCTTTTTTTCTTTTTGGAGATGGAGTCTCACTCTATAACCCAGGCTGGAGGGCAGGGCCGCTATCTTGGTTCACTGCAACCTCCACCTCCCGTGTTCAAGTGATTCTCCTGTCTTTGTCTCCTAAGTAGCTGGGACTACAGGTGAGTGCCGCCATACCCGGCTAATTTTTGTATTTTTAGTAGAGACAGGGTTTCACCATATTGGTCAGGCTGGTCTTGAACTCCTGACCTCATGATCTACACACCTTGGCCTCCCAAAGTGCTGGGATTACAGGCATGAGCCACCAAGCCCAACGTCACAAATGTTCTTAATGGCATCATAGAAGGGCGAATCCTTTCCAGAAGGTTTTTAACTTACTTTGCCAAGATCCATTAGAAGCATTACTGTCTATAGCAGCTATAGCCTCATCAAATGTATTGTTTAAATGATAAGACTTGAAAGTCAAAATTACTTCCTGATCCATGGCCTGCAGAGTGGATATTGTGTTAACAGGCATGAAAACAACATTAATATCCTTGAACATCTCCATCAGAGCCCTTGAGTTGATCAGGTGCATTATCAATGAGCAGTAATGTTTTGAAAGGAATCTTCTGAGCATTAGATCTCAACAGTGGGCTTAAAATATTCAGCAAACTATGGTGTAAACCAGGCGTCCCCAAACTACGGCCCACGGGCCGCATGCGGCCCCCTGAGGCCATTTATCCGGCCCCCTGCCGCACTTCAGGTTTCACTGGTGGTCAGTGAGAGGAGCACAGTATGTGGCGGCCCGCAACGGTCTGAGGGACAGTGAACTGGACCCCTGTGTAAAAAGTTTGGGGACGCCTGGTGTAAACAGACATGCTGTCGTCCAGGCTTTGTTCCATTTGCAGAGCACAGGCAGAGATGATTTAGCATAATTCTTAAGGGCCCTAGGATTTATAGAAGGGTCAATAAGTGTTGGCATCAACTTCAAATCACCAGCTACATTAGCCTCTAAGAGAGTCAGCCTACCGTTGAAGCTTTGAAGCCAGGCATTGACTTCTCTTCCCTAGCTAATAAAGTTCTAGATGGCATCTTCTTCCGATAGAAGTCTGGTTCATCTACGTTGAAAATCTCATCCGTGATCTTGCTGCTTCATCTTGTACTTCTATGTTATGGAGATAACGTCTTGCCTGAAACCTCAAGAACCAACTTCTGTTCGCTTTCAGCTTTTCTTCTGTTGCTTCTCATCTCTCTAAGTTCGTAGAATTAAAGAGAGTTAGGACCTCATTCTGGATTAGGGTTGGGTTGAGGGCATATTGTGGCTGGATTGACTGTCGAGACCACTGACCTTTCTCTGTATCGGCAGGAAGGCTGTTCTGCCTTACCGTTCATGTATTCACTGGAGAAGCACCTTTAATTTCTTTCAAGAACTTTTCCTGTACACTCACAACTTGCCCAACTGTTGGTACAAGAGGCCTGGCTTTCGTCCTTTCTTGGTTTTTTAGGTGATTCCTCAATAAACCTGATCATTTCCACCTTTAGAGAGATGTGTGACTCTTCCTTTCACTAAAACAGTTAGAGGGTACTGTAGTTGTTAATTAGCCTAACTCAATATTGTTGTGTCTCAGGGAATAAAGAGACCCCAGGAGAGGGGGAGAGTCCAAACCCATACTACATTTAGTAAGTTTACCATCGTCCGTGGGTACAGTTCACAATGTCCCAGAACAGTTAGATGCTGTCAGAGGTCCCTAATCACAGATCTCCATGACATACAGTATGTGAAAAGTGTCTCGCATAGCCTTGCTCAACATAGGATGGCCGCAAACCTTCAGTTTGTAAAAAATACAGTATCTGCAAAGCACAATAAAGCAAAGCACAGTAAAATGAGATGTGTCTGTGCCTAGTACCGTAAACATTTTAGCGAAGTCAGCAAAGGAGTAAATGCCAATATTAAAATTACCAAGAACAGGTTGTATTGGGGGGAGTGATTGTTTTCCCGAGGAAGTTACATCTCTATGTTACTGGAAAATTAAAGCAGAAGACGTGATACTGTACTCATCATTCATGTTTGGTCTGTTCTCCTTACAGAACATTTGTAAATGGGTCGTCTGTCTCCAGTCCAATACAGCTACACCATGGGGACCGGATATTATGGGGAAACAACCATTTCTTCAGGTATGATGTCATTCATGTCCCTTAAAGAAGGAAATTTTTGAAGATAGTGCTCTGAAATAGAAAATACATATTAAAAGTAAACCCAACTCTACAGTTGTGTTACTGTGTGTGTGCTTATATATTTGCTGCACATGTAACATATATATGTGTATGTTCGTTCACTGTCTATGGTCTGAACCCGAGGGTCATGTAAACAATACACTTTGCAGAAATGCTGAATTTACCTACATAGTTTCTCCCTTTTATTTCCCAGGGGAAGATGCTTCTTTTGCCATTTAGTGTAAGAATTTATTAATGTTTCTCTGACATGTTTATCTTTCTGTTTATTTTTTACTGAAAAGTAGTTGTGGTTTTCATCTCCTTATCTATCAAATAAGGTTGGTATTTCTTTTAGAAATTCTTTTCAGCTGTAAGTCATGGCAAATTTTACTGTAATGGGTTAGACAGATCATTTGTTTCCCTGACAGAACCGGAAATCTGAAGGAACACGGTTGTTAGTGTTGGCTAAGCCTCTCAAAAAAAGTCAGGGCTCAAGTCTGGTCACTGTCTTGGCATCTCTCTGTGGCCTATAGTTGGCCGTGCTACACGGCCGTCAAAGCAGCGTTCAGGTACGGGGCGAAAGCGGAGAACCGTGGCTGTACTAGCCCTGACTGTCTTCTTCATCTGAAAAAGCAGAAGCCTTCCCAAGTCCCCAGCAATCTTCTTCTGTCTCCTTTGCTAGAATTTGCCTCTTAGCTGCAAAGGGGACTGAGAAAGACTGTCTAACCCGGGGCTGTACATACGGTTTCCCAAACAAAGCTGATGTTGCGTTGGCAAAGCAGGCAGGCTGGATACTATATAAAGGTAACATCCTGGTCTCTTCTTACTGTCACCGGTCAGTGTGCTCCAGATGTCAGACTGACTTTTCTGTAGCTAATAGAGATCCTTTGCAGTGGGCCCGGGATACTTTGGTTACTGAGAAAAGGGTAGATAGGCACAAAGAACATCGAGCTTTTTTTTCCTTCCCAAATTGATGTGTAAACTGCTTTGCTTCGTGTTCAAAACCCTCATCGTTTGGATTAAGTTGATCTTTCCAGCTTTATCTCTAGTGTGCTATACAAATTTTGTGTGTCCCGTAGTTTTACTCATTTTTCCAGGGAATATGAACGTTTCCATTTTCTTGTCTTTTACCAGCCTGTTCCCTCTACCCTGCTTTCTCCTTATTTGTGAATACTTAGTTCAACTGATTTTCTCCTGTCTCACCTTCCTTCATCACCTTGCTCTGAAAGTGTCCTTGGCTTTTCTTTAACTCTGAACTTGTCATAGGCATGTGGCCTAGTGCCACACTTTCTGCTGTACGTTTTTGATGGCACAGGAATGTCTTATTTCTTCGACTAGATTATCTACTTCCTGAGTGCAGTAATTGCCTTGTACTTACATGGTATCCACCTGGCTTCTAGCAGATACCAGTACTTAACGAGTGAAATGAGTAAGTGCCTGTCATAACTTCAGAAAACAATACTCTTTCCCCCTCCAAGACTCAATTTGCCTAAAAAGAAAAAGAAAGCAGAACGAGAGGACGAGGACCAGGACCCCTGCATGAAAAACGATAACAGTTCTGAGCAGCTGGATGTAGATGGCGACTCCTCCAGCGAAGTGTCCAGTGAAATTAACTTCAATTACGAATATGCACAGATGGAGGTCACCATGAAGGCCCTGGGCAGCAATGGTGAGCAAGTCGGGTGTGTGCTTGAGAGTTGGTTTGAGGTTCAAGATCGCTCCTGGGCTCCAGTGATCTTTAAGTGGGAAGATCACTTGAGCCCAGGAGTTCCAGGCTGCAGTGAGCTGAGATTGTGCCTGTGAATAATCCACTGCTCTTCAGCCTGGGCAACATAACAAGACCTTTTGTCTTTAAAAAAAAAAAGAAAAAGAAAAAAAAGAGATGGTAAAGTGTTAAAAATGTTTACGATTGAGACATTTTAAATGTTAACAAGAAAGAAAATCTTCATGTGGCTTCTCTATTATTTTGTGTCTTTGGCTTTAATTTATACTTAACAAAATGTTCTGCCTTAATATACAGTTAGGTCACTTTATTCTCCTGGACAGAATCTCTCTGGTTTATCTTATTTTATTTTGATTTTTTGAGACAGAGTCTCACTGTGTTGGCCAGGCTCTAGTACAGTGGCACGATCTCGGCACCCTGCAGCCTCCACCTCTCAGGTTATAGTGACTTGATTCTCCTGCGTCAGCCTCCTGAGTAGCTGGGATGACAAGCATGCATGCCACCATTCCTGACTAACTTTTGTATTTTCAGTAGAGACGAGGTTTCACCATGTTGGCCAGGCTGGTCTCAAACCCCTGACCTCAGGTGATCCACCTGCCTTGGCTTCCCAAAATGCTGGGATAACAGGCATGAGCCACCGCGCCTGGCCAAATCTCTCTGGTTTAGAAACTTGCCTGCCACTAGCTTATGATTAGATTTATTGAGGGTCCACCATGTCTTAGATTATGTGTAGAACATAAGATAGACCTGCTTTTTCTACAGAGAAGATGGTTGAGGATATGTCTAACTGAGAACAGAGAACAACATAGGTGATTGGAAGTAAGGAATGCTGTTTATGCCAAGTTGTCTTTAATGATATTAGTCATGGGGTATAGTTAAGGTGACGAACAACATTACCACATAGAACAACATTTGAGGTTTATTATGTTGTACCTTTCAATCATTATTTATCTTTTTAAAAAATGTGTTTAGATCCAATGCAGTCCATATTAAACAGCCTAGAACAACAGCATGAAGAAGAAAAACGATCCGCCCTGGAGCGCCAGAGGCTTATGTATGAGCACGAATTGGAGCAGCTCCGGAGAAGACTGTCTCCCGAGAAGCAGAACTCCCGGAGCATGGACAGGTTTTCTTTCCACTCGCCCAGTGCTCAGCAACGCTTAAGACAGTGGGCCGAAGAGAGGTAGGCAGCACAGAGGGGCTTCTTACATGTGTAGCTCAGGCTCACCACCGCTAACCCACCTAGGGAAAGTGTCAAGTGGGAACATTGAGACAGTGCCTAGAAAAGAATGATATTAAAAGATAAATGTTACAGCCAAGAACCACTTTGCATTTTTTCTTTTTTTGAAAAATAGGGGAATTGCCCATTTATATTAGGCTTTTTTTACAACTATTGATGTTAGGTGCTGTTCCACCTTCAGTTTGTCTAGCCTTTGGGTTTGGATACAGAAGTACACTTTATCATTGCATTGTGCTTTGCGTTCTGAAGCTTGGGTAGATGATCTTTAGAAAAATAGAAAGTTATCTGAACTGATTAGCTCAGGTAGGTAAAGCACGGTGCCCATAAGAGGCAGATTGTAAGCTTGATCTCTGTAGGGGCTAATTAGCATTGCATTGAAGTGCCTTCTCCCATGGTTGCAGACCTCATACTATTTAAAGTTTGGTCGGCAGGCAGCTTCCCTTTCACCTGGAGATTGATAGAAATGTAGGATTTCACCCCCACCTCAGACCTGCCTAGACAAAATCTTGAGTTGATGAAGATCCCCTGGTGATTTGCATCCACGGGCAGTTTTGTGTGGCACTGCCTTTATCTAGAGCCAGCTTGCTGTGTGGCTGCATGCCAGTGCTTAGCGTGAAGTAAGATTCAAGCGTGCGCATGGGTCAGTGTCAGCAACACAGTCCCTGAGTGCAGACCACCACGGGAAGGCTTGGTCCACGCGTTGGCATCGATGCACTACTGCTGTATGATTCTCTGACGAGCTGCTTTCTCTTCCCTACCTCCAACCCCTCTTTATTTTTTTAAGAGAAGCAACGTTGAATAACAGCCTGATGAGGCTGAGGGAACAAATTGTGAAGGCCAATCTATTGGTGAGAGAAGCTAATTACATTGCTGAGGAGCTGGATAAAAGGACAGAATATAAAGTTACGCTACAGATTCCAGCCTCCAGCCTCGACGCCAACCGGAAGGTGAGGTTGCCATTCCTTGAAAAAAACTAAGATCTCATTGGATAAGAACGCCTGATGTTTCCTGGTGTTACTGAAGCTTCAGATCCCTGTCTATACCCGCCCCAAGTCTAGATCCTTTGTTCTCCTTGCTTTTGGGTAGAATTGACTTCCTCTTTATTCTCTGCCTTTGAGTGTATGTATATTTTATCCGCTAGGGGAATATACTGTCCATCTCACCTGGCCCTGACGGTCCATTTCACTCAGCTTGCTTTCTTCAGGTCTGTTTCAGTTCTTTCTTAGAAGTCTTTACTGATTAATCTTCCCCAAGTGTCTTTTTTTCCTTTCTTATGTTACCATTCTATTCCCACTTCCCCCCAAATTAGGTGTTCATTTTGCTTATGTTATTTTCTCCTTAGGATAGCTTGCTCTGTAAAACTCTTCATTAGTTGTGTCATGTATATATTGAGGATCACACTTTTTTGACATAATAAATTTAATAAAAAGTAGGGGGGAAGTCCCATTGCAGTCTTCTACCTTTGTCATTCAGTTTTTTTTTTTCCTTCTTTTTTTGAGGTTCTTTCCCAGGTCTTGGTCATGTTCATACATGATGTTTGATGGATTAGGTAGAATTTTCTATTCAGATGAATTTCTTATGGGTCCATGTGTTCTGTTTGCCCTACAGTAGTCAACACAGCAAGGCTTTAATCAGTTCATCTTGGATATTCTATTATTTCTTTATTTTTTGAAGATGGAGTCTTGCTCTGTCACCCAGACTGGAATGCAGTTGTGTGATCTTGGCTCACTGCAACTTCTGCCTCCTGGGTTCAAGTACTGCTTCTGCCTCAGCCTCCTGAGTATCTGGGATTGCAGGTGTGCGCCACCATACCCAGCTAAATTTTGTATTTTTAGTAGAGATATATTTTTGGTATTTTCTCCATGTTGGCCACACTGGTCTCAAACTCCTGACTTCAAGTGATCCACCTGCCTTGGCCTTCCAAAGTGCTGGAATTACAGGTGGATATTCTAATTTGATAGCAAGGATTACATCTTTCTTTCCCTATGATGTCATAGTATTGAGGTCAACATTTTGTACAGAGTAGATATTTGGCAAATACGATTCTTAGTGTTTTTAGAAAGTTATTACACTTGATCTTAGCCAAAAGGCCGAGAAGCGATAGAAAGTTATTATAAGTATGATATGATCATTATTTTATAGATCATTGTTTTTGTATACTCTGTGTATTTTGAGGATTTTACTTAATTTGAACTTAATAGTATTTGTAGGGCAAAGTCTAGGTACCATAGGACTCATCAAATACGGAAGAGGAAGGCCAGTCACAAGCAAAAGGTTTGAGACCTGGTTTCTTCTTGAAGGCTGAGAAGTTCAAGGTCGTGTTTCATTCTGTGGTGTACAAGTTGAAAAAAGCAGAAAACTGAACACTTTTCCCCCATTAAGCATGACTGCAGTCCTTTTCTCTGTAACCTGTTCTGGGCTTTGTTGAAAGGTGTGATTCTGCGTTGGGGTAGCCATGTCAACAACCACGAGTAACTCACGTCACTTGGTTTCTCTCTGCTGCCCTCCATCCAGTGCTGTGTTCACTGGGGCTGTGTCTTTTGCTGGTAGAGGTGACTCCATTACTGGAGTGAAGGAGCCATTTTTAACAGACACCTACTAATTCTCTGTTAGTATTGATTTATATAGATTGGTATTTTTAGATGTCAGCTAGAGAGAGGAGCCGGACAAGGAGGCATTTCCTAGGAGACTAGTTTCCTTCATGAGGCTGAGTCTGCAGTCTTTAATGCAACAAAGACTTTTTTGGTATTTGAAAACTGTTATGTATTTATATGTCTTGTCCATTCTGTGAACACTCTCTCTGGTGATTATTTTTTTCTTCTTTCTAATTTTTCAAGAGGGCCAAGTTATGGTAGCTGCATTGTAATGCCCATTGCTATTTAGTCCCAGGTCCAGCATTCTCCCCCAGAAAAGCCACTACCTGCACAGGTCACAAATGGGAGTTTTGTGTTTATTCACTGGCTGGCTGAATATAAGGTAGGAGGGCTCGTAATTTTGACTATAAGATGGCTGGGCTGGTGGCTCATGCCTGTAATCCCAGCACCTTGGGAGGCCACGGTGGATGGATCACTTGTGGTCAGGAGTATGAGACCAGCCTAGCCAACATGATGAAACCCTGTGTCTACTAAAAATATTAAAATTAGTCAGACATGATGGTGGGTGACTGTAATCCCAGCTGCTCAGGAGACTGAGGCAGGAGAATAGCTTGAACCCAGGAGGTGGAGGTTGCAGTGAGCCGAGATCAGGCTACCACACCCCAGCCTGGGCGACAGAAAGAAACTCTGTCTCAATTAAAACAAAAAACAAAAACCAACAAAACCACATTTTGACTGTAAGAATTCTCAAATGTTTGTTTTATTATTTAATTTTTGTTTTTAGAAAATGATTGTAGGCAAGATGCTAATGAAACATTTGTGTATTTCATAGTTCCCTTAAGTTCTAAGTAGAACAGTTGAAAAATTAAGCCAGTAAACCTAAATTGATTAGAGAACCAGCAGATATGTCTCTCTGGGGGAAATGTATAGGGGCTTTTTTTTTTTTTTTTTTTTAACTTTGTGGTTTTTAAAAGTTCTAAATTTTTTTCTACCTTGAAAATGCATTGCTCAAGTTCTTCTGCTCTGAAAAAAGTCCGCTTTGCTCTTATAAGCTGGAAAGACTTCTGAGCATACTTTTTTGGAGGGGGTGAAATTTGCATAACAGATCATTAGTATTTCAAAGTTAACAACTCAATGACATTTGGCATGGTCACAATGTGCTGTGAACACCGCCTCTGTCTGGTTCTGTATGATCTTAATAAGAAACCCAAACAATGCGTATTTGGAAACAAGTATCATTTATTGCTTCCACATGGGTAAATGGAGCACTTTTCAGTTGACTCTTTTAACTGTTTCATGTTTTATACCTCATGGAGATACCATCCAGTACAATAAACCATAATTCACACTTCTAGAGTTAAAGGGATATTTCTTCCCAATGAACAGCACACTTCCCCTTGTCATTTGATGCTATGACTCTTTCCCCATTGATACACTGTGGTCATATGGTGCCCTGAATAAAACATGTTTATTTCAACTTCCTGTTAAATGTGGTCTTTTGGGTTTTAAACTTAATCATATCCATCTAGAGTCAAAATTTAAATGTGGCTGGGTATAGTGGCTCATGCCTATCATCCCTGCATCTTAGGAGGCTGAGGCAGGAGGATCACTTGAGGCCAGGAGTTCATGGCTGCAACCTGTGGTCCTAATTACTTGGGAGGCTGAGGCAGGAGGATCTCTGGAGCCCAGGAGTTCATGGCTGCAACCTGTGGTCCTAATTACTTGGGAGGCTGAGGCAGGAGGATCTCTGGAGCCCAGGAGTTCATGGCTGCAGTGAGCTATGATATGCCACTGCACTCCAGCCTGGGTGACAGAGTGAGGTGCTGTCTCTTTAAAAACTTTCTCTCTGTCTCTGTCTCTCTCTCTCTCTCTCTCTCTCCATACACACACACACAAAACTTATTTATGTATTTTTGAGAGTCTCACTCTGTCACTCAGGCTGGAGTGCAGTGGTGACAGTTTCAGTCACTGCAGCCTCTGCCTCCTCTTGGACTCAAGCTATTCTCATGCCTTAGCCTCCTGAGTAGCTGGCATTACAGGTGCCACCACACCTGGCTAGTTTTTGTATTTTTAGTAGAGACGGGGTTTCACCATGTTGTCCAGACTGGTCTCGAACTCCTGACCTCAAGTGATCTACCTGCCTTGGCCTCCCAAAGTGCTGGGATTACAGGCATGAACCACCATGCCCAGCCGCCCTCCACAAAATTTTTTTAATGTTGAGTTTATACTTAAACTGAAGTTTATAAATAGATTTTGATTGCACTTGGGTATGAAGGCATTATGTAATAGCTTGTAAGACTTTTGGGAAGCTTTGTAATCAACGGATTAAAGGATGATTGCCGTTTGAGTTTTGACATTTGACTGATAGGGGTGAAATTTGCAGCTTTGACTTCCCTGCTGGCTGTCAGTGTGTTTCTCACAGTCATTCTTACTCTCTTTTCAGCGAGGCTCTCTTCTTAGTGAGCCTGCAATCCAGGTGAGAAGAAAAGGAAAAGGAAAGCAGATTTGGTCTTTGGAAAAACTTGACAACAGGCTGTTGGATATGAGAGACCTTTATCAGGAGTGGAAAGAGTGCGAAGAAGATAACCCAGTAAGTTACTTAAGAGAAAATCGCTTAATTGGTAATGGTAGAAGGAACCAAGCTGGAATGAGCCTACCCATTTCAGGGGAAAACGGTTCCTTTCCCCAAATTACAGTCCTATTTCTGGGGTAAGGTTGATTTTAATCCCCTAAATTGTTTAACAAATTAACGATTTTAATAATCTCTCTTTCTGCTATCTTCTTTTTTCTTCTCATTTCTGTCTTTTAGATTTCTAGCAGAATTCTCCACTTTCCATTCTGACTTCTGTTGGTGTGCGGGTGTGTGTCTCCTGTGCCCTCTGGGAACCTCTTTAGGACAGAGGCCAGGCCTCATTATTTGTCTCTCCTCCCATTGCTCAACCCGTTTAACCTTGCAGATAATAAACCTACAGTATATGTTTTGTAAGTTGAACATCAGTGGTATCTTAATATTTGCACTACGAGGAACATTTTTGAAGAACTTTTGATCATAAATCTATACACTGACACTCTGTTGTCACCTTGCAGGCTTTCTTATTTAGCATGGATGTGTACTCATATGTATTTAAAATAGAAATGCATGTTACGTATGTCTGAACATTTTTTCGTTACCTTTAGGCCTGTTTCTGCATAGAGTTGTTCACTTCCTTTGCCTTTTGTTTTCTAAAAATGGTTTTTCCAGATTGTCATCAATAAAAATGTTACTTAGGTGACGTTTTTGCTTTAAAAATGTTTGTCTCTTTGGTACCCCTCTCCTATTTCAACTTAGAAGTAAAACAATAATAACAAATACAAAAAAGTCACTCCCATGAGGGCTCAGCTTTCTTTTCTTTTTTCCTTTCTTTCTTTCTTTTTTTTTTTTTTTTTGAAACAGAGTCTATCTCTGTCTCCCAGGCTGGAGTGCAGTGACATGATCTCAGCTCACTGCAAACTCCTCCTCCTAGGTACAAGTGATGGTCCTGCGATAGCCTCCCAAGTAGCTGGTATTACAAGTGCCCGCCACTGTGCCCGGCTAATTTTTGTATTTTTAGTAGAGACAGAGTTTCGTCATGTTGACAGTGCTGGTCTCGAACTCCTAACTTCAGGTGATCCTCCCGCCTCGGCCTCCCCAAGTGCTGAGATTATAGGCATGAGGGCTCACCTTTTATTAGCAGTAGTGTATCTGATGATTTCCTAGGAACAAGCAGAGCAGATATGAATTAGTGTCTTACCCAAAAGAAAAGTGAAGCGTAGTTTTGCACACTCTACTTCTTTTTCTGGTCAACACAGATTGTTTGTTTATTTTGTGGCAAGATTTCTATGTAAAGGAGAATAACTGCTAAAAGTAATAACCTGTTACTGGGATCTCTCTGACATTGGTGGAGGATGCTGACCTCCATTGTGAATGGGAACAAGGAAGAGAGTGTGAGGGAGCAAAAACTTTAGAGTATTTTACTCTAAAAAGTACAAGCGTCAGCATGGTGAAAGTTCAGCTTCATGACCTAAGCACATGAAAAAGCAGTAGGCTGAATGCATGTATTGTAAGTGATTTTTCCGAAGTTATATATTCTTAATCTCTTCGCAGGTAATACGATCGTACTTCAAACGTGCTGATCCATTCTATGATGAGCAGGAAAATCACAGTCTCATTGGGGTGGCCAACGTCTTCCTCGAGTCCCTTTTCTATGACGCAAAGTTACAGTACGCTGTTCCCATCATCAACCAGAAGGGAGAGGTTGGTTGATCTTCCTTCATGCTTCGTTCCCTGTAGAGAACAGTTTAAGAAACAAGAGGGTGGTGATGGGATATTGTTGCTATTTTTTGTCGGTAACGACAGTTAACGTGTATGTGTTTCCAACGACTCTGAGGGCAGAGTAACTGTCAGAAACCAGGCCTCTGAATTCCCACACACCATTAACCTGACAACTTGACTCTAAAAGAGAAGAGAGGTCATCTCAAGGGAGCAGCAACCAAATCTGGAGAAACGTTTCTGCCTTCCCCGTTGCTGCAGGTGGCAGGTCGGCTGCACGTGGAGGTGATGCGCATCAGCGGGGATGTTGGGGAAAGGATTGCAGGAGGCGACGAGGCTGCTGAGGTCTCCGTTGAGAAAGAGACCCAGGAAAACAAACTGGTGTGCATGGTAAGTTCTAGCTTCATCCTAGTATTAGTTTGATACAAAAGTCAGTTGCCATTACTTTTAACGGCAAAAATCACGTTGACTTTTGCACTAACCTCATAGTTCAAGTGGGGCTGATTTTGAGGCCTGGGTCTTTAGATAGTACGTATTATGTTCCTTTTCACATTTTTAAAGTAGAGCAGAGCCTCCCCTACTCATGATGATGCCAAATCCCCTCAGTCATTTCCAAACACCCACTAGGGGGCCAGTCCTGCTGGTGGCTGAGAATCCCTGCAGGAACCAGTTATTATTTAAAAAAAGGTGCTGGCGAGCAGGAACTCACCAAGGGGCATAGATGCAGTGAGAAGGAGGCAAGGTTAAGGGAAGGAAGCCTACACCTGACTCTTAATCCATAGCCCATCCTAGAGCCAGTCCTCTCTCCCAGTAAACATTTCTAGACTTGAAGCCGACGTTGAAGGCGGTAAGTTAGACGTTAGCCACCAGGTAGCGGGAAGCTGGAGCTGTTGGAGTGGGTCTATTTTCTGCAAGTCTTGGCATATATGGAGAGGGCTTCCGGCATTTCAGTTACTTCACTAGGAGGGGGAGGAATCTTAATTCACTGAAAGGGCATATTTCTTGTATTGTACTTGACTTCGGAGCAGCTCCTTTGAGTCATAAGATGATCAGAGATGGAGACATAGGCTTGATGACCCCACGATGTCCCATTTTGAAGGTGATGGACTACCAAATGCAACTCAGATGTCACTTTCTGCTGTTAAGAGAACATATAAGGGCACTTCACACTTGGAAAATGTATTCTTATTACCAAAAAAAGTAGTATAACCTGAGAAATATGGGCTGCTTCAAATGAGGTTAAAATACCTTGTTTTTACTAATGGAAGATATCAAACATATCTAAAAGTAGTGAGAAAGGTGTTACTGATGTCCATTCACCTTTGATCCACAGTTATCACCTGTGGTCAACCTTATTTCATTTATACACTCAGCTGCTTCCATGCCGCCCCCTCCACTAGCATCCTAGGCACCCCAGCGTCATACCTTACCTGCAGATAGTTCAGTGTGTCTCCAAAAGATGAGTCCTTAAGCCAATATAACCATAATTGTCAAAATTAATAATTTGTCAAAAATTAGCAATTTCTTTCTATCGTAAAATCATCACTTTCCTTAATTGCCTTGGTTGGTGTGTGTCTTGTGTCGGTTTCAGTCTGGTACGCTCACGCTCTCTCACTTGCCTGCTCACTCTCTTTGCCTTTCTCACCAAACCTGCAATTTATGTATTGTAGAAACTGGGTTGTTGTAGTTTCCCATAGTCTGACTTCTGCCGATTGGTGTTGCCTAGCACATTAAGATGCATTTGCTGAAAACTGGTAGTTAGATATAAAGGTGTTGCCTGGGGGAGGGAGGCAGCCAAGGGGCTTGATCAGTGGTGGCCTCTGTTCTTCCATCAGGAGCCACATCTTGTCTGATTGTTTGTCTGTGGGAGATGATCAGCCATGGATGATGATTACCAAGATGCATTATTTTGTTAGGAGTTACAAAAGAATGGTACTGTAATTCTTTTGTCATTTCATTTTTCTCCAGAGAAAAAGTCTTCCTATTCCAACTACTTTGCTATACAGAGATAGTTTGTGTAAAAAAGGAAGGATAAATGCTCTCCCTTTATTTACAGATTTTATCTATTTTATTTGTGAGACAGAGTCTCACTCTGTCACCCAGGCTGGAGGGCAGTGGTGTGATTTTGGCTCACTGCAGCCTCCGCATCCCAGGTTCAACTGATTCTCCTGCCTCAGCCTCCCAAGTAGCTGTGTCACCATGCCCAGCTAATTTTTGTATTTTTAGTAGAGATGGGAGTTTTGCCATGTTGGCCAGGCTGGTCTTGAACTCCTGGTCTCAAGTGATCCACCTGCCTCGGCCTCTTGAAGTGCTGGGATTACAGGTGTGAGCCACCACATCCAGCCTAATTTTTAAAATAATGAATTGGTTTTCCAAAATGGGACCAGTGAGGTTTTTTTGTCCTTAATCTTAACAGCATCATTATGAACTCTCAGACTTAACCATATTTGGGGTGCATCTGTCTGTTGGATTCACTACCTGTATTTAAGCACAAATGTTCCCATCTTTGGCTAGTGGGAGCCGCTTCAGTTGGCCCGTGAGTCCTGCTGTTAAAACGCTGAGCTTCCTGGACTGTGCTAGCTTTCTTGCTTTCTGGTGTGATGTAACTAGCCCCCACAGAAGTCTGGATTTGTTTTTTGTAACAAGGCTATATGCACATGTTGACATCTTCACTTTTTCGGTGATAATAAGTGAGGTTAGTATATTTAAAACCTTGGAACATTTCTGATCTCCTCTGTCTTAACAGCTGCACGTTGAAGCTGTGCTATTCTGACACCTTGTGGTGGTTTTAGTTTTTGTGTGCAAAAACTCGTTTAGAAACCCCGCAAAACCCAAACAGCCTGTGTTCTAGATACCTTGGCATTCCTTATGGCTGATAGACTTCATTCCTGGCAGCCTCATTCCTGAGAGGTTGCCTGTAGTCGAGAGTTCAGCATATTAAATCTTGTTTCTTGTGTATTTTAACATTAAAATTGTGATTAATTTTGAATAGAAAAAGGATTTCAGATGGAATTTAGTTACAAAGAAGTATGTATTGAACATGTATGTAGTCAATACCTATTACCGCTCTCTTGCATTTCATTTTGTTTCACTGGTGTGATCAGTCTGACCTCCGTAAAGTAAGGTAGCTACTGATATTCCCGTTTCACCTAGGAGAAAACTAAGCCTAAGAAAACTAAGAATTTAAGTAATTTGTGCCAGCACACGAGCTAATAAGTGGGCGAGATTTTTACTGTATTGATTTTATGTAACTCCAACATCTTGTAATCTTCTTAAATGCCATATTGTCTTACCCTAAATAATACAAATATTTCCAAACACTTAATGAAAAAATGATGGTTTTAAAAACTTAATGAAAAATTAATAGCAGAGTACTGTTTGCTCATTTTGATTTGAAGGAATAAAAGGTATCAGGCAATCTGTCTTTCATGGCCTGTCAGGAAGTAGCTGTCTAGGTGTTTCAAACTCCTGTTGACGTCACAGAAAAGCTGAATTATAATGGCAGTTTCTATTTGATTGCTTACTCATTATATGTTTGCTATGGAAGAAAATGAAGTAACTTGGTTTGTGTAATTTTGTGTGTGATTATTAATGCTTCCTGAAGAGTGTGTGTGTGTGTGTGTGTGTGTGTGTGCATGCGTTTTAGAGACGGAGTCTCTGTCACCCAGGCTGAATTGCAGTGATGTGGTCTTAGCTCACTGCAACCTCCGCCTCCTGGGTTGAAGCAATTCTCGTGTCAGCCTCCAGAAGTAGCTGGGACTACAGGCATGCACCACCACATCCAGCTAATTTTTATATTTTTATTAGAGATGGAGTTTCACTATGTCAGCCAGGCTGGTCTCAAACTCATGACCTCAAGTGATCCTCCCACCTTAGCCTCCCAAAATGCTTGGATTACAGCCTGAAATGTTAAGGTTATGTTCATGGTTGCTGAACTACATGAACTCTTATGCCATGTGTTCAGATTTATTTTCATTACATGTATTTACTGGAGGTGGGTTGAATCATACAACGTGCAGAAAGTGACCAGGTGAAAAATAGGATTTATGATTAATGCTCAGTCATGTGAAAATTGGTTTAATCAGGTATACAGTCAGAATTTGGCTTAATTAACTTCAGGATTTTGTTTCCTTCATAGTTGGAGAAGTTTTAGAATGTCACAGTTGATCACAAAAACTCCAAATTAAAAATCAACCCAGGCCAGGCCTGGTGGCTCATTTCTATAATCCCAGCATTTTGGGAGGCTGAGGCAGGAAGATCACTTGAGCTCAGGAGTTTGACACCAGCCTGGTTTGCATAATGAGACCTCATCTCTACTAAAAATCAAAAATACGACCTGAGCATGGTGGCACACACCTGAAGTCCCAGCTCCTCAGAAGGCTGAGGCTGGGGGATCACTTGAATCCTTAAAATCAAGGCTGTAGTTAGCCATGATTGTGCAACTACACTCCCGCCTGGGCAACAACAAGACCCTGTGTCAGACACACACAAAAAAAATCAGTCTAATGCTGCCCATCAAAAGAAATATTAAGCTGGGCGCGGTGGCTCACGCCTGTAATCCCAGCACTTTAGGAGGCCGAGGCAGGTGGATCACGAGGTGAAGAGATCGAGACCATCCTGGTCAACATGGTGAAACCCTGTCTCTACTAAAAATACAAAAAAAAAAAAAAAAAAAAAAAATATTAAGAATATCTGGCTGCCTTAGAAACTGTTACAGATATTTCTTCTGGGGCTTTTGGGTCTGATTAGATAAGTATCTCCAGTTGCCCTTTGTTACAGCCACACCCTGCCCCCTTGGTTCAGAGCATGCTTCCTTTGATACCCGTTTCCCCCAAATCTGCATAAGGAAGGCTTTCTGTAAACATTGGCACAGAAAATCATCAGTGTTTACCATCTTCACTTCCCTTCCTTCTCCCCCCAGATCTTTATATATTACTGATGTTCTCCCAAACAATGCTATAGTTCTCCCAAACAGTGCTATAGTAGCATATGACACTTTCAGATGAGAACCTTGTTTCCTTTTTTGTTTTGTTTTGTTTTGTTTTTTTGAGACAGAGTCTCTCTCTGTCTCCCAGGCTGGAGTGCAATGGCATCTCGGCTCACTGCAACCTCTGCCTCCCAGGTTCAAGTGATTCTCCTGCCTCAGCCTCCTGAGTAGCTAGAATTACAGGTATACACCACCACCCCGGCTACTTTTTATATTTTTAGTAGAGATGGGGTTTCGCTATGTTGGCCAGGTTGGTCTTGAACTCCTGACCTCATGATCCACGCACCTCGGCCTCCCAAAATGCTGGGATTACAGGCATGAGCTACCATACCCAGCCTACCTTGTTCCTTTTTATAGTTTAAAACATCAAATCTATGTTTCACTCTTTCCTTGATACTTGTCGTTTATTGGCATGTACACTGATTTTGTTCTTCATTCACTGTACTTGACAATCTTGTTCTGTTCTGTGGCAAATCCACGATTAGCCAAGTTCATATCATTGCAGAGTACTGACGTTTGACATCTGTCTTTGTCTGAATTGAGGATGATGATGATGATTCTTATATTCTGAGCAACTGGACATTTAAATGTTTTTATGCTTCACAATGTCCACCTCTGTAGTCAGGGTCCTTGTAACCCTGTGTCCAGCCTCTCACTAAATACGGTAATTGCTACCACAGTTTTCCAGATTCAGAAGTCGAGTCTCAGGTTGAAGGGGATTTGGCTATCATAAGTCGTAAGTTAGTGACAGAGCTGGAACTGGAACCTGCAACCGTGACTCCGAGTGTTTGTTGCAACCCTCGGATTTCAAAACACACAGCCTTCTTTTTCCTTCAGGTTAAAATCCTCCAAGCTACTGGGTTGCCACAGCATCTGTCCCACTTTGTGTTCTGCAAATACAGCTTCTGGGATCAACAGGAGCCGGTGATTGTCGCTCCTGAAGTGGACACCTCCTCTCCCATCAGCAAGGAGCCGCACTGCATGGTTGTCTTCGATCACTGCAATGTGAGTGTGTTTTCTCGAGGAGGCCAGCATTTAGATCACTCATGTAAAAACAAAGCAGAAAATGAACCATACTTCTTTGAATAATTGTGCCAATATGTCTTAGAGCCCTTTCTGTGGAATGTGGGGATTGAGCAGAAAGTGTCAACGCATCTATACTCCTCCACAACCCAAAGGTCACTTTTGCATGAGAATTAAATACCTATGCAAATACCTATGTATGTATATGTGCGTATTCTTCTCCAAAGCAAATCTATGCCCTGTGTTAGATTACTGGAAAAATTATCTAAAACAGTTAATAAACTTTCGTTTTAGAAAAAGTGAACATAGGTAACAGAAGAACTGACTTTTTTGCGCACCGAATGCTCTGTGAAGCTCTCTGTTACTTCTTCATTTGATCCTCACCACAGTTGTATTTGATGATAGTGCAGTTGTTATTTTTTTGTTTTGAGACAGAGTCTCGGTCTGTCACCCAGGCTGGAGTGCAGTGGCGCAATCTTGGCTCACTGAAACCTCTGCCTCCCAGGTTGAAGCAATTCTCCTGCCTCAGCCTCCCAAGTGGCTGGGATTAATTACAGAGGCCTCCCACCATGCCCGGCTACTTTTTTTTTTTATTTTTTATTTTTAGTGGAGATGGGGTTTCACCATGTTGGTCAGACTGGTTTTGAACTCCTGACCTCAGGTGATCTGCCCACCTTGTCCTCCCAAAGTGCTGGGATTACAGGCATGAGCCACCATGCCCAGCCAATAGTGCATTTTTTTTTTTTTTTCCAGCTGAAAACACAAAACAGTTCAGAGAGGTCAGTTTGCCCAACGTAGTTCCTCATCGGTTTGGCCGTGGCTGGTGACCAGCTGAATGTGGACTGTTGGGTCCCCAAGTCTTGCTCCTGCACCACTTTTGATCCAGCTCATCTCTTTCGAGAGAGAGAGAGAGATCTCTTTCTAATCTGTTTAAAACAAATACTTCAGTGCATTAAAGATAGAGAGAGGAGACACCAACAGAGATAGGAGATTCTGCGGTTTCTATAATAAACTGTCATAGAACTCATTACTAATTGCAAAATGCTATCTTATAAAAATGGACAGGCTGGGAGAATTTTTACAAATAAAGTCTTTTTTTTTTTTTTGGTGCTAATGATCTTTATTTCCCTTACCTCCTAATAAAGATAGTTAGCGTTCTAAAATGTGGGAAAAATGTTTTTGAACACACTACCTTATTGCATATAATAACTTTTATATCAACACATTATAGACCAGTGTTGTAACACTTTGTACAATTATGCTTTTCAAAATAACTCTCAAAATACTGCTAACAAAGCAATACAATGCTGGTCTTATATAGTAGACTTCTGAGGTGAAAAGTTTTTAAAAATTCAGATTTATAGTTATGTTTAAAGTCAAGAACCTTAGGCCATCTAAACATTCATCATGGGTGTTAGCTGACAGTTCCGTATAACTAAAACATTCCTTTTTCTATTTTTTTCCTTATATAATTAAGTATGTGATGTCTGGTATAAACAATTCTAAGATTACCAGAAGGAGTTTCCTCTTCTGTAATTAGCTATTGTGTTTCAGGAGTTTTCTGTTAACATCACTGAAGACTTTATCGAGCATCTTTCTGAAGGAGCATTAGCAATTGAAGTATATGGACATAAAATGAACGATCCTCGGAAAAACCCAGCCCTATGGGATTTGGGAATCATCCAAGCAAAGACACGTAGTCTTCGGGACAGGTGATTGTTAGATGTTCATCTGATTCCATTTATATATATGTAATTTTTTTTTTTTTTTTTTTTTTTTTTGAGACAGTCTCGTTCCCGAGGCTAGAGTACAGTGGCGTGATCTTGGCTCACTGCAACTCCAGCCCCCCTGGAGTAAACTATTCTCTTGTGTAAGCCTTCCGAGTAGCTGGGATTATAGGCATGCACACCATGCCTGGCTAATTTTTATATTTTTAGTGGAGCTGGGGTTTCACCATGTTGGCCACACTGGTCTCGAACTCCTGACCTCAAGTGATCTGCCAACCTCAGCCTCCCAGAGTGCTGGGATTACAGGTGTGAGCCACCTTGCCTGTCCAGATTCCGTTTATAATTTTTTAAAACTGCTAGAAATTAGTACTGCCATTTATGAAGGTTACTGTTTCCTGAGCATGACCAGGCTTCCCTGAAGGGATGGCGGTGTCTCCAGGGTATTAATCACACAATTAAGCTTCCTTAGGGAAGCAAACTTCAGAGAATGATAGAAGAAAGTTCAATTTGTAGCTGATTAAAAAGAAACAGTGAAATTAATTTTAGAGAAGAGTGACTTACCATTATGAATTACTTCTAATTAATCAGCTGTAGAAAGGATGGATCAAGATTCACTCTAGTGTTCACATTTTCTTTGTCTTTAGCTCATGGTTCTGAGTGGCATCAGTGTTGGAAAGAGGTAGGCTTCTTTGTGGTCTTAAAAGGAAGCATTAAAAGGGAATGACTGAAGTTGCCTGTCTTTGTGCTTTTCGTCTACTTATAGATGAAAACCGTATTTTCTTTTCCTTTTTTGCATTTAGATAGTTTAGCAAATACTAAAATAGAAAGTGAGATTTGAGATTTTTTTTTCTTTTTTTTTTTTTTGAGATGGCGTCTCACTCTGCCAGGCTATAGTGCGATGGTGCAGTCTCGGCTCACTGCAACCTCTGCCTCTCAGGTTTAAGTGATTCTCTCACCTCAGCCTCCCGAGTAGCTGGACTACAGGCGTGTGCCACCACACCCGGCTAATTTTTGTATTTTTAGTAGAAATGGGGTTTCACTGTGTTGGCCAGGCTGGCCTTGATCTCCTGACCTCCTGATCTGCTTGCCTCGGCCTCCCATAGTGCTGGGATTACAGGTGTGAGCCACCGTGTCTGGCCTGAGATTTTTTCTCTTGATTCTCTTACTGACCTGAGAAAAATACTTGCCCAGTCACTGAAGTATATGGCACTACCTTTGTCTATCTACAAAAAGACAATCCCTGTATTTGCTTTTTTTTTTTTTTTTTTAACTTTTTTAAAAAGAGTTGCAGATTATTTTAGATTTGGGGGTACATGTACAGGTTAATTACCTGGGTACACTGTGTGATGCTGAGCTTTGGGGTACGATTGATCCTGTCACTCAGATAGTGAACCTAGTTCCCAAAAGGTACTTTTTCAACCCTTGCCCACTTCCTGCTCCCCACCCCTGGGAGTCTCCAGTCTCTATTGTTGGCATCTTTTTGTCCATGCATGTTCAGTGTTTAACTCCCACTTATAGGTGAGAACAAGGGGATTTTGCTTTTCTGTTTCTGCATTAATTTGCTCAGGATAATAGCCTCGAGCTGTACCCATGCTGCTGCAAGGGACATGATTTTGTTGGGTTGTATTTTTTATGGATGTGTGCTTACTTCTTCTGTACATCTGATTAGAATTTCCATTTTTTGAGTAATGGCTTTGAAATAGATTTGTCATTTTATCTTTTTGAACAAAGTAAAGGAGCCATTTCTGGTTCTGATATTTTAAATTTAACTTTGCTTTCCATTACATTTGCCAGTATGTACTTGTATGGTACTTGCTGAACTACAGATCATTCTGAATTACTCTGTTGGGAGGTCATTTTCGTTGTTAATTCTTATGTGTGTAGGATCCTAAAATGCCTGTAGTGAAATAGAAATGTATGATTTTCCAAGAACTTCACTTGTTTCCTAGATGGAGTGAAGTGACCAGGAAATTGGAATTCTGGGTTCAAATCTTGGAACAGAATGAGAATGGTGAATACTGCCCCGTAGAAGTGATTTCTGCAAAGGATGTCCCCACAGGAGGAATTTTCCAGCTCCGGCAGGTAACAAGATTGTGAATGTTAATATTAGATTCTTTGGTGGCAGAAAGCTTAATATTGGCTTCTTTTTGGCAGAAATATTGGCGATAATGAAATCTAGACTGGCCAAGTCCTTTTCTTATAGTAAAATTCTCTTATCTTGTGTGTCACAAGTATTGCTGTTAAATTTTTTTTCTTTTAATAAAGTAGAGACACAGGGATCTTTACTCTGTTGCCCAGGCTGGTCTTGAACTTCTGGCCTCAAGTGATCCTCCTGCTTTGGCCTCCCAAAGTGTTGGAATTACAGGTGCGAGCCACTGCTCTCAGCCAAGTATTGCTATTTATAATATCTTTAAAACCAGTTCTGTTAGTGTTAGATAAGAAAGAGATAAGTTTTAAAGGAAAACTTAGAATTGATTTGTAGGACATAAACCAAACATATCAAACAGCTTTAGAACATTTATGGAGACAAGGAGAAGTGATGTGACATGGCAGAAAGAATAAGCATTCAGACTCCCACATGCTTGGGCTCGATTCTGGCTCTCCAGCATCCTAGCTTTCTATACCTGAGCAAGTTCAGTAACCTCTTGCCTTCACTTGTTAGGTAGACACAGTAATAACACCAACATCAAAGGATTAGTGTGAGGATGAAGAGAGATGTGTGTTTAAGCACAGGGCGTGACGCATAGCAGGTGTTAACATAAATGCAGCTGGGTAGAAACACGGGCCAGAGTCCACACAACAGAGAAGGATATCGGAGTGGCCACTTAACCCCACGCGTATCTGCAGAGTCTGTGCTGCCAACTAACAGTGAGAGGGAAATTGTTAATTTAATTTGTATACATTATTTGGAATTTTTTTCGCTATGCTTGACATTAATACAACGTTTAGGAGACTCCCATGTTCAGTGAGAGTTTCCATACTTTAAAACAGTGGTAAAATATTAGAATCGCTCTAGAAAATGAACGTAGAAAGCATTCAAAGCAAAACAGAGAAAATTAAAGGAAAGAAAAATTGCTTCAATGTTTAGTTTCTGAATGTTTTAAGAGGAGGACAATGATAAACACTTGTTCTCTGACCCCAGCAAATAAATTTTAGCAAAGTGAAAGGAGCTTAAATTAAAGCATGTGTTACACACATAAAGTAGAATTCTTAAGGGTGTGAAGAACATCTTTTTCTGAGGATCTCTTAAAAAAAATATATTTTCTTCAGAGCCTTAGAAATTCATCTACTGGAAGGCAAGACTGGATAATTTTCTGTGATTTAGTGTAAATTGGATATTTAAATATTTATCAAACTTCCGATACTCTTTACTAAAAGCTTTCAAAGAAATGTTGGGTTTTTCAGGAAAGGGCTTTTTGCAGGATATGCCTCTTTACCTTGATGCTGGAAAAATCAGGCAAAGTCTGAAAGGGTTTTTCTTACATGATGGCAAAAACAATTACTTTTGCACCAACCTAATGTTAATGGCAAGAATAAAGACACAGAGGCCAGAAATTAGGTCCATCTGATTGAAAGTCATGTGGACAAAGAACTGGAAAGCAGAAAGGGAAGAGGTTGCAGAAGCTTGCGGCAGCTGTTTCGGAGGGTCTTGAGTGCTCGGCTCATGTGAGTGTAACATGTTTAGAAGTTGGGTTGTATGTTCTCAAACAGGAAGGTGGCTGAGGACAACTGATTAAGTTAAACCATGTGAAAATTGCTGTTTTGGTTGAAACAAATGGTCAAATATCAGCAGTGACGAGAAGTTCTGTCTAATACTTTAAGTGTAGTTTTAAAAGTTTTTCTGTGGAAAAGTAAACCATTCCCAAATGCTGTCCCTCCCCTCCTTGGGAATCTTTCCTGAAAGTGCACATTTCACCCTTCACTCTTAGGCACAGATTCAAAATAGATCACTTTGGAAAGGGTTTAGGCAAACCAAGCAAACAAAAGGTAGCTAATTATAATGACAAAACTGTTTAGGCTATAAAATGTTTTCTTTAGGACTTTTCCCCAAAAATATCTGAGGCTTAGTCCTTGGTAATACTAAATCAGAAAACATCCGTATTCCATCCATTCATATGGAGCTTGATAGGATCAGTCGTTGCCTGAGTTGGTTTTCCTGATCATGCAGAGCTCTTGGGAGCTAAAATCTGATGGAAGAGGGCAAGAGTAAATGACTTGCAATTGAATACGTATATTCCATTTTTCAAATGCTGTTTTACATTGCTAAAATTTACAAACCAAGTTTGAAGTCAGTAATTTGGGAATACTGTGAATCCTCTTTTAAGGTATTAATTCATTGTAAATATATACCAGGTCCCACATAATAAACAATCTGAGCAATCGTAATTACTGGTATTATATTTACTGATCATTATATTTATAGTTATGTAACTGTATAATTGATATATTTATATTAATGGTAATGTACTTACTGCTATATCAGTAAATTAAATATATATACACAAATTATATACGTAATACTGATATATTTATTGATATTTACACTTACTCATATTGATTTGTTTATATTTACTGATATTATATTTACATTTACTGGTACTTTATTCTTTAATATGTTATAGGTTTTTCTACAGTAATACTTTAACAACTATATAGTGTTTCATTATATGTACCATGGTTTATTTAAAGTTACCAATATTATGCATTTAATTCATATCTAATTTTTTCTTTTTAGAAGTGCTTAAGATTTTTTGTGTATACGCGTCATTATTTATCTCCCTAGAAATTGAATTATTGGGTTAAAGGAACTTATATTTTTAACTCAAATTGCCTTGCAGAAAACTTGTACCAATTTAAATTCCGACTTACAGTGTATGAAATTGTTTCATAAACACAGGGCATTATTGAAAATTCCCCTTCTAAAAGATAATTGCCAGTTTAGGAAGTGAAAATAAAGGTGTATCATGCTTTACTTTAATTTGTATTTATTTAATTATCAGTAAGTTGAACCTTTTTTTTTTTTTTTTTTTTTTTTTGAGACAGAGTCTCGCTCTTGTTACCCAGGCTGGAGTGCAATGATGCGATCTCGGCTCACCGCAACCTCCGCCTCCTGGGTTGAAGCAATTCTCCCGCCTCAGCCTCCCGAGCAGCTGGGACTACAGGCACACACCACCATGCCCAGCTACTTTTTTGTATTTTTAGTAGAGACGGGGTTTCACCTTGTTGACCAGGATGGTCACGATCTCTTGACCTTGTGATCCACCCGCCTCGGCTTCCCAAAGTGCTGGGATTACAGGTGTGAGCCACCGCGCCCGGCTCCTAAGTTGAACTTTTTTATTGGCCGGTGTTTGCATTTCCTTTGGTAGATTTTTAAAAATGTTTCTTATTATTGATAGCATGTGTAAACATATATTTATTCTGTTTTTTAGCTCACTTAAGAGGGAAATGATTTTCCTAATTAGTTTTTGGATTCGTATTTTAATGCTTTAATAAGATGGTGACTGTGTCTGAATTAAACATTTTTTCTCAACATCAGCCTGTAGGGGTCTCTCTAAACCAAATTGTTCGATATCAGGAAACTGATTTTAAGACTCTAAATTGTCTCTGATCCAGGGGCAGTCCAGGCGAGTTCAAGTGGAAGTGAAGTCGGTACAGGAATCTGGGACTTTACCCCTGATGGAAGAATGTGTATTGTCTGTTGGCATTGGGTGTGTCAAAGTTAGACCGGTCAGAGCCCCCAAAACTCACGAGACCTTCCATGTAAGTTTCTATACCTGGGATGTTCTTCTTGAAAGACAAAAATCAGACCAGAGTGCCTTTTGGAACCTGTACGAAAACTACTTTCTATGAACAATTCTTTCCGTGAATCTCTTTGTTTACCTTTGCTGTCTTTTTCGTGTCTTGTACTTTCATGGAATCACTGCATCGGACTGTATTATCGGTTTTGCCCTGGAGTAGGTGGCAAGCTGAGGGTTAAAACATCTCAGCCTCCCCAGATTCCACCGTGCCAGCTAGTGATTAACCTCCTCAACATCATCCCACCCCTCTGCAGAAACCCCCTACTGGCTTGTAAAGACTCTTTGCCAGCAGGTGTTTGATTTCCCCTGGCGAGTGGGACTATAAACCCAGCAGGGGGAGCATTGTACTGGTTCCCGAAAAGGTCAAATGAGTGTTCACTTTCCTGTGAGCGGCTCCAACTTCCTGACAACTATAAAACCCAGAGTGAGGATGTGGGAATGTGGGAGGGGAAATTGTGTATTCATTTGGAAAATATTAATTATGGGTAAAGAGATTGTTTAGCATAGCCTGATTCTTGGATAAATCAATAATTCAGTTCTATGTAATATGTTTTTTCTTTTAGGAGGAAGAGGAGGACATGGACAGCTACCAGGTAGTTTAGCACCTGTTAGCCTCATCTCAAATAAGCATGATTAAAGTATGTAATTACGCATTCCTGGATCTCGCTATAGTGTTATTTAAGGATTAAACAATTCATACTGCTTTTTTTGTTGTTTTAAAGTAAAACAGAGTAGGAAACACTGAGTGTTGTTTCTAGACTGCAAAGTGTGTTAGGAGTGGGAAGTCATTTGAGATCCTTTTCCAAGCCTGGAGATCCCCAGCCAGGCTCCCTAAAGATCCTCTTCCCTGGACATTTTCTCTCGGGAGTGAGTCAGCACCCATTGCCCTTAGTACAGCTGTCTCATTCTGAGCTTCAGTCCACCCTATGTGTTTCGCATTTTTTTAAGCCAGATATTTCTTCCCTACTTCCTGGAATCATACAGCATTGGGGATTTTTTTTTTTTTTTCCTTTCCTTTCTTTTCCTAACTTCTCCAGGATTCTGTTTCTGTCTGTGCAATTCCGTCTGTTAGTCATCGTTCAGGACTGTGAGGGCTCTTTGGAGCCCGATGATGTCATCTATGTAGTCACTCTCCTGGTTTTGTATCATTCTAATTTGATAGAAATGTCTGCTTTCCTATAAGTCACTGATAAAAACACTGTATCAGATAGGGTTAAATACAGAGTCCTGTGGCACAACAGTAGAGACTTGGTTGAAGCTGACATGAATCACTGTTCCTCGGATGTGATATTTGAGTCCTCTGTGATTTCACTGAAGCAGATGCATCACACGTTTCTCCATCTTGTCCACAACAATGTCATAGGCTATTTGGTTAAGTGCCCTAGTAAAGTCCAGACACACAATATCTGCAGCATTCCACTGACCTACCTAGTGTGGTAACCTTATTAGAAAAGGAAATGAGGTAAGATTGGTATGCATGTAGGTGTTGACTGGTGGGGTAGTTATTCTGTTGGTGATAACACCTTTCCCCTCTTTCCCCCACCTGTCACCCCCTAAAATGCATGAAAACAAGTGTGAGAAGCATTTACATGTTGTTGTCTCTGAGAGCCTATACTGACATATAGAAAGCAAAAGTTGAAGGATTCTTCTGCTTATTCTAAGGTATATAAATTGGAAGTTTTTGTTTGTTTGTTTGTTTGTTTGTTTGTTTTGAGACAGTCTCGCTCTGCCACCCAGACTGCAGTGCAGTAGAGTGATTTTGGCTCATTGCAACCTCTGCCTCCCAAGTTTAAGCAATTCTCATGACTTAGCCTCCCAAGTAGTTGGCATTAAAGGTGCACACCACCATGCCCAGCCTATTTTTTGTACTTTTTTTTTTTTTTTTTGAGATGGAGTTTGGCTCTTGTTGCCCAGGCTACAGTACAATGGCGCAGTCTCTGCTCACTGCAACCTCCGCCTCCCAGATTCAAGTGATTATCTTGCCTCAGCCTCCTGAGTAGCTGTGATTTCAGGTGCCTGCCACCAGGCCTGGCTAATTTTTGTATTTTTATTAGAAACGGGGTTTTACCATATTGGCCAGGCTGGTCTCAAACTTCTGACCTCAGGTGATCACCTGCCTTAGCCTCCCAAAGTGCTGGGATTACATGCCTGAGCCACCATGCCCAGCCATACAGGAAGATTATTGAGTCCTATTTGTGGGTTTTATCCATTTTAGAAGATTTTTGACCTTTTAGACCTTTTAGAAGATTTTTGTTGCCAGTCCTTAAAGTTCTACCCCCAAGCCATTAGAAATAAAACTGGTTCTGGATACCTGAGAATACCCTTTTTGCTCTAGAAAATAATGCTTTCAATTCTGAAAATAGCTGTTTTTGAATTATGGGTGCAGTCAACTGGTGGTAGTAATAAAGAAATTATTGTATACTACCTTACCTTTCTGAAGTATAGTAGAGTAAGATAGAGCGTCAGTTTCAGATAGATTATCTTGATATTGCATTGAATATGATTTTCCTTGCTTGCTTCCAGGATCGGGATTTAGAGAGACTTCGTAGAAAATGGCTGAATGCGTTAACAAAACGTCAGGAGTACTTGGATCAACAACTGCAAAAGCTTGTCAGTAAACAGGGTAGGAAAAACAAATAGAATATTTTTCTCCCTGCACCTCAATGCATAATTAATTATTCTCCCTTTGTAGCCACGTCAGTTAAGAGTCAGATGAACACATCAGTAGTGGGGATGGCAGGAGCAGATGAGTGTTAACTCCTTGTTTATGTCATATCCTTTGCTCAGCTGTCATGTCTTGGTGTAAGTCTTCCTTCCACCCCCCACAAAGAAAGAAAATACTGTGCACAAAGCAAATGTGGTCCCTCAAAGATAACTTAAAGGTTATCTTTGGATAACCTTTATCCAAAACTAACTTTTCTTATCCGGAGGGCTTGAGTCCTCTGACTCTGGACCACGCCTGTGCAGTCCCTCTGTAGGCCTCCCAGGAAGTGAAGGTGGCCTCTCTGTAAGAACCCACCTGACCTCCTTAGCTGTGGGTTAGTTTTTATCACTGGGGAGCACTCATCAGCTAATAAGAGAAATACAGGCAAATCCAGTCTTGACTCAGGACTAACAGATAAAAATGGCACGTGGGGTTTCGGCATTGAATCTTCATTCCCGATGTTCTAGATAAAACAGAGGATGATGCTGACCGTGAGGCGCAGCTCCTGGAGATGCGGCTGACCCTCACTGAGGAGCGGAACGCCGTGATGGTCCCCTCTGCTGGCAGTGGCATTCCAGGGGCCCCAGCAGAATGGTACGAACCGTGTGGTGTGTCTAGTGAGGCTCTGAACTCTCACCAAGCCACCTGCTTTTAGCCTGAATTTTACATGTGCTGTGGTTAATGGAAGATTCATGATAGCATGGTGGGAGAAATGTTTAAATAAAAGGAACTGTTAAACTATTTTCATGAGTTAAATAACTACGGCCTAAAACCGTTTTATTAAATAATGTTGTTATTGGCCAAAGTCATTAAGATTTCTGAGAACTTAAATCAATATTTAGTACCACTGCACTTAGCATTAAAAAAATAGTTAATATGTTAATTACTTGAGTCATTCCCTTAAAAGACTGTTCGGTCATAAGAAAATTGCATCTCCACGCGATTTTGGTTTTGGTGCTGGCTTAAACTGTACTGTCAGCAAATGTTCCGTGCTACTTTATAGAAATTAAAAATAGTAAATTTAGCCAGAGGGAGCCTTTGAGTATATCATTTTATAAGAAAGTAGGTTTAAAGAGGAGAACTTTACTATAAACAGGTGAGGGTGTCTTCCAAGGCTAAGTTCAGGTGTCGGCATATGAAGCAGCAGCAGCCGCTGTGGGGGCGTTGCGGCCTCTGACTCTGGATTAGAGTACAGCCAGGGCCAGGGTTACTACTGCTCTGCCCTGTAACAGCCCCGAATGCCATTAAGGCTGTGTTCCTGTGTGCATGTCGCTGAGAAAGTAGGCTGATTCAGATGCCATTTGTTCTTCATGTCTTAGGACCCCAGTGCCTGGGATGGAGACACATATCCCTGTTATCTTCCTGGACTTAAATGGTAAGTTAGGAGGTGTGTCCTGAAGGCTTAAAATTAGTGCCCACATAACATGCAGATTCCAACCCAGTGCATTGTGAGGCAATCCTGTTACCCTAGGGCTAGAGCCAGTTTGACGTGTGCCCACGTGCCCTGACAGACTGATTTGTGTGTCAGGCTCTCATGTTTATGACAGTAATAGGCGTGCTTCACTGTGCTCCTCACCTCTCATCCCTGCAGCTCATGGTGCCATGTGGATGCTCTACCCCACCAGTGTTAGGATGGTAGCAGTATGTTGTTGTTGTTGTTGTTGTTGTTGTTGTTTGATGGAGTCTCACTCTGTCGCCCAGGCTGGAGTGCAGTGGCAAAATCCCAGCTCACCACAACCTCTGTCTCCCAGGCTCAAGTGATTCTCCTACCTCAGCCTTCTGAGTAGCTGGAACTATAGGTGTGTGTCACCATGTCTGGCTAATTTTTTGTGTTTTTAGTAGAGATGGGGTTTCACCATCTTAGCCACGATGGTCTCGATCTCTTGACCTCAGGTATCTGCCTGCCTTGGCCTCCCAAAGTACTGGGATTACAGGCGTGGGCCACCACTCCCGGCTCTTCTTTAATTCTTAGGGAAAGACTTCTCTCTGGAAAGGACTACTAGCAATACTTAGGAAGCATGTTTCCTTGTGGTGTTTTCTTAGCGTTATCTAATAAATGTCTCATTTTTTACATAAGTTCTTGTGCCATTCATCCCTGTATTACCTGTTTTTTTGTTGTTTGTTTTTTTTAAATACTGTCATTTTTCTGATTCCCACTCACCCCCATGTAAAATATTCTGGGGCTAGATACATTTTATGTATATTCTGCCTGTAGGAGTTCTACCTGTAGGATGGAAAATAGAAAATGGAAAGGTAGATTAAGCATCTGAAAATAAGTTAAAAGTCAACAGTTAAATTGCTAAAACATCTGCAGAACTGTGTATTAATATAAACTCTCCTCAGTAGGTGAATGTGGCTCTTCTCTGGTTTCTTCTGTCCAGCTGACAGTGAGATGCAGCCTCTGAGGCATTTGGGATCTCCTGCCATTTAGTTTATTTTGATGGAAGATTTTTCTGTGCATACAGAGTTAGAGAATAATACTGATAATACAGCCACTGTCCGTTCTCCTGATGGGGTGGAAGTTGTTTTTTAATGTTTGTCCCAAGACCGTGTCCTGCTATGGTGTTCTCCTGACCTTGTAGCCTGAGGGTGATTCTGGCCTGTTCTTAGTTAGGCTTCCTGGGTAGGTGAGGCCCTCGTGTTTGGGAGGGGGCAGGGATGTGAATAAGAAAGTGAAAAAAATAAGCTTAAGGAAGATGTGTTCGTCTGGGGATTCAAGGGGGTGATCAGGACTTCAATCAGCATAGTACATGTTCTCGGTCTCCGCATGCCCACCTCCTGGAAAAGGATCTGTGGATGTCTGCTCATAGCTCCAGGCAAAGAGGAGTGGGGAGGGCCAGGCTAGGTCCCAAGGAACTACGGGGCCCTGGTGCAGCCCTTCAGTTTCCAGGCATGAGGCCAGTGGAACCTTCTGCTGAAGGTCGCTGTCAGGTGCCTGGAATCACCCTTGCTCGTTTCTCGTTCCTTCAGTGCACTAAATGGTAGGGAATTCGGGTTATAACTGGTCACTGACATTGATGAGATGACCTTGGGTAACCTCTTAGGTATCTTGGTTTCATTTGCCTTCCGGGTAAAGTAAGACATAAATGTAGCAGATTGGATGAGATCATTTTTTGAGGCACTTTTCTTATCTGTAAGATCTGTGAAGTTTTCAATGGTCATCTTCAGTGTCGTGTAAGATATCAGCTCAAAAAGCAAATGAAATTTGGAGCGGAAGAATTTTAATAATCACATTGAAATTTAGCTGGTAGGGGTTATCCTTGAAAATGATCTCAGTATTTAATAGAGCTTCTTTGCTTTTAGCTGATGATTTCAGCTCTCAGGATAATCTTGATGACCCAGAAGCTGGTGGATGGGATGCGACCTTGACTGGGGAAGAAGAAGAGGAGTTCTTTGAACTGCAGATAGTGAAGCAGCATGATGGGGAGGTAAGGAAAGCATACCTTGGGAAGAGCAGATGAAAAGTGGTTCCTTAACCTCTCCTCGAGCTTTTTGAAACAGTTAATAATCATGAAACAGACAATCATGCCAGTGCTTTACATTTCTCCAAATACATAAAGAAAAATGTTTCATCATGACTTCCAGAAGAATGGAGCTTGAACATCATATCATATCAGTTCACCTTTTCCTTCCTTTCCTGGTAACTTGTACTGAGCTGGCGTGGGCAGTTCAGATCAGCAGCAGTCAGGAGCTTGAGGCTCCGTTCCTCGACCGGTGAAAGATGGAAGTAGGGGCTGTGGAAGTGCGTGGGGGTGAAATAGTACGAGGTTTGGGATTTGCTTTGTTTAGTTAGTTTGTTTGTTTAGATCAGGCGTCCCCAAACTTTTTACACAGGAGGCCAGTTCACTGTCCCTCAGACCGTTGGAGGGCCGCCACATACTGTGCTCCTCTCACTGACCACCAATGAAAGAAGTGCCCCTTCCTGAAGTGTGTGTGGGGGGGTGGATAAATGGCCTCAGGGGGCCGCATGTGGCCTGCGGGCCATAGTTTGGGGACGCCTGGTTTAGATGGAGTCTTGCTCTGTCTCCCAGGCTAGTGCGCAGTGGCAGGATTTTGGCTCACTGCAACCTCTGCCTCCCAGGTTTAAGTGATTCTCCTGCCTCATCCCCCCGAGCAGCTGGGACTGTAAGTGTGTACCACCATGCCCAGCTAATTTTTGTATGTTTTTTTAAGTAGGGGTAGGTTTCACCATGTTGGCCAAGCTGGTCTTGAACTCCTGACCTGAAGTGATTGCCTGCCTCAGCCTCCCAAAGTGCTGGGATTACAGGTGTAAGCCATTGTGTCTGGCTGAAATTTGCTTTGAAATCCTTTTATAAGGACTTTTTTTTTTTTTTTTTTTTTTTGAGACAAGAGTTTCGCTCTGTTTCCCAGACTGGAATGCGGTGGTGCGATCTCGGCTCACCACAACCTCTGCCTCCTGGGTTCAAGTGATCCTCTCGCTGCAACCTCCCAAGTAGCTGGGACTACAGGCGCACACCATCACGCCTGTCTAATTTTTATATTTTTAGTAGAGACGGGGTTTCACTGTGTTGGCCAAGCTGGTCTTGAACTCCTGACCTCAAGTCATCCACCTACCTTGGTCTCCCAAAGTGCTGGGATTACAGGTGTGAGCCAACGCACCCGGCCACGACTACTTAAAAAGGAAAAGAATAGGTGAAGGCAGTATGGTGACCTCTTGATTTTAATGGTTGAATCTGAGTGATGGGTATATCATAGGAGTTTAGTTTCTAATTTTGAGTATGTTTGAAAAATTTATGAATATTTTCAGGAAGGAAAGCTGGTATGTGATGCTTTGAGGACATATTATTACTTAGTAGTATCCCTAAGAAGCGAAACTTGAATCTTAACAGTGAGGAATCAGTGTGACACATGCAGTGGCCATGCCTTCCATAGAGCACTGGGCCAGCACCCTTCCAGTTCAGCTGGGGCAAGTGTCACCAGGAAGGGCCGAGCAGCTGTTGTAGATTCGAGTAGAACAGAGGGATTTGACAATGACAGGCAGTGTGTTTGAATCCATATTCAAACATTTGAATATGGATTCTATATTAAATAATAGTGTATCACTGTTAAATTTCCAGGATATGGTATGTACCTTACTTGAAAGTGGCTCAGCTAAAATAGTGATGTGTATATGTGTGTGAGCTGTGAGAAAGAAAAGCACAAGTGGCCCGACTGTAGCAGTTGGTGCATTGTGATGAGAGGGATGTGGATCACTGGACTGAATTTTTGCAGCTTTTCTTGACGTTTGAGCATTTTTTAATACAAATTTTAAAAGTAAGCCAGCCAGGATCATCATGCTCTATACTTTCCAGGCGAAGGTGATTGTGGCCACACTGTCCCACTCCATCATCTCTTCAGGGCAGCTGTCATAGTAGAACTTTGCTGGTGACTGGCACGTGTCCTTGCAGCCTGAGCCAAGGTGGTTTCCTTGAAAGAGTTTTCTGTTTCTGGGGAAGAGGGAAACCTATTTCCTTTCTGTCTTCTCTGCAGGCAAAAGCAGAAGCCTCCTGGGACTCCGCGGTACATGGCTGCCCTCAGCTCAGCAAGGGCACACCCGCGGACGAACGGCTGTTTCTGATCGTGCGCGTGACAGTCCAGCTCATTCACCCCGCCGACATGCAACTGGTGTTACGCAAGAGAATCTGTGTCAATGTTCACGGCCGGCAGGTTAGTGTTGAGTGGAAGAAATGCTGTAACCACAGGTGCGACCCAAGGGCATGGCTGTGCAGTGCTTCCTCTGACTTTCTGTCCAAACAAGCTCCAGGAAGCGCTGAGCTTTTCTTTCTCAAGTGACTGCTGCTGTCCTGGACCCATGCTTGCATCAAGATCCAGATGTGTCACTTGCCCCTGGACAGTATTGTTACACTGAATCTGTCTTAGAGCAAATTCACAAACCATGGTCATTCTTCTGGGTACCATACAGCCTGTCAGGGGCAAGGCCAGTGGTTTGGTTGTTGTCTTTTCATCTGGGCCCTGTAAAATGAGGAGTTTCCCTCAAAGACCAGCTGTTAGTTCATTAGGAGAGAGCTGCCTGCACTTCTGTTGGCAGACTTTTTTTTTTTTTTTCTATGAGATGGAGTTTCACTCTTGGCACCCAGGCTGGAGTGCAGTGGTGAAATCTTGGCTCACTGCAACCTCCACCTCCTGGGTTCAAGTGATTCTCCTGCCTCAGCCTCTTGAGTAGCTGGGATTACAGGCGCCCGCCACCATGCCCGGCTCATTTTTGTATTTTTAGTAGAGATGGGGTTTTTCCATGTTGGCCAGGCTCGTCTTGAACTCCTGACCTGAGGTGATCCACATGCCTGGCCAGCCTTTCGTTTTGTTTTGTTTTTAAGAAATAGGGTCTTGCTGTGTTGCTCAGGCTGGAGTGCAATGATGTGATTGTAGCTCACTGCAGCAGTCACCTCCTGGGCTCAGGTGATTCTTCCATCTCAGCCTCCCAGAAGCTGGGACCCCAGGCACATGCCACCATGCCTGGCTAATTTTTTGTATTCCTTGTGGAGTCCAGGTATTGCCATGTTGCCCAGGCTGCTTTCTAGACCTTTTAGCTCTTGCAGTCTTTGATTTGTGTATTTGGCTTTGGGATAAAAAGGTGAATGAGAAATGAGTGAGCCCAGTGCAATGGCGGCCGTCTGCTGTTCCAGCAATTCAGGAGGCTGAGGCTGCAGGATCATTTGAGCCCAGGAGTTCGAGTCCAGCCTGGGCAATGCATCTGAAAACAAACAAAAAGAAATAGTCTGTGTCCTTCAAGAGCCGAGTTGATTTGCACAGGTAGATACATAACAGGCAACTGCTCTCAGCCCGAGCTGAGCATGTGGTGCAGGTCCTCAGCACTTGTGGTGAGAATGCAGGTTAGAGAGGGAAGGATTCAACCTAAGGGAGTTGGGGGTGGTGGGGGCATTTCAGAGAGGAGGGCAGCATTTGAAGTGGGACTAGGAGGGGCATTGGCCAGGCAGAGGAGGAGAAGATGGAGTTCTGTGGATAGGAGGAAATACAAATACATGTACAGAGAGAGTCGGCAGGGCAGGACAGGGCAGGCTCGGGGACCGCGAGGAGCACCATGTGCCAGGGATGATACTGCCTCTGCCAAGGAGTGTGGCTCTCCATGTAGTCGCAGCTGGATTATGAAGGACCTTGTGCCATATGAAGGGATTTAGTGCAAAACTTCTAGGTAAGAATTTAAGGCCAGGTGCACTGGTCATGCCTGTAATCCCAGCACTTTGGGAGGCCAAGGTAGGTGGATTGCCTGAGGTCGGGAGTTTGAGACCAGCCTGACCAACATGGGAAAACTGTACTAAAAATACAAAATTAGCCAGGCATGGTGGTGCATGCCTATAATCCCAGCTACTCGGGAGGCTGAGGCAGGAGAATTGGTTGAACCCAGGAGGTGGAGGTTGTGGTGAGCTGAGATTACACCATTGCACTCCGGCCTGGGCAACAAGAACGAAACTCCATCTCAAAAAAAAAAAAAAAAAAAAATTTTAAATTCTTTCTGTTACTGGTTTTGCAAATATAAGGATTTGGGAGACTGCGTCTAGGGATCCTTTTAACCATCTTATCTCTCTTTTTTTTTTGAGGCATTCTCAATACACTGACTAGAACCAGTACAGATGAAAATCTTTTCATTTAAAAGAGCACAGTGATGGTTGACAGACTCCTAGATGTAATCTCCACCCCTAAAAATTAATCTTTAGTTCCAAATGTCACACTGATATCAATCTTTGAAATGAAGACTGGCGGTAATGCCATTAAAATTGCAGCTCTTTAGCTTGGCAATCCAACATCAATAAAATCCAGGTCACGGGGTTAGCTATAGATGTATATGGTGTGCTCCCATTCACTCTCTGTGTCTCCCTTTTCTCATAAGCATTTGAGGGTTTGAAAAAGACACACCGCTCATGGGGAGCATTTTGAAGAGTGATTTTCCATTTTGGAATTAGACATCCTGGTTGTCAGGCCCTCAGACTAACCTGGCACCACCACCGGCCCCACAGGGTCCTTGGCCAAAAAGGTACATTGTACAGTCACCACGTGTCACTTGGTTTTTGTTGTTTCTATTGTAGGGACGATAAGTTGCCATGTTTTGTTTTGTTTTTTTCCTGGTTGAAACAATGTGGAAGTATTTTTAAGGCACACCATTTTCTTTCTCAATTTCAGGTATTTCCTACCTAAGAATGGTCATGTGGAAAGCCCTCTTCTTTATAACAAGAACAGGAGCTTCCACAGGACGCTCAAACAACATGTCAGCTTCAGTAATACCATAAAAAAGGAAAACCAAAAAGGAGAATAATAGTAGCATCTGCATCTCCCTTCGCCACCCTAAGGACGGCAATCTCTATACCTTGACTGTTCTAATTAGCCTTGGCTCAGCACTGCAGGGCTAAAGTCAAGGGAGAAAAGCAGTGACATAAATGGTCTCTTTGCATTCTGAGATGCTATATTCATTTTAAAAATTAAAGATCATTGAATATGAAATAAATTATCCTTAGGTAGGTTTGTGAAATGATGTATATCCAAGACTGCATAGCTTGGCTTTGCTATTTTCTTGGGAGCTTCACGTTTCTCTGCCATTCATTTTGCATGGGGAGAAAGCTTGGTGCCTGTTTCATGTTCTCTCCCCCTTACCTTTGTTCCCTGATGGTATTCTGCTCTCATCCCTGCTCTCCCCAACCTCTGCAGGGTGTTTGGTCTTAGCAGTATCTCAAAATGAGTCATCTATGCATTAATTCAACAGTTCAATTCCTAACTGTGCAAAGAGCGTAGTCAGCATAAACAATGACCGTGCACTCTTAAATCATTCCCATAAAGATCTTGCTTTGGTCAAGAATTTAATGCCTGGACTTGTCAATATTCATGGTACAAGATGTCCATCGTGCTGGGAGGAGAAAAGTGTAAGCATCACTACTAGTCCTTGCTTCCATCTTAGTTAGAAGGTCATTTTATGGTGTGGAACTCAACAAGCTTGTATTTCTGTAGCTAAATGCTAAGCAGCGTTCGTCTGTATGCCTACTGACAGCTTATAGTCTTGGTCTGTACGTTTCCTGTGTTGGGCATAGGGCCTGTCAAACACGTTGGGCATCTAGTAAGTTGGTTTCATATCACAGGACAACGTTGAGGAAACTACTTGGTGATTTCACTTGCTTAGTTGGGAACATGCTCTGTTTTCTTATACTGAGAATGAGCCAAAGAAAAAAACAAAATACAAAAAAAAAAAAAAAAAATGAAAATAAAAATAAAATAAAGAGAATGAGCCAGTATGTTTTATGCTGTCTTTTGTTAATGTAAACTCCATTTTTCAGGTGGGAAATCATATATCTTCTATTTCGTTTTTCTCCAGGGTTTTGCACAGAGTCTCCTAAAAAAGATGTCTCATCGAAGTTCTATTCCTGGCTGTGGAGTGACTTTTGAAATTGTCTCCAATATCCCAGAGGTGAAGGATATACAATTTAATTTACTAAAAATAAACACTTTATAAGAGCCAACTCCCTGAAAAGTGACTTACCCAAGACATATGTATGAAGTGAAAGTGTATGTTTAGGGAAGCTATAGATTTTTATGGGAATTTTCTAATATCCATTCGTAGTAAAATGTACTTGTGGCTTTAAAAGTTTTAGTATTTTGTTGGAAAACTTTCTTCTGAAAAGGAAATCAACACCTTTTTACACAGAAGTTGACAGAAGAGAAACATATTGGACCCAGGATGGGAAGCAGCATAGTGTAGCGATTCCAGTTGGATCCTGAAGTCAAACAGAAATCTTGTTTCTGTCATTTATTAGCAAAGTAAACTTGGGGGTAACTTACTTTGAGCCCATATGTATTTTCTTTTTCTTTTTCCTGGTCAAATGGGGTTAGTAATACCTTCCGCAAAAGTGATTTTTTTTTGTTTTTGTGTTTGTTTTGAGATGGAGTCTCAAACTGTTGCCCAGGCTGGATTGCAATGGTGTGATCTCAGCTCACTGCAACCTCTGCCTCTGGGTTCAAGTGATTCTCCTGCCTCAGCTTCCTGAGTAGCCGGGATTATAGGTGCCTGCTACCATGCTTGGCTGATTTTTTTTATTTGTAGTAGAGACAGGGTTTCACTGTTTTGGTTAGGCTGGTCTCAAACTCCTGTCCTCACTGATCGACCCACCTCAGACTCCGAAAGTGCTGGGATTACAGGGTGAGTCACCACGGCAGGCCTGCACAAGCATCAAATGAGACAACATATACCAATAGATGTGCATGTACTAGAGAACATGTTATCACTACTATTGTTGTTACTATGATTATGATTTTATTAGTACTGTTGTCTCCCTGTCTGAACTAATTGAGATATTCAGACGATTCAGACAAGTGAAGCTTAAATTGATCCCTGATAGAAGCTTGATGGAAGATGTGGCATATCCATGCTTCCTAAGAGGTGTCCTGAACTAGACGTGTGTTAATTCACCCAGGCACCAGCACAGCTGGGAAATGGGGCATCCCTTGCCAGGCCAGGAGAAGTGAGGGTCCTAGGGAAAGGACTCTGAAAAGAGAAGAGTCCTTCTCCCACCCTCACCCTCAAAGAGCAGGGCATAGGCAAAGGGGTGGATATTGCTTTCTCAGGGGATGGAGAAGTAGGGGTGTAAGACATCAGAGGATACCCCTGCTCACCTGCCATCAACACCAGCACCAGTTCCTGTCATTTCAGGGCTTAGGATTTGTCCATTGATTCTGTTGAGTATTTGAACAATAGGTGAACAGTTTATATTTTAATACAGAGATCAGCTTTTGGAGAAGAAAAATACTCCACAGTACTTAGGCTTTGTTTTAGCTCTCTTGCTGTTGCAAAATGCTTTTCCCTCTCAAGTCATATTGGAGGGTAACTAGTTTTTCCCTGGATCTTTAAAGTGGTAGATTTGCTTAGTAAATATTAACCATTTAATTTAATCTGGAGTTTGCAGAACATTTAAAAATAAAGCCTGCTTGCAGAGTTAGTCATTGTACAGTCTTGGATCTATAATAGATTACTCTGTGTGCCTCATTTAAATCTTGTTTGTAAGATTTAAAACAAGTATACATCTGATGCCGGGCGCGGTGGCTGACGCCTGTAATCCCAGCACTTTGGGACGCCGAGGTGGATGGATCACGAGGTCAAGAGATCGAAACCATCCTGGTCAACATGGTGAAACCCCGTCTCTACTAAAAATACAAAAAATTAGCTGGGCATGGTGGCGCGCGCCTGTAATCACAGCTACTCAGGAGGCTGAGGCAGGAGAATTGCCTGAACCCAGGAGGCGGAGGTTGCGGTGAGCCGAGATCGCGCCATTGCACTTCAGCCTGGGTAACAAGAGTGAAACTCCGTCTCAAAAAAACAAAAAACAAAAAACAAAACAAAACAAAACAAAACACAAGTATACATCTATGTCTAGCTAGAGACTTACTGTTTCTTCTCTGTATCTAAACATTTTCTGTTTTCCAGTTGTTTCAGATCTTCTGTCTCTAAATGGCTTGAATGCAGTTGAGAAACAGTGGCGGTTTTAGGGAACTGTCTTCATCTCTTCCTTTTCTCTCTCCATTTCCCTCTCCTTTTCCTTTTCTCCCACTGAGTTTCTTACTCCTTTTAAAAGTGCTTTTATTCTCCAGGTTTTAAAAAGGAAGAAATAAGGGGGGATCAGCTTGAAGACAAACAGAACCTCATGACTGCACTGTTAATTAGCTAAACATCCAAACTGGCAAACACTGTTTCCACATTATCAAATCTTGATGATAAAGGCAAAATGAAACATAAAGCTGATTGTCTAAAGACTAGACCTAAAACAAAAAGATTCCTTAGTAGACAAGTTTCATCATGTAAAAGCCCTAAAAATTCCTTGTGTTCTGTATCACAGAAGCCCTTAGGGCATCATGGCCAAAAGAAGTGGTCCAGGCCAGAGACAGTTTCTTTCTCCTTGTAAAATTAGGATAATGTCTGTTTTCTTTAGACAAAAGTGTTCTGTATTGTGGTGAAAAGATTACCCTACCAGGGTAATCCTAAGTTGTGTCCTTGACTCTTGCCGGTTGTGTGGTCTTCTTCTTGTCATCTAGGAAATAAGGATGATTCCTTCTTTTCATGGTTATTATGAGGTTCAAATGAATTACCATGTGAGACAAAAGATTTTGTGAACTGAAGCCTTCTTACAAATCCTCCCGTATTTTATCTGTTTTAAAACTCATTTAAATTTTAAAAAATATCTTTGAAGTTATAATGTGTCTTATAATTGATGGTATCTTAAAATTAATTAGCAGAGTTTCTTTATCCCCTTAATCGTGTATAAAATATTTTGTCTTACAGTTGATGGCATTTCAGATGCCGTGGCATCTGGATACACATTTTGTAATTTTGGCATTATTATAAGAAATTTACAAGTAAATAAGGTACTTGATTTTCCCTGAGAAAAGTAATTTGTTAAGAACCCACTTTGTGGCTGAGTGCAGTAGCTCACACCTGTAATCCCAGCACTTTGGGAGGTCAAGATGGGTGGATTACAAGGTCAGGAGTTCGAGACCAGCCTGGCCAATAGGTTGAAACCCCGTCCCTACTAAAAATACAGAATTGTCCAGGCATGGTGGTGGGCACCTGTAGTCTCACCTGCTTGGGAGCCTGAGGCAGGAGAGTTGGTTGCTTGAACTCAGGAGGTAAAAGTTGCAGTGAGCCAAGATCATGCCACTGCACTCCAGCGTACGCATCAGAGCACGACTATGTCTCAAAAAAAAAAAAAAAAAAAAAAAAAAAAAAACACTTTGCTTGAAATAACTAAGTACATTAATAAAGCCCGTTTCTGACTATGTGTGTCCCATTTGTATGCACGGCTAGCTCCTGTCCCAGGACTGGGGATGGGTTGTACCAGAAAGCTCAGTGCAGGAGAACCAACCTAGATAACTTCTCCTTGGTCGGCTTGAGGCCTTTGGCCTCTGCCACTCAAGCAGAAAATTGAACCAAAGCTGCCATGTTCTGAATATGTCATTTACCCTGGGCTGTGTGGTGGCAGGGGCTGAAACCCTGTGTCCACTAACATCTCCATACCAGGCGTCCTCCCTGGGAGGCAGCTTGGTTCCCACCCTGTGTGGCAATCACCCCAGCGCCTCTTTCCTTTCTCTGTCCCTCAGGAGTTTGAGGGCAGTGGGTAATGTTCCTGAAATACGGTTTTTATGGTGGTTACATTTCTGGCTAGTCTACAAAATTGTTTCTAACTAGTCATGGGTTTTTTGCAGTGGGAATGTGATAGAGATCAGTTTTATTGAGCATGTGCTGTGTTTCAGCTGCTCTATGTTTAAATTAACCAGCCTTTCAAGTAAACCTAGTCATCTAATCACCTTTCATTAGTCCCGTGGAAAGAAATGCATTGAGGTTCCAAAGTAAAATGGAATATATTCAGTGCACGTGTGTGTGTGTGTGTGTGTGTGTGTGTGTGTGTGTGTGTAGATCAGCAAACTTCTATAACATATAACTTTGCGCTCCTCAGGACGCCCAGGGAGTGGAGGAACGAGAAGCATTAGCACGAATGGCAGCCAATGTTGAAAACCCAGCTTCTGCTGACTCAGAGGCTTATATTGAAAAGTACCTGAGGAGCGTGCTGGCGGTGGAAAACCTCCTGACTTTAGATCGCCTGCGCCAGGTTAGCCAACCGCGTGGATAGGGTGGGCAGCATAGGCCCGGTGCAGGCTGAGTCTGGGTTTGACTCTAATTCAGTATTGTTGCGTCTGAACATTTGAAGAGCTCACTCTGATGAACTTTGAATCCAGAGTGATTATAATTGGATCATTCTGTCTTACGAAGTAACAGCCTTTATTTATTTAATTTTAAAAAACTGTTTATGGGTACCTAGTAAATGTTTGTACTTAGGGAGCATGTGAGCTGTTTTGATACAGGCATGTAATATGTAATAATCATAACAGCTCTGTTAAAATAGCTAGGAATGTGTGTGTACCAATGGCGGATGCACATCTGCTGTACATGGTGTTGCTTTCGTGGTGTTTCTCTTACATGTCTTTTTCCTCTGTATGTTTTCTGATCCACAGGAAGTTGCGGTGAAGGAACAGCTAACAGGAAAAGGGAAGCTGAGCAGGAGGAGTATCAGCTCTCCAAATGTGAACAGAGTAAGTGTGTGGAACCCAGCCCTGTGCTCTGCCTGGGACCTCTCTCCTCTTCTCTTTTTTTGGGTAACTCTTCTCCACCCGTCAAACCCCATCTCCAAAGTCCTTCCCTTCCCAGGACTGATGTCAGGGCCCCTGGTTTTGAACCGCTATTGGCTCTGAGCACCTCTGCCGTCTTCCTACTGATATTGTAAGGGAAATAGCACTTAAATACCTTCCACGTGTTTCTTCTCTTCCAGTCACCACTGCCGAGCACCCACTGAGGCATTCAGTGAATGTTAACTAAACCAAAACTAGCCAAGTGCCCATGGCAAGCCTATGCCATTTTCTGGGCTTAAGTTATTTTTAGGTTGAGAAGGAGTCTGGACTCGGTTCACAGACCAGTTTTTCACAGGACAGCCAGGGTGGTGTCCATGCCTCAGATATATTGGGCTGTTTCATAACAATGACTTCAGCTGATTGTTATTTTTAAAAACATAGATATAATTCATGTGCATATTGAACATGGGGATAATTATTCACAAAAATAATACTCTTGGCTCCTTGACTTATTTCTCTTGTCCTCATTTTTGATGAAGATGTGGATATGAAAACTGACACTTTCATCCTAACTTCACACTGAGAGAAGTCACAGCGCAAGCATGGTGAGAAAGGGCAGCTGACCTTAGCCTTAGCGCCTGAGAGAGAAGAGAGAGCGATCCAGAGTGAATGATCCAGATTATAATTGGATCATTCTGGTTTCATGCTGGAGAGTCACGAGGACACAGCATGGCTGCTAAGGGTGTCACCAGCCATCTCAGACATTTAGGAAGATCACTTTAACTCAAGAAAGATAATGTCTCATTTCTTCAGAAAATGATATATTAAAATATACTGATATATGCAGACATGGAATACTTGATATCTAGTAGTTTAAATAGTTTGCGAGTTTATTTACAGTTGCTACAAATACCCAGAGGAAGGAATCATAAGCTCAGGCCATGGTAAGATAACCAGTAACCCGGTATCTTTCACCCAGAAGGAAGGGATCACCCAGTGGGAGATCTCTTGTTAAGTCCAGGCAGTTATGACCTCGGTGTGAACTGAATAATCCAGATCTTACAGGAACCTCTCATCTGAAAATTGTTCATAACCAATTCAGTGTTTGTAATGTCACAAAGACTACTAGTATGCAGCCTTCATCTTGAGAACCTCCCTGCTGCCACCCAACTTGACGTTTGATTGACTGGGTTGGCAAAAGCTGGCACCGTCTAGACCACGTGTTGATGCTCTAATGCGTGAAGAACTAACTCCCTTTTCTTCTTCAGTTGTCTGGAAGCCGACAAGATCTCATTCCATCATACAGTCTAGGCAGCAACAAGGTAGGTGTCTTTATTTCTATCAGTTTTAAGGCCCGTTTTCAACTTTCATCTTCTAAAATCTCAGGTTATTTTTGTAAGCCAGAATTTCCCCTACTCACATCTGCCAAAGATATGAAACTTACTGGAAAGTGTTTAGAGTTCATTTCTTTTAATCTGCCGATTAAAATAAGGTTTATTAGATTTTCTGACTACTGGGGTTGAAAAACAGTTTTTCTGCTCAAGCTTGTACTTCTGTCTAAATTTTCTTTCTATTTCTGTCAGAAAAGAAACTTCAAATCAGGTTTTTATAGTGAAGTATTGATGTGTGATGATTGAAAATTTATGAGAAATAAAAGTGTATCTAAAAGTCAACATTATTTGTGAGAAGAAAAAGAGAATGGAAATTTTGTTCGCTGGAATTTATTTACTATAATGAAGCATTCTCTGTTTAACAGAGTTTTAAGCATAGAGAACTCGTTGTTTACTTTAAAAAGGTTAGTGCTCCTTGAAACTGTCTTACCTGGGCCCCACACGTGATAGTTTGTGTGTGTCACTTTTGAAGGGTCTGGTTAGATGTTGGCGCTGCCAGCCGTGTGCAGTGTGCCCCGTGTTGATTTGCAGCCCTTGAGGAGGTCAGTAGTGGCTGTGGTCTTATGAGATGGTCTGTTGTGGGGGAGTTGTTTTCGAATCTGCAAAGTGGAGTGATGGAAATTGGCTGCTTCATGACAATTCTTAAAGCTGGGTGGGGTTCATTATGCTATTTCTATTGTTCATTATTCTATACTTTGCTTTTGTGTATGTTTGACATTTTCATTGTAAAAACTTAAGAACAACTGAAGATGAAGTTGATGCATTAAATTAGCACTTTTTTTTTTTTTTTTTGGAGACAGAGTTTTTCACTCGTTGCCCAGGCTGGAGTGCAATGGCGCCATCTCAGCTCACTCCAAGCTTCTGCCTCCCAGGTTGAAGCAATTTTCCTGCCTCAGCCTCTGCAGTAGCTGGGATTGCAGGCACCTGCCACCATGACTAGAAAATTTTTGTATTTTTAGTAAAGACAGGGTTTAACCATGTTGGCCAGGCTGGTCTTGAACTCCTGACCTGAAGTAATCTGCCCTCCTTGGCCTCCCAAAGTGCTGGGATTATAGACTTGAGCCACTGCTCCCAGCTGGAGACTCTTTTTTAAGATCTAGATTATTAGTAGTTTGCCTAAACTAGGATACATGTATATGTTTATAGACATACAGATTGCCAACTCATCCTTTCGCTGAACCCCTGCATGGACATGGGTTTCTGTAAGTGTGCTGAAGTTTATGCTTGTTTATACTCCGCCAGTGATAGGTTTGATTAGCTGCAGCTTAGTGTCAGCCTTGATTACCTGAAGAGAGCAGAGTTTTTGAAAATTGATTGTACATGATATTTTAATGTAAATAAAATATCTTAAGGAAAAGATAAGAAAAACGTGACTTTCTGTGTGTTTGGGGAAATGTGTCTAACCTAAATCTCCAGTTATAAGTTCCTTGAAAGAAGTGGCCAAAATTATTCAGCTTTTCTTCTGTTAAGAAAACTTTGGCCAGGCCTGTAATGCCAGCACTTTGGGAGGCTGAGGAGGGTGGATCACCTGAGGTCAGGAGTTTGAGACCAGCCTGGCCAACATGGTGAAACCCCATCTCTACTAAAAATACAAAAATTAGCTGGACGTGGTGGTGCACGCCTGTAATCCCAGCTACTCGGGAAGCTGAGATAGGAGAATTGCTTGAACCCAGGAAGTGGAGGTTGCGGTGAGCTGAGATTGTGCCACTGTACTCCAGCCTGGGCAATAAGAGCGAAACTCCCTCTCAAAAAAAAAGGCCAGGCGCGGTGGCTCAAGCCTGTAATCCCAGCACTTTGGGAGGCCGAGGCGGGTGGATCACGAGATCAAGAGATCGAGAACATCCTGGTCAACATGGTGAAACCCCATCTCTGCTAAAAAAAAAAAAAAAAAAATACAAAAAGTTAGCTGGGCGTGGTGGTGCATCCCTGTAGTCCCAGCTACTTGGGAGGCTGAGGCAGGAGAATTGCCTGAACCCAGGAGGCCGAGGTTGCGGTGAGCCGAAATTGCGCCATTGCACTCCAGCCTGGGTAACAAGAGTGAAACTCCATCTCCAAAAAAAAAAAAAAAAAAAATCTCTGCCTAGTTTCCTTATTTTAAATGGATACAATAACAAAAAATAATATAATCTACTTCAAAGAAAAGTACTGTCCATCATGTACACCAGAGAAATAGAACAAAGGAGCAGAGACGCTATTAGAACCAAGCCAGGGCGTGGCAGAGGGCATGGCCCCCCCATAGGCTTCACGCGGGACTCAAGTTGGGGGGAGCCTGCAGGGTGGAGACCAGTTTTTGTTTTTCAAGACTGAGTCTCTCTCTGTCACACAGGCTGGAGTGCAGTGGCATGATCTCAGCTCACTGCAGTCTCTGCCTCCTGGGTTCAAGCAATTCTCCTGCCTCAGCCTCCTGAGTAGCTAGGACTATAGGTGCACACCATCATGCCCAGCTAATTTTTGTATTTTTAGTAGAGATGCGGTTTCACCGTGTTGGCCCTGATAGTCTTGATCTCCTGACCTCATGATCTGCTCGTCCCTGCCTCCCAAAGTGCTATGATGCCAGGCGTGAGCCACTGCGCCTGGCCATCCATTCCTAAGACTCCCCGGAAGGATGACGCTGACGTTCACACAGTCAGGGAAGGAGCTGAAGGAACACGGTGGGCAGAAGGATCTGTGTGCGCAAAGGCTTGGGATGAACCACCTTGCCATGTTCTTGACAGCACGTGAGGTAGGAGTGTAGTCCAGGGCCTATGGGCTGGGCATGGTGGCTCATGCTTGTGCTCTCAGTGGCTTGGGACGACCCGGTGGGTGGCTGGCTTGAGCCCAGCAGTTTGAGACCAGACTGGGCAACACAGGGAATCCCCTTCTCTGTAAGAAAATTTTAAAAAGTTAGTCAGGCATGATGGCTCATGCCTATAATCCCAGCTAGTTGGGAAGCTGAGGCCGGGGAGGATCGTTTGAGCCTGGGCATTTGAGGCCACAGCTAACTATGACTGCACCATTGCACTCCCGCCTGGGTTAACAGAGAGAGACCATGTCTTAAAAAAGAAAAAAATAAAAGAAGAAGAAAAAAGTAGAGTCTGTGAGCAGAACCCAGAGAGGTAGGGCCTTATTTTTGGCATCCTGATGTCATGTCCCAAGGAATGGCAGGGGCGCTGGACACCATGGAAGCACTTGAAAACAGAGCAGTAACATGGCCACATGTGAATTAGAATGTTTGTTTTAATGGTCCAGCTGAGTCTCACCGCATCCCTGGCTGTGGTGTGTGCATAGGAAAGGTATAAATGTATACAGTTACCAGTGCAAATGTGGGAAACATGGTTTTGAGTTGGAGGGTGGAGGGACTGGTTAGGGAAGAACTAGCCAAGGAGAGAGGAGAGACACAGATGGGTTGGGGAGGGGACTCTAGAGTCCTGCAGACACCAAGAGTGAGGCTGGAGTGAGGGGACCTGAGTGACGTTGGGTTTCGGATGGCAGTGTATATGTTCGAGAGATGAACTGTGGGGCAGGCTTTGGGAAGAAATGATTCAGTTCCATTTTTGAGGGTCTCAGGTGTCAGAGTTGAAGCCAGGTTCCAGAGCCTGAGGGGATAGCTGGGACAGTGGGGGCCGGATTGGCTGAGGTAGCGGTGACGCCACGGTGCGGAGGCGGCAGTGCCGGGGAGGACTGAAGACGGGGTCCGGGGAGTGTCAGAAGGCCAGGGAGGAGGGTTTTAGGAAGAATTCCGTCCAGGGCCTTCAGAGACAGCGTGGGGTGAGGATGGAGACCACTTCAGGTGCGACTGCAGGGCACATCGTAGCCTGTGCAGGGCTGGGGGCTAGCAGGACAAGGTTTATTAGATAAGTCACCGTCATGTCACACAGTTGTCTTAACGCTTCCGGACCTTCCTGCTTTTGGTTCTTGGTTCTTTGGGGTCCCCGAATAACTCAGCGAGGGTGAGGAAAGCCTGGGTTCTGGCTGCTCGGCTCCCCTCCTGGGGCGGGGGCCGGTGTGGGCATCTCCCCATGCTGTTTCATGTACCTCTCAAGCCCTGGTCACAGCGCCCACAAGCTTACGTTCCCTGTTGGAGGACGGCAGTCGGTCGTGGTCCTCCTCAGGTTTTGGCCTGTCTGGCGCTCCCCAGCCGTGGCAGTCCCATCGTCTGAGACGTGGTGAAGTATGTCACGGGAGACAGAGATGCCGGCCTGCCAGTCCTCGCTTTGCTCCCAGTTCAGCTGTGGAAGGTCTTGGCACCCACAGGCCTGGAAGATTGTCACGGATGCCAGGACCTCAGCGCCATGTGGCTCACTGCGTGTCAGATCAACGAGTTAGGTGGATGTCCACGTGTCAGAATGAGAGAATTGTCGCTTCTCCACATGATGGGGTGAAGCAGAAATCTTCTTTAACAGAGTTGTAAGGATGGACCTTAACAGATGAGCAAGTTCAGGTGATAGAGGAGAAAAATGCTAGCCCAAGGGCCTTTGGTTCCAGATCCCCTTGTGTGGGGTGCAGAATAGCTCTCCCATTTTCAGTGGAAGGGGCACAGTAGTCTTATGTAAAGTAGAGCATCCTGAAATATTCTTGGGGAAAATAAAAATGTTTTAAATTACATTTTTTTTTTAAGAAAAGAAAGAAGCCCCCCATCCATAGCAGGGAACAGAGGCTCTCCCTGTGGCCTTTTAAATGAAACAAGGAAAAACATCTTTAAAGATTATGTGGCATTGCCTTGAAATCAGGATGCTGTGGGCCACCTGTAGTAGCATTTCTCAGGAGAGAGTAGTATTTAAGCACACACAGTGGTCAGGATCCTCTCCAGCTCCTAGCATGGCGATGCCTGCACACATGTGATGTGTACTGACAAGGGCATTGGTGGCAACATGCTGGTTACACACACACACACACACACACACACGCACACACATATGCACACACTGTACTATACAGCTATAAACATGCCC